GCGAACGTGTTACCAGTGTCGACACCACCCGGTCCCCCGATAAGGTCGACGTTCTCGTGCTGGCCGCGAGCATGGTGGTGGCCACGACCGTGGGGCGGCACCACCTCCACTACATCCTTCTCCAGCTGAACGGAGTGATCATCTTCGTGGAAGGCGCTCTCGTTATGGTTCTCGACGTGGGCCTGCGGCTTCACATAAGTCGAACCGTCGGAGAATCCGTCGTTGGAGCCGCCTTCGCCTCTGGCCTTGTGGTGGTGAGGGCGGCGGCCATGTCCCGGCTCGATTACGGTCTTCTTCGCGTCCAAATCGAGGGAGTGGTCGTCGGAGTGGTAGTCGTTCACCTCGCTCCGGAACTTGTTGTCGACCGGCAAGGCGGCGTCACTGCCGCGGTCTTCGCCCTGCGAGCCCCCGATGACCGAGGTGGCGCGGGCTACGGCAGCGAGCGCCGCCATGGGGAGTCCTGCCTGGAGTCCCTTCATGTCGTTATTGGCTGTTTACTGGATGAATTAATATAGATCGGATTTCACGTCAAATATAGAAACAAAATACAACACAACCGAAAGTTGAACGAGTGACTGGGGCCGAGGCCGTGAGGGAGGGGCGTAACAAGAAAAAAGAAGATTAAGGAATGAATTGTTTGGCGACTGTAAGCGTACGATCGATTCGACCTGATCCGAAAGAAACAATCCTCCAGGGTTTGGCGGACGCTGCTGCACCTTTTATCCATAGATGGCATCATTCTGGCGCTGGCATGCTGCTTCCCCTGCGGCAAACAAACAAATACACTGGGGGACTTGTTTTCCCTCTGAGAATGTCACGAGGAATGGACACTCACGGCGAGTGGAAGCTGGACCATGTGTTCACAGGAACTCGGGCCTTCTTCCTTGAATGGTGGTGTTGTGCATTCCTCATGCTCAATTGCGTATAGAGCCAAGGGATCGGTATGTATGCATCCACCTCGTCAATCATCATAGATGCGTCCTTCGACGGGCGCTTCAAAGCTAGCCCCGTTCGGAAAATTAGCATCAGTCAATCAGGAGAGCCCTTCAAGTCTGGGGTCAAAGCCTTGTCAATGCAGGTATCGTTGGATGGGAAACGGTCAGGTACGAGTCCTGCAGCAAAGTGGTTCCGCGGCCGGGATCCGGCACAACATTTTACCGCCATCACGAAACGGGCACGGCATAAACTGCCAGCTGCTTGTCGAGAGGTCCAGACCAGCTCCTTTGCAGTGTCGTAACTACGAAGATTGTCAAATACAAGAAGATTGGGTCCGATATTAAGCAGTCTTGTTCAATTGATTCATTATGTGCAATGGTGATGTATCCCGTCATCGACATTCCCCCCTCATCGCCCTCACTGAAGAGGACTCAACGAGAGGCGAACTTCCTATCAGGGAGAATTGTTCTCCAGAGCCGATCAGTCCGTAGACCGAAGGCAACACTCGTCGTGGAAAGATGGACGAGGGTCGTGGCAGGCTCTGTTAGCTTTTTTCGATGTAATGAAGAAAAGAAAAAGTTCAGATAGGGGACGGCGCCGAGAGACGGTATTTATGTCGGCTGTGGATCACGTGCTCAGGCTAGCCACTTCTCGCTCGCTAGTTAACTGTATGTTCTGTTTGTATCTACATTCTCGTCCCGCATGTGTCGCTAGCAGAAGACGGAGAATAGAGCAGAGAACCACGAAAGCACGTATGTATGTACAGGAAAGCACCTCAACTTGCAAGGGAAAAGAAGAACAATGTACAGTACATGCAACCCCGATGCGACCAAAAGAAAATCCTCCAGGCTCCAGACTCCCATCAATATGTCCCGCAGAAAATGTGTTTGTTTGTTGAGATATTAAGTTGCATCATCGCACCAAGAACGGTGAAGTGAAGTATCGATCGACACATCGTAAAGGAAGAAGTCGCCTGTCACCACCAAGTCAGCTTGATGAACCCACTCCAAAGGATCCCTGAAATAGTTTGCACAGTATTCAACTTACCTGCATCTCATCCGATGAACTCCTGCCGGTGGTCCGACCTCCACACGGCTCCTCCCACCGCGACCGTAATTCCCAGCGCGATCGCAATCATGGTTCCCAGTATGACGACGGCAATGATGGCCTTGACGACCATGCGCTGCTTCTTTCCCAGTCGACTCATGCATCCACAGTGCCTCTTTGGTTGCCCCCAGAGATTCGACTCATGACGGCTGCCGGATTCCAAGGCGGATACGTTGAACATCGGCGGGCGCTCGGGGATAACGGAGGGCGTATAGCGTTGAACAGTGGGCTGAGGTTTCTCGGTTTCCACCTTGAATCGATCGATGGTCACCGATGGGGTGGCATGGCGATAAAAGGGTGAGGACGGCTTTGCGCCCACACAGGGGTTGTAGTCTCCTGGCTGGTGGTGATCAGGGGAAGCCGCCAGGTGAGGTGATGTTTCAGAATCGGCGGGGAGCTCGACTGCGGCGGGATGTTTCTCGGTTTCAGATGCATTGTGACCTGTCATTCTGCCAGGGTGACTCGCCATTTTGGTGGTCAGGATGTGTGGCGTGAGTATCGGGCGCCGTTCTTTGGACGAAAGCTTGTTTGGGGCAGAGAGAATAGACTGCAACTTTTGAGGTAGAAGATAGGAGTAAACGTAGCGACGATCAGGTCTATCAAGTGGAGCTCGGGGAGTAACAAGCTAACGATAGTTGCAAAGGACAGCGTCTGGGCCCTGGGCTGGCGTGGGCGTTCAATGCATGATGGAAGGGGGTTGTCTCGGTGGTGGCTTCCTGAAGGTGTGCAGTGCGGGTTGGTTGGGATACTGGGACACTGGGCCTCCATGGGCAAGATCCATCCAGATCATGGATCTTTTGTGTCTTTTCCTGCGGGCGCTAAGGATGACAGATGGAGAGACGCAGACAGACATTCCTGTTGTTTTCGGTGGGCTGAACTAGATCCGGCGAATTGGGTGGCGGCCTGGAGTCACTGGGGCAATCGGAAGTATGTATTTGCATGTTGCTATTTCGGTCGGACTCGCCGCGTTCGATTCCATGTCAGTGTATAGATGGTTGCGATGTCTTCCATCCTTATCTTCTGATGTCTTTAGGGTTTTCTTCTCTAGAGGTTATCAGAGCAGGCACTGCAATCAACAAAAGAGTATCGATAAAGTGGGTGGGGTACATACTGGAGTATAACTAGTAGGCAGCGGGATGCAGAGCGCGGGACGAATACATATCTCCGACACAATCTCCAACATGCTCATACCAGAGAAGAAAAAGACTCAGAGCTATTCTCCTACACAAACCTCATTTTAATCATATATCAAGCACAGCAACGTTAATATATAAGCAATCGAGAACTATCCTATGTATAATTGAGTATTATATCAGAGGTTATCACCATACAGACTTGTAATCTTGTGGCAAGAGTTGCTAGACCGCCTACAAAACCATCTAAAAATAAAAATGCTCCCTACTTGAAGAGTACATACGTCTGCATCAATCCCAACAGAATCGGTCTGTTCTTTGCGTTCCAAAGATAGCTCAGATCTGAAGACCGACTCAGACAGAACCTTGGCTTTGAAGATCCGAAGAACAACACAAATAATGATATCGACACAATAACCAGCCCATCCCTGCCGCTACCCCATAAACTGAATATAGCCCAGCCGGGAATCTAGCCTTCCACCTGCAATAAAGCGCTCCAATGAACTTATCGATCTATCCAATAAATCTGGAACCCCAAGCTAACTGGCTCTCTGAAGTCTACCCAGGTAGTCTAAGACTGAACCATCCAATCTCAGTTCCACCTCGTCCGAAGCCCAGCCCGAGGGAGTTACTGTCCAACCGGTTGACCAGGATACGCCCATGATCATCGCACCACCACCACTCCCAGCGCAAACATAGCTCCGGAATGCAGGCCAAGGTGCGGCCGAGCCTATGAGACCGAGTCGAGAAATTGTTTCCGGACGGGAGGAAGAACGGAGGGAGCAAAGGGTGTGTGTGGACGGGGATGTTCATCCCTTGATCCCTCTCTCCTCCCTTCCGGCCAACCCAACCCAGAACCGAATTGAAATCATAACATCTTTGGTTGCATTCCCCGTTACTGGCCTGGTGGAATTAGATCAATTCTCACAAATCGACCTAGCCTCTAGGTCTAGCTTCTCAACAAGCAGAGCGGTGAATATTCCCGCAGTGGTAGTCCCGGGAGACCGGGCTTGATGTCCACTACTTGTAGAGCCCAAGACCCAGCCACACCGTTCATGGAAAATGATGGCTTTGGGAAGTTCCCAGGCAACGGATGTCGGTTCTCCACAGTCAAGCTCCAGGGTGAGATGATGCAGAGAGACTGTCGCGTGACCTGCCTTTCGCTCAGCTTGAGACGGCGAGTCTGATTCTTCACCCTCAAGAAACTCCTTCACTTGGATCCAACGGTGATCTGACACAGTCCCAATGAGCCCAGGCTCATGATGCACAAAGCGATTTACTTACATATAGCATGATCGAAGCTTACCAGCCCGGGTGAGCTGCTACCGCTACACCAATTAAAAAGCTGCCGACCCCAGCCCATTCTCTGATACTTTTTGGCCCATTGGGCAAACTGCCAGCGTACTACATCGGATGCCGACTCGACTCAACTCGAACTCGAAATGTGTGAACTAAAGTAGAATCAGATACAATTTGTCTCGAGTGCTTTGGACACTCCGACAGATCACATCAGTTCTGTGTATGCAGATATATCTAATGCGGCACATTGCACACTACATTACCCCCGACGGTGAAAAGGCTGGCTAGCAGTGCGATTGCCGGCAACTGAGGTCGGGACGGGGCTTTGGCGGCTGTACTTCGACCTGAATGATGATGGTGCCGAGCTGCCGGTTGGAGCGCAGGGATTGGAGATTGTGCTAAAGTGGGTAACGGCAGAGGCATGAGGGCGAAGAGAGCTGAGGTCATGATTGTGGCCATGGTGATGGAGGTCAGGATGACGAACCGAGCGGGTTGTGGAGGTGGCAGCAGCAAGACTGCCGTCTCCACACAACTTCAGCTGAAAATGCCCCGAGCTGGCACTTCGGGCTCCACCCATAGCCCCCCACATATCTCGTCAAGCTTGTAAACTAATGCATAACCTATCTCAGGTTTATGGTGCTGTTCATTAATGCCTCTATGATCAAGTTGACTTATTGTTCAGTCACCTCCGGGGCATCCTTTTCATGAGGTTGAATGCGAATGTATGCTGCCTCGGATACTAGGCGGAGTCTGAAGATTAGTATCTCGCTCCATGTCCACTCGCATGTTCTCCTCCATCTCCTCCGCTTCCTCGTCATCCCCCCAGAACTCGCGGAGATCTTCTGCCCGCCAGCTGGTTGCCCATCCCGTTTCCTTCTCGATTCGTGTCAGAGTTTGGATAATAGCGGCATGTTCGGAATGATGAGACATGACTTTGCCAGCCAGCCAGAGCGGTTGCAATGCGTTGGTCCAACAGCCGCTACAATGTATCAGAAACCCGAGTCAGAATGTGAAGGTGTGGAAATGCTCACTGATGAGTATTCGAAGCTGAGATTGCGCAGATCTGTCGCGCATGCCAGAGAACAGACTTCTAACTCGACATTAGCAACTAAAGCTCGCCAGCCTGTCACTTAGGAAGCTTACCGTTCGACGTCGCTGCAATGGAAGAGTTTTAGGCTTTCCTTGAAGCAGAAGGAGAGCGCAGGCGTGATAGAGTTGGTTTCCGGATACTGTAAGCGTCAGAAGAAGTGAGGCGAGTGCACAAGTAATACTTACTAGCAGCGCCATTTCCATACAACACGGTCGGAAATGGCTTTTCGTTGCCTGACCCAGCAGTCGTGGTCGAGACACTAAAGATTGGCTTCATTTGACTAGGACGACACTGGTACCACTGTTCCACATCATGCAAGAGCTGTTGCCAGCGGTCAACATAGGAGTGGCCATCTTCCAGAACTCCGTGGTAGTAGGTGGGAAGTCTAGCGGAACCGACCAATACGCCCAGTGTCTGTGCGCACAGGAAAACAGTGTAGTTGGCATATGTATCAAATGCATATACGTTCGATGCCAGGAAAAGCTGCGCGGCTTCAGCAGGCGTCATGTCGCGAGGAATCCAGTGATGGATGGGAATTATGGTTTCTTCCTCCGAGATGAGACAACCGCAAACGTCTGATAATTGATTAGGATATTGATGGCAGAAAGAAAGAGGGAAGTGACAAAGCTACATACCCATCCTCGCAAAGCACCAGAAGAGCGCCTGTTCTTCCTTCCCTGAGAACCCATTGATCTCAGCGGCCTGAATCAAATATGCGCAGCCATCAAGATGGCGTCTCCATTCTTTGGGGTTACCTGGACAGTACATCAGAAGGTGATAAGCTGACAATAGCGCTGAACATACAGCTTAGCATCTCCAAAACGCGAAGAATCACGCAGGATGCAATGACAGGAGTACTCTTGCTTTCAAGTTCCGGAAGTAGCAGGTGAATAGCTTCTTGGTACAACGACAGACTCTCCGATTGAGACTTCTTGTTCTGCTTCCGCTCCATCTGCCGCGCCGATAAGGCAAGAATCGAGTAACGAAGATGAGGCGCTGATTTGGCCATCTGCGGGAAAGTCGAAGCGAAGTGGCGATGATTATCAAACATGTCAAGCTGTAAGACTAGCGTAAGTATGGCATCATCAAGACTACTCGCGCGTAGGTACTCACCCAAAGGCATATCTCGTTTAGATAATTCTGCCACAGGACAGTCTCCCGTTCGGGAAGGAGATCAAACTCCCGCCCTGTTCTTGAGTGAGACGTACCGTGAGACTCTGTCCCCACACGGCCTAATGGTAATGTACTGTCGTGTTCCGGTACAACTTCAGGGGAGCTACCCCGGCTTGGCATATCAGGTCGAGCAGTCCAGAGCTGTCTGTTGCGGAGAGTAGTATGTAGAGCCTCATAAGCAGATCCCGGGACAAACACATCGTTGGTAAAGCTGACTGTGTCAGAGAACACACTATGGTCAAATATTGGCGAAGGTATGGTCTGATAGACGTCTGACGCAGAGTGAGGGAGCTGCCCGGCGTTCCCAGAAAGGTTGCGAGGAGCAGCTAATTCATCGACAACAAACTCGGGACTCGAATGCATGTACGGCTGATATGATGGCGCATCTGGAGAGCGATGTACTGCGTGCTCCCCTTCTAAGGCAGACGCAAGAAGATCCAGCCCGCCTGGGTGCTGAAAGCTCTGATGCGATAGTGGTGAGAGTCTCTCGGCGCAGCGCGGGCTAAGATGCGGGAGATTATTTTGGGTGCCCTGTAAGGGAGAACTAAGCACAGGCCTCGCCTCATCTGTCCCGTTATTCTTGTCATTCTCCGATTGGAGCGGTGACGATGCGCGCTCAACTCCCTGCCGAGATTGCTTGAGCGAGTTTCGTTTGGCAGATCGAGCGGGAACCACACTCAAGATCTAAACCTAATCAGTCAAGAACTTGGGGTGTTCATCGCGTGGCCGATAGGGATCTACCTTGAATCTACTCTGACGAGATGCGCGACTGGTGGTTTGGTTCATGGAAGGATGCTCCGGCTCAAGGACTTTGAGGTTGGCCTCACGGAACGAACCCAGTCGGCGCCATTCGCACGTGTCGCCCCGACGTTTGCAGCCCGTGCATATCGGTTTTGCTTCATCGCCTAGAACGGTCAGCTCGACAATCCTTGCTCAGGAGAAAAGAGGCAGAGTAGCAGATAATTACATTTCCGGCGGCGATGGCTGCAATTGAGACAGCCAGTCCTAGTGCGCTTGCGCGGGGGCAGACGGGATGCATCAGGGGTAGTACGCATGTTGTGGCACAGATCAGATTCTGACTCCTCCGTCATCTTCGAAAGGAAGAAACAAAAATCTGGGGGATAAGATGGAGGTATGATGGAGAAGTGGCCGGAGAAACGAACACTGCGGGGAATAGAAGACTTGAGAAGAGAAAATTTCCTAAATTGGAAGAGATAACCGCCGCCCGCGTGGGGAACAGAGAAAAAACCGGGGTGAATTTCCCCGGACTGCAACTGCCTGTTTGGGATGTGCGTCCCGACACGAGTCGTTCCCAGGTCTCTTTCTTCAACTACTAGTAACTGACTATCTATAGTCATCTAACATGAACCACACATACCACTTGACAATCGGTCACTCTACATGCTCAATCATTCCCATGTCTTTCTCGCCCATCCGCTCACTGACACTTCCTGCTGCGCCCATCGATGGGTGCCAGTGAAGCCGCACCTTCTCTCCAGTGAAGAGCAGATCTACTTGCTCCAGGGAGAGTTTGCGAGTCTCTGGGTAGAAGAAGTAGATCAGAGGCAGGAAGCAGAAGTTGAACACTAGCGAGTCACGTTAGCTTCAGCCTTCTAGTCGGTGACGCGGGACCTATTCACCTGCGAAGTAAATGTATGTGCGATAGCCAATGTTGTCGATACTGACGGGAGTGATTTCCACAACAAGGAAAGTGAAGATCCCTAGAGAATGCCAGTCAGCTCTGGCACATTATGGTTCATTGCCTTGAAACATACAATTGGTGGCAGTGGCCATGGCGGCCGCTTTACTTCGAATGGCAAGCGGGGCATATTCAGCAGGCACTATTTGACCGGTTAGTGATTTTTGTCTGTAGGATAGAACGTGCAAGCAAACTCACATAGCCAAGGAATAGCAAGTAGGCCTACAGCGAAGAAGAAGTTGAAAAGAAACAGCATGATCGTAGCCACAATACCAGCCGCATGGCCGCCGTCGTAAACAGTGCCAGCCAAAATAGCCATGCAGCCACATTGCCCGGCTGCTGCAAAAAGCATGAGCTTCCGACGACCCAGTCTATCTAATTAGCAGTCTAATTGTGAATCCAGGGATAAAGGAGCATACCGATCGATGGTCCACACGGGAACAAACGTGGAGACAAAGTACGCCACGCCGTTGAATCCAGCCATCAGTAAAGCCAGGTTGTGGCTCATGCCAACCGAGTTCTCGAAGATCACCGTGTTGTACTGCATTTGTTCAGTCAAGGTGCGCTCATAAGACCCAGGGACTGGAGTCCGACTCACATATGTGATCAGATTGACACCCGACATCTGTTGCATGAACTGCCCGCCCATTCCGAGTAGAGTTCGGTAAAAGAACTTCTGTGGCCCATTGCTGAAGATCATACCAAAAGATCCTTCCTGGGACGCTGCCTGTTCCTCCGCGGTCGCACGAGAGATTTCTGCCACTTCCACAGTGACCACGGTGTCGGTTTCGGAAATCTGATCCGCATTGGCCTGAACAGCCCAGATAATATGACGGGCTTCATCGTGTCGACCGTGAGATATAAGCTTCTCTATATTTAGCTTCCGTGCCCCAACATTTCTGTATGACTGACTCACCCAACGAGGAGACTCCGGTAAGAGAAGGATCCCAAAGAGGGTGACGACAGCAAAGAGAATCTGCAAAGCGATCGGAAACCGAAACTGGGCTTCATTATCCACATAACTCATCCCGTAATCTGCGGCAGCTTAGTAAATTTGCCCGTCTTTTCCTGGAAAGGTGGAATACTGACCAACCCAGTAGGCCGTCATTACGCCAAAGATGTTAATAGTGAGCTCTATTGCCAGCTAATCAAAGTCAGCAGAAATCATAAATACTGGGCCAAGTGACTTACCCCTTTCCCTCGACTAGACGCCTTGCTCAACTCCGAATGCCACACCGCTGCTCCAGTAAGCATACATCGCACCAAAATTGTGACGGGAAGGACCACACGTACGGATTGTACTAGTGTTGAGACCATTACCGATGCCAGCCACAATACGACCCACGATCAATTGCGGGATACCGTATGCACTGCACTGGATAGCCGCACCAATACTAAGAATGATAGAGCCAGCGACGATACACATCCGCCGGCCTATCTTCTCGCCCGCGAACAGCGCAACGAGGGCGCCCAAGAAGCAGCCCTGTCCTTGTTAGTGATGTCAAAAAGGGAGGAGGTATATTCGACCTACGATCTCGTAGATAGCGACCCTGAACCGGTTAGTCTGGCTCATACAATAGTAACTCATGTGCTTGACTTACACCGTGCCCTGCAGCGAAGAACTGCCATGTCCTGTCGAGGTGGTGTCGATCTCGGGGAATGTTCGAGTGAACGCATTGCCAGTCAAAAGACCTGACATGACACCTTGATCATAGCCAAACCTGCATCCAAAGGTCAGTCACATCTGATGATGATGAGCAATTCCCGGGATGACTCACAGCAAGAAACCACTCCCCGCCGTGGCAGTGATGGCCAGCGAAAGCGGCTTACCAGTAAGAATAGTCATATCGTCCAAACGATGCGTGAGTATAGAAAGTAGAGACAAGGCCAGCAACTAGGGCTCGGATGCACTTCGACTTGACTTATGGGGCCCTAGCCAGTTTTATGTAGCTGGGCTATATAGGTAGGGTTAGGTTAGATATCGTCGAAAGACGGCAGAAGAACGATGCGGGACGTCATTTCCATGGGGTGGTTGCGGGGACACGAAGAACCGGGGTTTGGGGCGCGGAGAACAACCATAAAACCTCTTTTCCAAAGATAAGTCAAAGCCGGTACCATAACTTTGGTTGGTGCCATTGTGGATATCATCAAGTTCCTGAACCAGCTTGACGGCCCGCTTCAATACTTATGCGCCTTTTCCCGTCTGTATGGTAGTCAATTTATTAAAATGATGATTGGGCATTGTATATGGCCCGTGACCATCTCAGGTCTCATGAATTCCAACCTGCATGGCATCATCTGATTTCCACCCTCTTCCGCTATACGAAAAACCGAGTGGATTTCAATTAGGGCATCACCAAGTTTACGCTCGTATATTACCCAGTCCGGTAGTCTTTGGCGCCTCGGCACGACCCACAGTGGGATGAGCCGAAGAAATCGGCAACGCCGCGGTCTCATCCCGATCTTTCCGCATCGGGAAGGATTTAGCACTCGAGTCGTGGACAACACCACATGGTAGATCGATGGACCAGAGAGCATACTTGTAGTAGTCGCAGCATTGCACATATCTGCAGCGCAAGAAGATAAGCAAGAACCGTTGCATCGAGATAGACCGTCCCACAGCAGCTTCCTCCTTGTTACGTTAACCATAAGCGCTGCCCACCAGCAGCACGTTCTTTATATATGAACTCTCCACGAGAACATCGGACTCCTCCCACAGACACATCCTAATCTCTAATATCACACTACCACCAGAATGTCCCCCTCCATCTCCGACAACACCATCCCGGAGGTCGCCCTCGACCAGACCACTCCAGCCGTCGCCGACTCCACCCAACCCTCCGTCATCGGGCGCACAAACGACCTCTTCTCACTAGGCAACCGCACGGTTGCAATCACAGGCGGAGGCCGTGGACTGGGGATCGTGCTTGCGGGCGCAGTGATCGAAGCGGGCGGCGATGTCGTGTGCCTGGACCTGCTGCCGGCTCCGAGCGCCGAGGAATGGGCCTCCGTGCAGAAGCTGGCCACTGCGCGGCGCCTGCACGCATCCTACGTCTCATGCGACATCACCGACGAGGCGTCCACGAAGCAGGTTCTTGAGCAGATCGCCGCCGACGCCTTGAGCCGCAAAATGCCCCTGCGCGGACTTATCACCTGCGCCGGAATCCAGCAAATGGTGCCCGCGTTGGAGTACCCCGTCGACATGTGGAGGAAGATGTTGGATGTCAAGTTTGTGGTTCCTTCCTCATTAGGCTGAATTAGAAGCTGCTCCGCTGGAGAAGGTGAAGAAGTAAGCTTTTCTGACCAGCTGATATCAGTGTGATTGGCACTTTCATTCCCGCCAAGCACTGCGCTCGCATTTTCAAGGAACAGAACACCCCCGCAAGTATCGTGATGATTGCTTCGATGTCGGGCCAGATTGCCAACAGGGTAAGAGAAAATATCCTATCTTTTAGAGCTGTACTCGATGGAGTGTGATTATACGCCGCTGCTAAGAAATGACACCAACAGGGTCTCACCTGCACAGCATACAACTCCTCTAAAGCCGCAGTTCACCAAATGTGTCGCTCTGTCGCCCAAGAATGGGGACAGTATGGCATCCGCATCAACACGCTCTCCGCCGGTGTATGTTCCCCTTTTCCCAGGAAGTATCAAATCGCGTCCACTGACTGAGATTATAGTATATCCGCACTGCAATGACGGATGCTTTGCTCGCGGAGAAGCCGGAGGTGGAGGAGACTTGGATGCGGGGGGCGTTGTTGGGCCGTCTGGGTGTGCCGGAGGACTTCAAGGCGCCGACGGTGTACATGTTGGCTGATGGCAGCGGGTTCATGACGGGTGCGGATCTTAGGGTGGACGGAGGACATTGTGCTTCTGCTTGATTACAGAGCTGGATTTAATAGATGGCGTTAAGGTAGATAAGGGAATGTACTTCGTTAGGCATTGGATTCTTGTCTGTGGTGGTTCGTCGAGGTCATACACAATAAGCTGCCTTCGTGGCGGCCGAAATGCCGTATCCATTGATCTATTGACCTTAGAGTAGAAAGTCAGAAAGACACAACCCTTGAGCCCTGCTAAGGCTTCCTCGGCTATGGTCCGCTCGACTGGCATGCATTGGCCATATTACTAAAGCGCCCTGTGCTAATGGTCTCAGGCGCCTGCATTGACTGTCCCCGAAAGCGTATCGCTGGGACTCATGTCACATTGAACTTGGTACCATTCATGCGAGACGCAGAAGAATTAAACGAATGAAGAAAGATAGGGTCGACTACAGGGACTGAGTTGGGTATGACAAATTGGCTGGACAAGTGAGATCATGCTGTTACTGTTGCTTTCAGCACAATTACCTGGTCCATTCTATGGATTCCAAGCTCCCCACATCCACCCAAATTTCCCATTAGCTGAGAAAATTAGTCCGTGTGATGCTATTGTACCGACACCACTCAGAATGGAATCAGGTTCTCTGATCTGAAAAGCTCTGCCTGTGATACATCCATACGGGGAAATTGAGGGCATGCGTGCTGATGACCAACAAGGTCCGATCCCGAGTGATCAATTGAGTTTCTATCCCGGCGCTATTGTAAGTCACGGTGACATGGCTTGTAGTCAAAGGCCCACTGCATCTATTGCTGGGTGGAAAGCTTGTTGGATGTAGTACTGAAACCAGGACGGCGTGAGAGCAATTCCAACAAGAGTTGCTGGGTAGCCAATTAGACGAGATTGGCTGCACGCACAAGTCTGCTCCCACGACCTTCGAGCTAGAAAATGTTGGCAACCATCTGATCTGTTGTGAGATATCGATCATGCGTATGATGTTTCAATGTTTACCTGCTGTCCAGCATGGCGTGCTCAGCATCGAAAGTCATCACAGACCCACACGAGAAGTCAGACTGCATGAAGAGCGGGGGATTTTGAGTTCTAGTGTGGTATGTCTCGAAGCATTAAACACTTTTGCACCGACAGGAGCGACGGGAAGACCTCAACAAGCTTGTGGGAACAGGTGCTAGTCATTGACCCCGCGCGCTTGGTCCGTTATCCCATGGCAACGGTCGGACTGACATGACCTTCATGATCACCTCTGACCAATCGTTTCTGCCTGCGCTGAAGAAACATGGATGCGTGAGTGCGTACTGCAGACGCCCAGTTGGTGGAGTGGAGATGTAGATAAAGCAGGGAAAACAAGCAGCGTGGGTGTCTGGGGAGACCCAGCCACCAGACTAGAAATACAATGGAATTCAAGGCCAACAGAAGGCTTCGAGGGCGACAGGTCATAGGTGTGCTTGTGATAGAGGAGTTGCAAGATGGATTCCGTGGGCGAGCCGCCAGTAGGCAAGACCGGCAGATGGGTGCATTAACGCTGGGTAGAACGACAAGGATCCAGAGTATCTTTGACTTAGGGTGGGTTTCCTAGGCAGTCGATTGGGTCAAGATTGGACCAGCGTGCTTTAGTGAGTGATCTGGTGTAATCATTGTGTGGTGGCTAGGGGAAATTGGAGCTTTGGCGCCGGAAAATAGCGCGCGTCAATCCCTGAGGAAGTATCTCAATCTGCTCGTTAGTTTGCAGCATCGCAGCATCACCGATGCAATCTATGAGCATGGAGTGAGACGTGCAAGAGCTTTGAAACAATATATAAAGAGGATATCGAAGAGTGGTGTTGAAGAAGCTTCCACTCATTCGACAGAGTTGCTGATACTCCTTCTCTTCATCCACTGTCACACATCTTTGCAGATCAAACGATCTGAACCTGCAGTTGGGGGCAACAAACTCGTTCCCTCTTGTCCCGCAAGCCAATGCCCACCAGTCAATGTTGCAGAGTGGTGCCCCATCATTGCATTGAAGATCACCCCTCTCTGCAGCCAGCTTGAGGTAAGTTGAAACGCGTGGTGGAAAGATGTCGATAGTTAGTTTGGGACAGGGTGACTCGGGCTTCTTTCGATTGCAGCAGCCGCGCTGGACCTGTCGGGATCAAGCCACTTCGGGACTAGCGCGTGACACTGACATTGAATAGTGACAGACCATACAGAAGTCCCGTTCTTTTACCGTCATAATACCTGTATCGTACGCGAAATCCGTCTGCCTCTCAGGGTGTCGGCGTCAATTCGAGATAAATAACAATCCTGTCGCCCTCCACGTCTCGCCCGCACATCTTCCCTCCACCTTTCCCCCCCCTCCTTTTACCTTCTGTATCCAAGTGACGGGATATTAAATAAGAAGGTTTCCTTCGTATCTCTTCTTATCTATTTCACGGCGCCGATGATACCGGTTGGACGACTCCGATCTTCCAGTTCTGATTTGCCTACTGATCCCGGTAGTCGGCTTCCTCATACAATCCATCATCTATATACGACCAGTAGCCCTGGTTTACTGCCACGCACACACAACGTGACAAGGTCAGGCGCGTCTCTGCCAAACCAAGCCATCAACCGTCTTCAGCTCGTTGTTCCTGGAGGCACCGAATCTTCACTTGTGTCCTACACTCAACCTCTTCTACCCAGTCCTCGACAAACCAGCACCTCAAAAATGCCAGCGAAGCCAACGCTCCACCCGTTACAGACGCCGCGGACGATGACGTTCCCCTCCGAGCTCCAAGCCGACTCAGGCGCCAGTCTATCAGGAGGAGGGCGCAATCACAGTGACGACGGCCTGTCGACCCCGATCACTCCGCCCGCGGCGTACACGGAATTCCTCAAAGCCCTGACGCCGATCTTCTCGCCCGCCGACGGCAATGGGCCTGCCACACGCTTCGTCTGGGACAAAGCCGCCAAGACACCGACCTCGCAGCCCGCCAGTGCCGTCAGCGGCACCTTCAATTTCTCCGACCCAACGCGGCCCGCGACGGCGTCGCTGCCCCCGCCGACGCCGTACGGCACAGTGCCCCCGGCCCGGCGGGACATGCTGAGCCTGCGCCGTCTGCGCATCCCGCCCGCCATGCTGTACTCGCCCACCTTGGAGACGCCGCGGAGCGCGAACTCGATCCTGTCGCCCTACTCGCCGTCGGATTGGAAGCTGCGGTACTGGGAGGGCCCGCGCAGTGCCACCGCCGGTCGGGTGAGCGTGCGGCATGTGGTCACCCATACCGTGACGTATAAGCGGACGCAGCTGGAGGATCCGCCCAAGGGGAAGCGGAGAAAGCATAGTGAAGATAAAGATGAGTCCTGAGGCGTAGGCGAGGTTTTTGGTTTCATTCTGTCTGAATTAGGTAGCGCTGGGTTCTGGCGTTGGGAGTTGGGGAGGAGGTTTGATTTACTGGGGCAGGAAATAACAAATATGATTGACTTCTCTATCTCTGAGACCTTTTCCAAGTGCCACACCCTTGTAATCGCTGGATATGCATGAGTAGCGAGTTATCCTTTCAACGAGCACAAGTTGCTGACTGGTATATCTGGATCAGTAGTGTACAATACAGAAGCCAAGCTGGCCAATGACGACATGTACTGTACTGTAGGTGCAGTGAGAACTGATCAGCCAGTGACGTCGGCCATCAGCAACGAGTTCCCTGCAGTAGATTATCTTCTCTAGTAGCTATGATAGTCACCATCGAAGAGCGACTGGCAACGCCCCTCCCCTACACTGTGACCCAGGTACCATATATTTCCTGATCCCAAACTACAACGAACTCATCTATCAACCAGCAAACCCCTACGAGAACACTCAAACATCAGGCTTAATACAACTACCAACCAAAAACCTCAGAAATTGCCTTCAGGCCACCTCACCACCACCTTAGAGCCTCCAACCTGCAAAGCCTCTGCGCCGCAAGCACCCACTAACCTATCCCACGGAGCCCTCAAGTCCTCCAGGACACTACAACAGCCTCCAAGCGCCTCCACGTGTCCAGCCCAGACACCCTCCTAATCAAGAAAACCCACAAGACTCCATCCACCCTCAAGACCAACGCAACGCACCATTAGCAGATAACAACCCCACCCAACCACACCTCCAATCTCTACGTAAGCACGCCTAGACGCAGATAGATGCCCAACTCCCAAGGAAAAAAATCCAGAACCCAACGCAATGCGACCCGAGCATACGGAAGCGCGCACTGACAGACGAACATCCCGGACACATCCGCGGGTGAGACGGAGGGGGGATGGAAGTCCGTGGGAAGGAGTTGTGACCCGGGGAAGTGGTAGAGATGGCGATTGGAGCAGAGGCAGGCCGGACGGCACTAGGGGAAGACGGGAGAAAGGGGGGTTAGGGGGGTGTAAGCTAGGCTTTGTTGGCGCGGTTGTTGGCTTTGGGAGGGGTTGGTTGGTGGACTGACGCCGTGGGACGCTATCTTTTGCTTTGGGAGGGCTTACTGTGTGCTGTTCTTGGGTGTGTGTGTGTGGATGGGTGTTGGTGGAAGGGTACGAGTAATTTGTGGTGGGTTGATGGGGTTTGATGTTGGTCGTGGATTGTCGTAGAGTACTAATGTACAGTAGAAGAATTGGTGTTTGGGCTGGCTGGTATACAAAATCTCTACGAAACGATACAGCATCTGGATAGATTGAGATATCAATAGCATCCATATACTCAATCATAAAGATGGTGAGAGAACAAGAGCAAAGGAAATAAGAGGCTCAACACATCAGGCTCCATACCTCAGATGCTACACACAGTAAGTATTGTAACATCCCTAACCATCAGCGGTAACGGTAACTTACACATACACGCCATACCAACCCGAACACACGGCGGTAACCCTACCCTCCCCATTGGAACAGCCCAAGCCCCCAAGCCTTGAGATTATAGAGTGATTGAGCCAACCTGAAAGCTGACATTCATTCCACTCTCAGAAATCTGGGTCCAGAAACTTTTCGACCTAATTTCTTTCGGTGATTCGCCCCGTGGTGGGCAAGCCCCGTGCAAACGGCCGCCGGCTTGCCTGCCCGTCACAGCTTAAGGGCAACACTTTTAAGTCAGCTTTGTGATCTAGCACCATTGAATGGAGACCGGTGATTGGATAAGGAGGCGCGCTCTCTGTTTCATGTTTGTTCGCTGAAGAATTGCGGGCGCAGGCAGGCGGGATCAAGGGGTGGGAATTTTTAGATTAAGATTGAGATGGTGATGGGCTGGAAATAGAAAAGCAAGATCTCGAGGCCTTCGAGAAGACACACCAAATAAAAGGCGGCATCTTGAATATGTTACCATCGTGACTTCGTCAAGCAATTCAAGTCCTTAAATCGGTACGCAATCCACACCAGCCATATTGTCCTTGAATAACTTCCGCCGCAACAGTATCAACACGGAGAGGGAAGTAGAGTAGCAACGCGCTCCAACGCGTCTCCCTCCAGTGTCCAGAACTCTACCACACCAACAACACAAATCTACTAAGCCATTAGTATCTTAGATCCAGCCTAGCAAAAACCAGTACACCACCAGCCAGACGAAAGAGCCAGTGTGCACAGAGCACACACCCCAGCGCATGGTCATCAGCAAATAAGCCTGGAGGAGGTGGAGGGAGGACACCCTCTCCGGCGCCAAAACCCACCACGCGTCATCCCCCAATCGCCCCTCCCCACAAAATCCTTATCCCGGCGGCACCAATCGTTGATTTGTTCCAGAAATCGGGAGGGGGAAATCCCGCGGGCGGGGGCCCACTTTCCCTTTCCAAAGTAGACTAGTCCCGGCGCTTAACCGCAGCTGCCACGATGGGCCCGGGGCCCGGCTGCACTTGGCTATCCTAAGTATCTGTCTGTCTGTCCATCGTGCCAGTGATTCTAGTCTAGATAGCAGGGGGGAGGGAACAGTAGCGCTGCTAGTATCAGTCTAGTTGCTAATTATAGAGATCAAGGGGCATCTGCATCCATTTCTATCGATGATATGCGAAAGACAGACAGACACATAGCAAAAATCAACAGCGCAACCAAAATCCCAAGACCTACCAAGAAACAACAAGTAATAACCTTTGTGAAGGATTTCCCTCATCCGCCCAACCATCACCAACAAAAGTTAATATAAAATCACATCACACACATAACACCTTACAATCCTATGGATTTGCCGCCGTGATCTCAGCCGCTCACTTCTTATCCTCCCTTCTCCCGGAGGGATCATCGCGCCAACCCGTCCCGCGTCTCGCTTTCTGGCAATGTACCGAGATCTAGTGCACTTTTCACTGCCTGGAGATTCGAAGAGGGAGGGAGGGAGGGAGGGAGGGGAGATAGTGACAAATTTAGAACCGGTGATAATGCGCCCTAAGGGCGTTTCGCTAATCAGCAAAGGCCGACAAGAAAGAGAGAGCGGGGCAGGAAGACGGTAGAGGGCGCATCTTGCAGATGGACCAATCCGGATGGATATTTTTGTCTTTTCTGCAGGGCTGGGACGGACTGAATGATTGATTGATTAAATGACTAACTAGGTAACTAACTTAGTCGCCAGCTTGGATGGATGTACAGTATAGTTGACTGTGCTATGCAGCGGCAAAGGAGGGGCAGATGTTGTCTTGTCTGCAGGATACTGGATAGTGCATAGAAAGGGTCAGCTGGTGAGTGGAAAAGAGGGCGTGTCGCCCTCTCTCTTTTTCTCTCTCTTGATGAATGGGTGGGCAGGCGCACCCTTAGAAGTCCCGGATATCTGCGGACTTTCTATTTTCATCACAGGCCAAGGAAGTTATTTTGGGTGATCGCAGGGACCCTGAGCGAGGTTCTCTGATTGGATTAATTGATTGCAGCATATTGCTTATGTATGCGCAGCGCATTGCTATTCTGGGACAGAGAGGGGGAAAGGGATTATTTTTGGTAACCGCTAACTACTACAGCGGGCTGCAACGGAGATGGGCTCTACTGTGAGTTGCGATTGTTGCATAGGGAGCTTATATCATGGGTATGTAGCCGGATGATGAGAATCATGGACGATAGATGCAGCTGGTCTGAATGTTGTCGATGATGCTGCCGGGATTTACATTCCAACTGACTGACTTGATCCGAAGTCACTGTCAATACAACACAGACAGACAGACAGACAGACAGTCAGTCAGTCAGTCAGTCAGTCAATACATTGACGAATCCCTCTCGATGATATCCTCCGGACTATCCATGGCCTGAATCTTGATTTGACTGGTGGAGCGTGCATTCGTCAGCCAGTGACAGTCCTCAACTCCATCGGCATTTTCGCAGTCCGTGACGAATGGCTTGGACGCCGTGATTCTTAGCTGTACTTCCAGCCCAGCCGGTTCTATGTTTCCCTCCTCCCGATATACCAGCGGCTATGGTGATGATGATGATGATGATGATGATGTTGACTGTTGTGATGATGATTGCAGATTCCCATGGCCATGCGCTGACTTTCCCCCTCTCGTTTGAAAAGAGGGTCTACCAATGAATGTGGGCCATCCCTCTCCTTGGGTGATACGCACAGCGCGTGGGACAAATATAGAAACAAATCATGCGTGGTCGTCCGTTTCTTCGGGCAGTTTAAGCGCAACTCCCTGCAGGATCGCATCGCTTCATCACTCATCTCTGAAGACTATCCCCTGCGTATTGCCGCCCATCTGCTCGTCGCGGGCCGTGTGTATGGTACTGTTCTGTACATGGGGATTTCCTTACCATGACCAATTTTACTGACGCTTTGCGTTAGATGGAGCAGGAATGATAGACGCAGAGATGCAGTGGTTGTCTATTGTCTATCAGCTGGCCTGGGTGGGCTGCTATATCATGGGGTGTTTCGCTCCCGAAGCGATCGGTGATGAACCTCAATGAATAGCAGCAGCAGCAGCAGCAGCAGCAGCCTAGTCGGACCAGACCAGGGATGACGCTGACATGCCTGGCCCTGCTCCCTTTGTGTCTCGCCCATTCGTGATTTTCTTTCAGTGCCCCTCTTCAAAGTCGACCTGTCTTTGATCTCTTCGTGCCTCAAGTGGGGTACTTACTCCTCTCCTCATTCAGCCTCGGTGTCAGCCATGAAGCCAAGCAGGCATCCTTCCAAGCAGGGGAAGAAGCAATACCATGACTCTTTCCTTCAAGTTGCATATCCGTTGCGATGCGGAAGTCCTAGCGACGGAATTCAGCACAGCGAACAGAGAAAAGCAGAAACTGGCAAAGAATGAAGGGGGAACAATGGGGAGAGACCTAGAGAATGGAGAGAGAGAGAGCGTTGAAGCTGCGGTGTGATGCCAAGGCTGCATCTATAATTAGAACCCATCAATTTCAGAACCCCTCAAATCAATCCAATCAATCAATAATGCAAATCAATTCAATCAATCAATCAGTCCATCAATCGTCCATTCCATCCACGTTCACCATCACCAGGCACCACATCACCACCACCACCAACCACCGCCGACTTTGTTTCTCTTTCTTTCCCGACTTCCATCTTCTTTGACCTTCGACATCCAGGCACCACGGACCAGAACACAAGCGAAAACAGTCTCGACCGTTTCTAGTCTCGTCTGACCCGTGATCGGCGGTCCTGCAGTGTCTTCTTTCCTCCCCCCTTCTCAGATGCATCGTCCATCTTATCAGCGACATTTCACTGCCATCGTCTGGTCCGCCTGATCCCGAACCACAGTACACCCTCCCTCCAACCTCCATACACCTCAAACCCACCAACAACAACAACAACAAACAAAACAAAACAAAGCCAAAAACAACAAACAAAAAAGCCATGGCCTACTCTCTCCCGACACCCTTCACCCCCAACAACAGTGAATTCGCAACGCTGGACCCCACGCGGGTGCCGGACGGGATCATTTCGATCACGGCGCTGGCCCGCTTCGAATTCGAAGCGGGCAAGGGCAACGACGGGACCAAGATCCTGATGATCGAGTGGGAAGACGACGACCTGGGGCGGCGGGTGGCGGAAACGGGGGGCTCGTGGCACGTCGCCTGGGAAGGGAAACAGGCGGTGCTGCCGGCGGACGAGAAGACCAAGGACAACACGCGCCGGCTGTACTTCCTACTCCCACCGCACGTCACCATCCCGCCCACCGTGACGCTGTTCTACGAGACTCCGGCCACAGCCACAGCAGACCCGAACAACAACAATAACAACACTACAAAGGCGCCCGAACCCTTGCATCTGAACCCGCTCCCCGCTATCTTCCCGCCGGAGTTGGGCGCGGACGGCCGCTCGGCGGGTAAGAAGGGCGTGCTGCACACCATTTGGGCGAAGAAGCGGCTGCAGGTGCTCGATAAGGAGATCCGTGAGGAGTGTTTGACGAATGTCGAGGGAATCGCGCTGCACATGGCGTTGCAGGAGAAGGAGTGGATCGAGACGAACTTCGGGGTCTCGTTGACGGACCGCAGCAGCAACAACAACAACCACCACCACAACCATCCGGATCCGCATTATCCCATGGGTCCGGCGACGCCGGTGTCGCCCAGTAGTAACGGCGGGGGCAAGCTGGGGGAGAAGCTGAAGGGGCTGAAGCTGCAGACGGGCGAGAAAGAGCTTTCGCCCAAGGGGGAGGGTATGTTTTGCCCCATGAATTGCCACACACACACACACACACACACACACACACACACACAAGCACACAAAAGCTAACCCATCCTCTTTTCTTTCGGTTATGTATAGGCCACGCCGCCACAGCCCGTCACCTTCTCTCCCCGCAATCCCCAGATGTAGCCGTCTCGTCTTTCACCTCCTTCCACACCCTCCACCACAACCCCCCGCCACTCGCCCAACCACCACCATCAGACCCCATCCGCCCCCCGGTGGTAGTCCACTACCCGCCGGAATCCCTACAAGCGCACCAATCGAGCGAGCAACACCAGCACCACCACACAGGCTTCGCCTCGATGGGCACGCTGGCGCGCACCTCCAGCGTCGAATCAGGCGAAGAGCTCTTTGCCAAGGCGTTGAGTCCGCGCACGCCGGACCTTCCGCGGAGTCCGTTCTCGTTCAGTCCGGGGACGTTGCATATGTGAAGTTTAAAACCATTGGACTGTACTTTGTTGCATAGGTGACGGTGACATTGGGTGGTTTATTTTTGACGCAAAGCAAAGCATGCTGCACTACATACATTCTTTTTTGTTGTTGTTACTGTTATTGTTCATATTAGCCTTGTCTCTCGCTTTCTGCTGTGTTTGTTAAATGATTCCCCCTCCCAAATTATAGCCATTATGTTTATGTTTGATGACTCAAGAGGGGTGGGACTGTTGTCCGGGTCTGTGTATATAGGAGGCATGAGAATGAATTTTCTCGTAGGAGTTGGTCTTCATGGCAATGGCCCTTATATCATCATCACCATCGTCACTCCAGTAGCATCCCAACCCGTGAAAGCAACCACCAGTCCAGCAAGCCTACAGCTACAGCTACAGCTACAGTATACAAGGTATATACAGCCGATGGACCCTCCACAAACGTTCACCACTCCAATACCACATCAGCCGTCTCAGCAGCAAGAAATACACATACACACTGAAACCCCATCCACAATCCACCTCTTCCCAACCTCCCTGCACCACCTCCTCCCAATCAACAGAACACAATCCTCGCCCAGAATCCCAGATGAATCCATCCCTAATTCTTCTTCCTCGAACTCGCCTGCCTGGTCACCCTACCAGTAGAAGTAGCAGTAGCAGTATCCTTCACATTCTCCTTCCCGCGATCACTCTCGTCCTCACCTTCAACCCTCTCCTTCTCCTCCCCCTCAGCCCCCTTCCCAGCAGACCCCTTCTTCGACGAAGGGGAAGTTTTGAAACTCTCCACCTCCTGCGCCTCCTTCCGCTCGGCATACCACTGCCCCGCCTGCAAAACAAGCACGCCGACCAACACAAGCGCAAGAATGGTATTACTAGCCGCCAGGACCTTAAGCGAGTCCTCCCTCCCCAGAATCTGGCCTTCCTCGTCTGCTGCTGCTGCTGCACCACCATTCCCGGGAAGTAAATCATCCCCGTATTTCCCCGCGCTGACCAGCCGCAACCCCTTGACGATGTTCGCGATATAGACCGTCACGCCGCACATATACAGCACCAGACTTGCGCCGTCGAAGAGCATGTTGCTCTCGGAGGGACGGTAGAGTTTCGTGACGAGGCCGGCCAGACCCAAGAAGATGACGATGTGGAGGATGCGTGGGATGAGGGGTGGGGAGGCGTGGAGGAAGCGGAGGTGGGATTCAAAATAGTCGAAGTGCGTGGCCGGCGTTGGGGTCGTGGACCATAGGATTGGGTAGTCGTAGGGGAAGAGGGAGAAGATTATGCCGAGGAAGAAACTCGTTGCTATTTTTTTAATTATTCATGTGTTTAGTTTTTGGTTCGAGGGGGAATCGGGGTTGAGGGATATGGAGCTGATGGTGGTGGTGTTGCTTACGGCACACGATGAGGAAGGTCGCAAACGACCCATTGCGAAAGGCCATGGTTGCAACTGCTCGACGTCGTCCGCTTCGGACACTACGTTGTCAAGATGCAAAAGAGCTGAGTGTAGTGCTGCTGCTGCTGCGGCTGCTGCGGGCTGCTGGTGTCAAGCCTGGTCGATCGTGGTTGAGACAAGAGAGAAAGTAAGATCAGCCCGCCCGAGATGGAGAGAAAGTCGAGTCCTTCCCGAGGTTGAGAAAGTTGAGACAAACCCGCCTTGGGCCTTGGCGCGTCAGGCCCCTCCAGCCAGCATCCTAAGAAAGGTTCCAGTTCATGTGTCTTACTGCTTATCAACCACCACTTTCTTATCAATTGAGCTGGTTTGTTTGGTGTATCCAACACCCCTAAATCCTCCCCAGAATCCAATCCCTGACTGATAAGCCAGCCTTTTAGTCACTATCTTCAACATATATCAAATGTATGAAAATGCAATAGAAATCAAAAGAGCACAAAAACTGAAATGGTATCTCCCGGTAGCCCCGCAATGCAATATACTCAAATCAAGCAAAAACAAATGAGACTAAACAGTTCGTCATCGCTGATACCGCGGTAATGACTCGTCGCCATGCGCCATACCACCCACCAAGTGGTGGTCCTCTTCGTCGTCATGGAAAACCGGCGCTGTGGGTGCATCGCCTGGCTCAGCCGGCGCTACCTCCGGTGCCTCGGGTGCGCTGGCTTGCGCCATCAGTCGGCGTCGCTCCATCTCTTGTTTATCATCTCCCGTCTGCGCTGCCTCACTGGCAGCCATCGTACTACTGCCCGGCACTACGGTCTGCATCGATTCCGCCGAGATAGCCGGGCGCGGGGTGCCATTTTCGGCCGGAGAAGGCAGATGCTGGTAGTCCTGCAGGTGATCGTCTTCCGGAAGCACCGGCGCGGTGGGCATTGCCATCTCCGAGGATCCGACACCGGGGTCATCTCCAGGAGGTTGGCTAGGGAGAAGCATCTGCTCAGCGCGCTGTAACCGCGCCTTTTCATCCATCGGCTCCTCCGTAAGCGGGGTGGAGACCATCTCTTCGAGCGATTGGTACGACTGCGGTTCCTCCCCATACCCTTGACCCGGATACTCAGGCCAATGCGACGGGTCATAGGAATACGCTTGGTCCTCGTGATACTCCGTCTCACCGTGAGGTTGCGAACTCGGCTCAGTCGGCCTCACCTCTCGCTCGGTGGTGAAACTGCCCTGTGAGAGGTCTTCAGGTCCCGCTGCCACCGACGGTGCGGATTCTGTCCGTTTTGCTCCTCGTTGCGAATCCCGCGTGCCAATCACAACCTCAAAGACGACCGCCACCACGCCCTTCTCGCGTCGGATCTGATCCGTGTCCAGAATATTGCCCGACCAATTGGCTGTAATGGCACTGTTATTGACATCGGTCGGGTTCAACACCTGCCCACTGGGCGAGTAATTCCCACCCGAGGTCACCATGTTGAATCGCGGCAAAAACCGGTCGGGAGAGGTGAGCTTCCCTCGGAGGTCCACCACTACCTCGACATAATACCGGAAATTGATCATACTTCCTGGGGTGCGTGTGATAGTGGGAAATGTGTCTTCCGGTACGCGGATCGAGGTCTTAATCACCGCCGTCATAGTCACGGGGTCCACAATAAGTGGTGCAAAGGTCTGCGTCAAATCTTTCCGAAAGACACCGGTGGTGCGACTGGAGCCGAGAGTGAGACCTCCCAGACCTGTCCGAGAACGCGGATAGTAGTCTTCGTAAACTGGTTTCTTCCCGTCCGGTTTCCCCATCGGAATAGCCGGATGCAGGTCGATCCGGCCTTGGCGGTATAGAGTCACGATAATTCCATGCGCGCTGCGCACTTGTTTGCAATGGTTGATTGTCACCGTAATCGGCAATGTATCGCCTGGCAGCACGCCCGCACGCATAACTTCGGCCTTTGCGATGATGGTTCCTTCCGTCACTGATGGGGTAATGCTCCGAGCCTCACTGTTTCGCATACCGGTGCTGGTTGATGAACTTGGATCGCTAGGAACCCGGAAGCTCAGGCTGCTGTTGCTCGGTCGGCTCGAGGAACTGACGTTACTAGGTGTCGGACTGAGCGGCGGACGAGTATCGGCCGAGCTTTCGCCATGATCCGAAGGCTCGAGCGATTGGGTGTCGGGCGCGTCAGATCCCGCTGACTTGGCCTTCGCTTTGGATTTGGTGCGTCGAGAGACAGGCTCGAGGGTGACAATTCGAGGTTTGGGGCGAGGAAAAGGGGCAATATCAATATTTTCCAGCACGGTGACGCGTCTTCGGCAGGTGGAGGTCGGGTTGATCGTGGTCGGCTTGGTTAGGGTGGACGTAAGCATATAGGCGATGGTGCCTCGTTCAAACTGCAGGCAGAAGAGGAGTCAGCATATACCACTTGCCACGCGCGGATCTAGGCCGTCGCCAGGGTACGTACATTAATGCTACTGGGTAGCGCATATGGAGGGAAAGACATCTCGAAGCGAAACTTGTAGACGCCCTCCTTGAGACGACCCTCCCCGCACAGGACGACCTCGTCCTCAAACAACGTGGAGAGACCATTCCCCAAGTATTCTGGCCCCCGACGCCCGCGCCCAGGACCCAGGAAGCCCAACTCTGGTGACGACTCCCCCGTCGGAACGGTGTTCTTGAACACTCTGACAAAGCCATGCAGACAGACGACGAGATGTGTGATGCGAACGGGTCGGACAACGGTCAGCACGACCGTCCCGGTAATGGTATCGCCCGGAAAATAGGAACGCCACGGGTCGTCGGGTTCGATGTAGAAGTCGGTGATGCTGCGATTGCGAGGGCCGAGTTGAGAGCGGAATTTGGAGAGAAGGGAGCTGCTATTCCGACGAAGCGTCGAGGAAGGTCGAGAGGGGAGAGGGTTGACGGACATGACACACAGCCACTACGTCGCCCAATCCATACAAATGGCGAGCGAGATGAGGTGGCTTGCAAGCGGGCAAACAAACGAGACGTAGGAGGAACCGGCGCAGGTCAATTGAGGGTGAGCGAAGGGACAGGAAGACTGCCGAGCCAGAGGGAGCAAGGAGGGGAAGAGAGGGGTGGGAATCAAGATGGCTCAGCCTCTCAGCTTACTGCCGTCGAGTGACGAAAGCCGTCAATTCAGCGTCGATGAGGCAGCAAGGGGGATAGCGTGAGAGAAGGATGACAAGAGAACAGGCTCTGACAAGAATGGAAGATGGGAATGCGATCGAGACAAGAGGGAAATTCTCCGTACTTCACATCAAATCAAGCAATCGAGCAATCAATCCCCCGACAGGTCCGGCCCGATCTGGCCGTCGGGCGCGAAGGCAGTCAGCAACAAACACCACGACTCTATCGGCCCCAGTGGAAAATGAATGAATGGCGCGTTATTTATCGATACTTCCGTCGCTTCAGAGCTAAGTTGCAGGATCACGTAGAGGTCTGAAAAGCGCGTGGGGGGAGAATCCGTGGGGGAGGGGGTAAGATGTGTTCGGGGAAGACCGCTCTTGTCCGCCGGGCAAGGAATTCAGCAAAGACTAGCTAAGCAGAAACAAGGAAAGAGATGGGGGGGGGAGGAGGGGGAAGGATTAAGAGAAGAATTATCCGGGGGACGAAAAGAGGATTGTCAGGGGATTAAGAGATGGGCTGACTGGTCCGCATCATTTCTCGGGATGGATGGAAACGCGAACAATGGTGGGAATTGAGAAGGAATAGGAAAAGCGAGCGAGCGAGTGAGAGGGAGAGTAGGGAGAGATAGGAAGAGGAGACGCGCGCGCGCGAGAGAGAGAAAGAGAGCGAGTGAGCACTGGAGCAGCGAGCGAGAGTGGAGCACGAGATGGAGAATGACAATGATGAGATGCTGAAATGCCCCTTAGGCTAGGGTATGACTAGGATGGCTAGACTTGACTACTAGTAGCAGTAAGTCCGAACCAAATGAGCGTTTGGACCGTGGAGGGCCAAAGCTTAAGTGGGAAGTGGGAGAGAAGTGGAGGGGGTGGGGGAAGAAAAGGAAGAGGAGATGCAGTAGTATGGATGCAACAGGTCTGCAGGTGGTAAGAAAGAAGAAGAGGAGGAAGGGGGTGGGGGGAAGGGAAGAAAGAAGTGGAAAAGATCTGTAATAAAGGAATATTAAAGAGGAAGAAAAAGTAAGACAAGAGAAGACGGAGGAAAATAGTAATATACAATGATAAACGAACCCCCCGGGGGTGGTGGTGGTGGTGGTTGTGGTTGTGGGTGGATGGATGGATGAAGGAAGGAATGGAAGTGGATTTGGGTTGGAAGGCGAGAGGGAGAGAGGAAGAAGAGTAGGAGAGACCGTGGGAGAAACAGACACAGGGAATTGACCACGGTAAGTGCAGATAAGCAAGAGGAGGCGAGACAGTCAAGCTTCTCTTGGGCCGTTCGTGGCTCGGCAGTTTCCACCTCTTGCGATCTAACTTTCTTTCCCTCCCTTCATCCCTCCGCAATCTTCCGTTCCACCCACCTGGCAGCTTGCCTCACCTGTCATTTCCGCTTCCTTATTTCCTCCCACCAACACCACAACAAATTAACTCAAACTCAAACTCAAACTCAAACTGAAGAGTAAACAAGCAGACAACAAGAAAGACAAGTCTCAGAAGATCTCACGCAACCCTTCCCCATCAACATACTCCTCCTCGCCATAACACTCCCGCTGCACGGCGCGCAACACCTCGCGATCCCCACCAGTTACCCGATTGACAAACCCCTCAAGCACGTAGATATTCTCCGTCCACATCAGCGCCTGGCGCCGGAACTCCTCCGTCTCCTCCACCACGCACGACAAGCTTTTCCCCTCCACGCCCTTACCATTGGGGTGTTGTTGACCCGAAACCGCCGCCAACCGCCTCCGCAGCTGACGAATCTCCTCCTGTAACTCCGTCTTCCGTAGCATCAACCGCTCCCTCTCAGCTGCCTTATCACTATCACCATCACCATCTTCACCGTCCTCATCCTCTCTCTGTAAAGCAGCCCTCCTCTCCCGAATTTTCCCCCCAACCTCCACCACCGCACCCCTCACCCTCTCCACCTCTGCCACCAACCTCGCGAGCCGGGCCTCACGCTCCCGCTTCGCCTCCCTGCCAAAACACCAATACCAGTTCAGACTGCCGATCTTCTCGACGTGGATCTCGTTCTCATCTGCCAGTTCCTGCAGGAACTCCTTTACTTGGATCGCATTGATGGAGGCCACGGCTGGGAGGGACTTCTCGAGGTCCTTGAGCGTGTGGCATGTGCGGCTGGCGCGGAGGTACGCGACGATCAGGGCTTGTTTGGCGCTTTTGGTGAGCTTGGGCGGCTGTTTTTATCTCTTTTAGCGTGGGGTTGTTAGCGGTAGGGGAGGGCGGTTAGGAGGGAGGTTGGTTGTGTGCGTAGGAGTGAGTGGTGGGTGAGGAATCGCTTACCATGATGTCGGTTGTAGGGCTTTTTTGTAGTTTGTCTGGGAATATGTCTGGATGGGGACGAGAGGTAGGTTGGTTTGTGTATCGGGGGGTTCTGGGGAGAAGCAACCTCTAACGGTGGATTGCGTAGGGAAGGAGGGAGTAGGTAAGGATGGATTGTGCGGTTGGAATGAATGGTAGACACTGCCTGCCTGCCTGGTGTTACTGCTATCCCATGCACTCGACCACCACCCCACCCAACCGACTACCGGTTTGATGAAGTACTGTAGCAGTAGTCTACGCTACGCTCAATATTGTGACCAAGAACAGCATCAACAATTCGATTCAATGGAACTACAGGCTCGGAATACTCCCGACTAAGCCCTACAAAAACGACACCCTTGACAACCTCAATCCATGGCACTGAATTAGACGTGCACCTCCCGAACAAACCCTCCATCCTTCGACGTCTCCTCCACATGGTGCACCTCCTCCATCCCCTTGCCGACTCCAGCCGCGCCTCCCACCACCGCTTGGTCACCGTCGAAGTGCTTCGCGATTTCCTCGAGTGGAGTGTTGCGGGTCTCGATGTAGAAGAACCACACGACAGTCAATTCGACTCCCAGCCAGACGCAGTAGAAGATGTAGTACTTCCAGCCCAGATTGTCCATGGCGATGGGGTTGATGTACTGGTTGAAAAACACTAGATGGAACCCAGGTCAGCGTCAACGGTTAATCAGCACCGGATAGAAAGTAAGTCACTCACGCGCGGCATCGATGCAGAACCACATCACCGTCATGCCCTTAGCTCGGATACTGTACGGCAGGATCTCGACCGTGTACCCAACCAACAGGCCCGACCAGGCAACGTTGTAAAAGACGTAGTAGATATAGATCATGGCCACGACGGCGTTGGCGGCGCCGTGATTGTGAGCGATCTCATACCGCGCCGAGCAGATGGTCCAGACAATGAACGCGACCAGCATGCCACTCGTGGAGATGAGGAAGAGCCTGCGTCGGCCGACCTTGTCCACGACAAAGCACATCGAGAGAGCGATGATGAAGTTCAGGATCTGGAGGCAGCCGTTGATCAGGTTCTGTTCGACGGATTTGGTGTATCCGATCGAATTCAAGATCTTCGAGATGTAGTACGACACCAGTCCGTTGCCGGACCATTGCGAGAACAGGCCGGCCGTGATCAGGATGATCAGGCGGTGGCGGTTCCCCTTTGTCCGGATCAATTCCATCCAGCTATTGCTCTCGTACTCCTTTTCCAGCCGGATGGTCTCCTTGATCTCGTGCATCTCCAGCTGCACGACTTCGTCCTCCTGGTTGCCGTTGGCGTGGCAGTCTGCCAGGACTTTCAGGGCTTGTTCATGTTTGCCCTTGTAGATCAAGAACCGCGGTGACTCCGGAACAAACCAGATGAAAATGATCTGTAGGACGGAGGGGACGGCCTGGACAATGGTAGGTGCCCGCCAGGACCAGTTGTTTTGGATGTTGTTCGTGCCAAAGGTGAGCCATGCCGCAACGATAGCGCCCACGTACCACGTCGCTAAGACAAGCGTTAGTCACGCGCGGGGGCATCTATACTGATTTGGTACATACTGTTATAGATCGTAGTGAAGACGGCACGATGCTGGGTATGCACGAGCTCGGTGATCAGCAAGGGGGAAGCGCCATGCGCAATGGCAACTCCGAACCCGAGCAAGAATCGGGCCGCCAAGAACATGCCGTAGTTGGCACTGATGCCTTGCAGAACGACACCTAGGATCCTGATACAGCAATGAGCACAGAAGTCACCTTTGAAACAGTTGCTTGGGTCACTCACATGATGAGACACCCGATGAGAACTCCCATCCGGCGGCCAAGATAATCCGCGGTATAGGGTACCGCAGGCAGCGCCGCCAATGAGCCCAGCGACATGATTGCGCTCAAGATGCCGAGAATTGAACCACTGGGGTGGTTAAAATATTCTTTCCAATAATACAGGGTTTGCAATCCATTCATCATGGAGCCATCATAACCATTCGTTGCCTAGTGCTCGGTCAGTAACGTGTCATCCAGCAGAGAGCCTTCGCCAGCCCGGTCATGCACGTACGGAGGTCAACACGACAAACATGAGGCAAATGTAAGTTTTCCTCATGCCAGGGTCCTTGTACCATGTAACCCTTGGAAATTGTCGGCCTGCAAGCTCAAAAGTCCCGGAAGACCCCATGATGACCGTTCAGTGCGTTGTTCTCAAGGTGTAAGACAATGGGTAGCGGTATACTCGGTCAGTCTCCTGCACAAAGCTCAAGACATCGAGGACATCCTGGAGATGCGGGAGCGGGCTTAAAATCTAGCATCTGCCCGTCTTGCCATCCGGCTATTTGGCATAGGAGGAACATGCAAAATGTCTCGCTGGTCTACGCAAGCTTGCGAGCTCGCGGCTAAACGCAGGTCGACGCCTAATAAGGCGAGCTTACTCTGCAAATAGGTTTGCGGGGAAGGAGACTGGGGGTTTGATTCTGATATTATCCAAAGAAGAAAAGCCGGCAGGCCAACCACCGAAGGTTGCACCGGGCCGAGAACCTAGGCCTATTTTGAAGGTACTAGCTGATTTGTTTGTTGTACAAGTCTGCTAAGGTCAAATCGCCCTGAATCAGGGACGAAACATGAAGTCTAGATTTAGGCTAAACGTCACGCACGCGGTTGCTGTCCAAGAAAGGGAGAGGCCCACCGCGATCATCCCACCGAAATCTGGGGATGCGGTCCGGGGTGCAGGGCGTAAAGGGTCTAGTTTCATCCATCCAAAGGAAAGACGAAGGTCTAGTCCACAAACTGCAATGGCCAAGACCTTGGCCTACGCCTCTCGGGACGAATTGGCTATTGCGTTACAGTAACCGATCATGGGCTCGATTGGAGACTGGTTGGCCACGTTAGACGAGCTCGAGCTAAATTAGAACCCTTCGCAGGAGGCGTGAAAGCAAGGGGATTGATACGCTGGCCACTGTCCACAAGCAACGGATAATATCGTGCGGCCTCAGCTGATGGGGTGAGGGGGTCAGTTGACACATACCACTGTGTGCTGACAGTGTTCGGCCTGTGGCTGGTTTTAAATTACCCAACTCGTATTGCTAGCAATCAAGAATATCCTTGAGTTTCGGTCCTTGGGCGATTGAAGGGTGTCTCGGCTAATGACCTTCGCAGTCATGAACGGGGCTCGAGGCAATAGCTTTAAGGCACGAGAAATGAGTTTCAAGTGGCAATGCAAACATTCCTTTACACGAGCAGGGGCCTACCCCTGCATGCCGTCTAGACCTTGGACGCAAGGACGGGGAGGGGAGTTTTATCCGGGGTACGCTGCCACGCGGTATATGCAGTGTATGTTAGCTTAGCATAGCTGGGCATGTCATCAGACTTGCTTGTCCTGACAGAAAAACACATGCGACCCCGAACATGCTGGGCTACTTTTGCCCAGGTTGGCAACGATGGATGATCCAAGCGAGCTAAGTCATTACCGGGTTCCCTATCAGCAGCAAAAGGAAAGAGGTCAGCGCTGGTGATGCAGTCTCAGTGTCACGATCGATCGTCTGGCTCCGTATCCATATCGGTTGTAGAGACCCTTGGACCCAGTCGGCGCTTCTTTTGTCGCTTAACCACGCTGTTAAGCTCGTCGCCTGAGCTGGCCATCATGCTACTCTGGGTATTCGCGCGTTTGCGACGTGTCCGCCGACCTGACTGCGAAGGCAACCAATTCTCATCGACAGAAATTTCCTCTCCTTCAACGAACACCATATCACCGGTCTCGCCCAGTGATTCTTTGGCCATCTCCTCTAACAGTATCCCCATTGCTATTAAAGCCGTTTCATCCATGCTATGGTAATCATCTTGACCGCGATCCACAGTCGCGTGATCATAGAAGTCGGCCGAGTAGGCATGAAGAGCCTCTAGCAATTCCGAAGAGGGGAGCGGACGGTCGGCCGGGAGCGATTCGTGGGCGAAGTAGAAATCATTTTCCTCGTATCTAATCGGCGCATTCTGCCGACGAAATAACACCTCTTCCGGACGGACTGGCCGCCTGCTAGACGAGGCTGTGTCGCGGTATTTGGAGGCATATGGTACAGCTGGCAGGAAGCCATGGGCATTGATTCGTCCTAGGAAACAGCCAGTCAGACTGAGGCTGCTCTGAGATATTATGCGCAAAAGAGACGCCAACTTACCCGCTACAGCATCGTAAACGGTCGCCAATCGTTTTTGCTTTGTCACTTCGGCTTCATCTTGCCGGTTCTCCTCTTCCTCCTCCTCCTCCTCCCCGTCGAGGTCGGGCGGCTGGACGAAGGAATTCTGGCTTAACGCGAGGGATCTACCGTGGGACATAGTCCTCCGTGCGCGAAAGGCTGTTCCGGCGCGGAAGCATCAGGGAGATTGCCGTTCCACAGGAAGTTCGAGACAGTTTTATGCCGATCAAGTTAAATCTGGTTTGCGACAGCGCGGGCGGGCGGGGAAGAAACATCATTTCCCCATCGAGACATTTCCGCGGCACAACCTTCTTCCGTCTCCGCAGACGAGGGACTCCGCAAGGCGATAGGAACAAGCTCACATCACAGCAGACCGATACTATTCCGACGGTGTCGCGAGACATCCTGATGAATGAATTCTTACATCCTCAACAGGACTTTGGGGTCCATCCATCCGTCCACATTCCATGTCGCGCAGACCACTCGCCTAGTGCAGAACCTTGAGCCTGCGCCCGGTATACGCTTCTCCAGTCAGCACCACTCTCCATCAGCGCATGGCCGATCCGAACAGCAATTCGATGGGTTGCAGAGCTTGGAGGAAGAGACATTTGCTCACAAAGCTGGGGTGAAAGTGCTTGCCATTGATCAGAATGAAGGTCGATTGTATGTGGCCCGTGTCCTCCCCTCGGTCGCCGATGTATACTGACCGCGAACAGCATGGTATCTGGCGGCGCAGACCCGTCCATTCACCTCTGGGATCTAGAATCACGCGGATCGGAGCTGAAGCATGTCCACCGCTCCGTGGCATCCGTCAACAAAGCGTCGCACGAAGACGCGCACACGCGCGCCATCACCTCCATCTCGATTTACCCATTCGACCCGACCCCGTCGACGATCCTGAGCACCGCGCACGATGGCACGCTCAAGCTCTCTGCACTGGCCCCAGAGGCCATCATCCCGGTGCACACGTTCAACCTGGACTGCACACCATACGCACACGCCATGTCCTCGCATCCGGGAGCCCCCTTGCTCATCGCCGTGGGCACCTCAGAGAAGGCGGTGCGCCTCCTGGACCTGCGCTCGGGGTTGTCGACGCACGGGCTCCCCGGCCACGGGTCGGTGCTGTCCGTGGCATGGGCGCCGCACCAGCCCCATATCCTGGCTTCGGCGTCTACCGACAACCGAGTGATCCTCTTCGACATCCGGCGCGGCGGGCACAACTCCGCCATCGCCGCCCTGGACATGGACGACGCGATGGGCCTAGTCCGGCCCGCAACCGCCCCGACTTCCTACCAACCTCGCCCGGCCTACTCGCCGCACGCGCGCGCGCACAACGGCGCCGTAACAGGCGTCCGTTGGACCTCGACCGGCTCGCACCTCGTCACCGCGGGCCAAGACTCCCGCATCCGCGTTTGGGACGCCGGCACGGGGGCGAACACCCTCGTGCACTTCGGGCCGCGGGTCCGCAACAGCGCCTCCTCGCACCTGGCGGAGCGAGCGCCCTTGGTCGTGCCGCAGGGCCTCACGGCGGCAGGGCAGGAGACGCTGCTGTGGCCGAACTTCAACGAGAACGGCGACCGGGGCGAGATCTTCATGTTCGAGCTCCGCGAGGGCGCGTTTATCAAGCTCCTTCGCGTGCCGGGGCTGTCGACCGCCGCCCACCAACTCCGTGGCCGCTCGACTGCATTGAGCGCTGCGCGAATCAACTCGCTGGCCTGGCGCGGCAATGGGGCATCCGGCGAGGGGATCGAGATGTTCTCCGCGCACGGTGACGGCACCATCCGTAGCTGGGTGTCACGCGAACCCGATGACGAGCCCGACGAAGAAGAGGAGGCCGAGCGCGCCGATCGCAAGCGCAAACGCGATGTTCTGGACGAGATCTACCGAGGATTCATCGGCTAGACAAATATCACCTACTATATTTGCCATGTCATACAACTACAATACGGAAAACCAGCAGCAGATTGCATCACATCATTCAAATGCATCCTTCATTATACAAAAACGACCCATCCAAAGAATAATCCGGGTCATGATCATCATGAAATACCTATAATACATTGGAAAAACCCATTCCATCCCAAGGAGAAAAAGCCGCATACCAGCCACAGCTTAATCCACCATACCAAAAACGCTGCTCAACCAATAAACAAGGAATTTACTCATTCCGAATCTGATGCTCACTAGCCGCATCATCCTCCTCAGCGGCAAAGCGATCATAGGCACTGCGGTTCATGTTGCGGTGCTTGAGGTCGCGTCCGTGGCCTTTGGCGCCGGGGTGCTGGTTGCCGATGAAGGTGCGCTTGGACTCGGCTTCAGCGGGCAGGGAGTTGCCGGTGCCGGTGAGCACCTCGCCGGTGGCGCCCATGTCGCGGGCGCTGCGCGGCATGTCAGTGGCGTTGTCGGCTGCGAAGGCGGAGGAGGGCTGAGCGACGCCGTAGTTGTCGAAGCCGCTGTGTTCGGCGCGCTGGTCTGGACGCGGCACCGAGGGGATGGTGTTCTGGATGCCTGCGTCGTTGGGGATCGAGGTGCCCTTCGCGGCCATGTCCTCGAGTCTGCCGCCCTGGTGAGGAGAAGACATTTTTATGTTTTGGTGGAGGTAGTTTGTTTAAGATAGGAAAATGAAGAAAGAATGGTAAGGTGAGATCGTGGAGTGGAATCGCAAGAGTTGATTGCTTTGATTATGAGTGAGATGAACAATTCAATCCCACACTTCCAGAGGTTTATATAGCCTTCATCGCGGGCATGGAGCCGGTACAATCTGATGTCACTTTTCGCCGCTGCGGTCTGGGTCAATGATGAAGCTATGATATCAGATCAGATCATGCATCCAGTATCAATCGGAACCGGTACGGTACCAGATGAGAGGTGAGGTGGGGGGAGATTATGATGAAACAATCCCTTGCTCTGACCCTGACTTGTCGAATTTCCCGATTGCGTGAGCTGGAATGAGTACTCCGTAGATGTGCCCGAATTCTCGCATGGTTCTAGAATCACAACTGTTGTTCAAGGGGGTTTTGCGGCTGTCGGTTAAGGCGTCTCTTCCCGTTTTCCGACGGCACGTGCTGCGAGAGCTACGCCTTCCCATGATGTATATTGAGCCACCGCATAACGCACTTGGTAGATATCTCCCCACGGAATCTTCTGCAGCAATTCAGATTTGTGGTGCGAGATTCTAATTGTCGCATTGCTATGATTTCCTTCTGAGGAAGCATTGAATGATGTCATTTCCAGCAAGGTAGCCTGACTAAGCCAGTTGACATGCGATCATTCCTTTGCCACTGATGGACTGATTGCTGTTCTGATGCTGATACTGGGAGAAGGGAGTGGATCGTATGTACCTTCTGAGACATTCCCATAATATCGCGGGAATTCGAGTGACGAATGGATCTGACACCAAAGGCCTCATTGCCTACTAAGCCGTTGTATACGGAGCAACGTATGCGACATCCTTCATGATTATCGCTCTTCATGGCACTTGTTAATCTTAAAGTAAGGAAGCAAGTCTTAGGGACAGTTCTGGAGGCTCACTATCCATGAGCGTCTGATATAGAAATACACGGCTCTGGACATCCATGCAAAGAGAAACTCCTAACGGGCCCAATGTCATACTCGATTATACAACTAACAACGCACACAAAAGTATGCAAAAAAGTAATGGTCGGACGGACCCAATAAGACGAAACATTAAGAACATGCAGTCAATAAATCATACACAAGATGAGTAGTCAAAGTCAAAAATATGGATTTTTGTCAATGCTTATATCCTGTCATAAACATCAATCGAAGCAAAGCCAAAAGTCAAAGCCTAACGCCACAATAACTCCAGGCCCGGGGGTATGACTGTCTGCGTCCTCGCAATTATCGCCGCTCGTTCGATGCTGCTGCCAAGAAATGAATCGCTGGTCATGGTTAGCCGAACCTGCGGCCAACATGAGAGTGGTATATATGCAAAGTTCAAAAAAGATTGTATGAATCAAAGATTCCGTGGATCAAGGCCAACAAGATGATGCTCAGGAGGAGGTTGGGGTATCTGAATTATCTTCCGAAAGTTGAGAAAATGCACAATATATGTTTGAGAGTACAGCAAGACCTGTACTTTGATGGTGTAATGCCGATAGCCAGCTCGCGCATACGCCAGGTTCGTACCAAACAAGTGCTCGCTCTTTCCTCAAGGTTGTGGGCCAAGTTTTTCGGACTCTTCGGGTCGGTCGTCGTCTCAAGCCCGCTTGAGTGGCAGTCCCTTCAAGGGACAAAAGTGAGTGTGACGAGATGCAATCCCGCCACAGAAGAATGAAGGGTAAAATAGTGGTCTTATAGAAGCAGGTAGTCCCAACCGTTCTGCTGCATCACTTCACGCCAGTGGATGAACGGCTTCTTCACTTCCTTCACATCCCACTTTGCAGTATTTTCTTTCGGCGGTTCGGATCTCTCGCGCTTGACCGGACTACTGCTGCCTGCTGGGGATGAGGGGCTGGCTTCCTGGCTCGGAAGGGGCTCGATAGGCTCATCCGACACACGCCACACTTCTTTCAGAACTCGATACATGCGGCCGAAACTGCCCAGGTCGGCGTGGTCGCCCAATGCAGCGGCGCGGTCGGCGAGAACGCTGCGGAAAGAGCTGTTTGGCGCGGAGAAAGACCCAGTGATGAGCAGCGGCCAAACCAGCGATCGATCAAATCCTTCCGGTCCAGACGGAATGTACTGAAGAGCGTTGGCAACTGCTGCAACTAGATTGACGTTGCTCGGTTGGTGACGGTCAAATCCAGGCACCAAACTGCACAGGTAGACCCTTGCCGCAATTCGGAAAATGGCGGTGATATTGTTGGTCAATACCGTCGGAGAGAAAGCTCCATTGGCCAGATAGGGGCTCTCCAAGGGCTGGTGCGGTGACTCCGTGAACTCCAGCTGCTGTCCCAGGGCTGAAACGTGGGAGCAAACCCCCAGGTCATCAATCCTTCCCTCCCTTTTCAGTGCCTCCAAGCAAGTGATTTCCGAGATCAAGTACATGACGCGGTCATCGCAGCCCATGAGCTCGCGCAAGCCCAAGGATGACCCGCTCAGATGCTTTGAGCGGTAAGTGTGTGCGAACTCAGGGGTCTTTCCGTGCATGGTTGAACCCAGGATATCAATCCAAGAAGCCAGTGTCATGGTGAACGGGGCTGGCATGTATGGGTTCCCGCAATGAGGGACCGGGGACGATAGACCCAGTCTATTCACCAGATTGGATGCGGCCTGGAAGTGGTCGAACCACGGGATATCGGGGAGATAATCGTCGGCGGGGCCCACGGAACAATGGAAGAAAATCATGGCAAGTGTTGCGTCTAGAATCTCCTCGTGGTTGGTATCTTCCCCCAGGGCCAGACAGAGTTGTGAGACTGCCTCGAATCGGTTGCGCATGATGTCGTGGTCGATCTGTTCCCCAACAATACCTTCTGTCGTCTTCCGGTGAATAGCGGCCACACTCAGGCAGCAGTGCAGGTAGCATTTGTTGGTCTCCAAAGCTTGAAGAATGGCTTGAGCCCGGACATGTCCGCGTTGGTGGGCTTCCAGCACTGGGAAGATTATACGGAGGACATTGTAGATGAAGTGGTCGAGAAGCGGCCGGTCGTGGTCACTGACAGGAATGCTCGACTGCAGAATCGCGTACGTTTGCCCAATGCTTTGCTCGCATAGTGACGGATCAATGCCGGGGAGTGTGGGGACTTGGGAAAAGTACTCATCATGAAACCAGTCTTCGCCAGGAAAGGTGGGCAGGGGGGCGTTCAGTTGGGGAGGAGCAAACGTGCTGAAGGTCGAGCTGCAAGAGTCGTGGCGGAGTGGAACGTCGTTGATGTATGTCTGTCGCTCCGTCTTGACATCGATCTCATAAGGGTGTGCCAGTCCGTAGACGTTCTGGGTGAATGCTGGAGTGGGCAGGTGTGATGCGAAGATGTCATACTGCTCTGGAAAGACAGGCCGACTGAGTTCGTACTCCGGAGAAGTTGGCGATGGAACGGCCATACTGCGATTGCGGGCCGAGGGATCTGTGGCACCCACCAAAGACTCGTTAGACGACCACGCCTCGAAGTGCTCCACAGAACCACAACCTACCGGTTAAAGCACCATTGCGCTCGTTCATCTTGGTTTGCTTGATCTTGTTCTTGATGCGCTCTTTCTGGATCCTCCTTTGCTCGACATTGCCCCACCATACCGGACGTTTATATTCGCATTTGACACAAAGATTGATGCAGGCACCGCATGATGGGTGTTTCTCATCACACTTCTTTCTACGTAGGCGGCATGTGAAGCAGCCTAATGAGAGGCGCTATTGTCAGCCAGACCCTTGGATCAACCTTGAGATACATGTGAGAATAGGAACATACCGGACCGGGAGCGCTTGTGCAGCTTGATCGGCGGCTTGTCCGTCGTTCCTGTTGATGTACCCTCGCTACCAGAAGATGGTTGGGAAAGGTCTTCAGTCTTGCTAGGGGCCATTGTGGCGGGTGTGGGCGTCTTTTTCGTTGGGACAGGCATGGTTGTTATCGGATGGTGGCGCACGGTACAGGACTCGAAAAGGACAGGACACAGGCGCGCGTGGCGGGTGATTGCTGGGAGTATCGGGGAATATTAAGGGCAAGACTGGACCAGCAGCCTTTGGTATCTAATTGGGTATCAGAGAACGAAAGGCACAGGCTGCAAAGGACGAGGCGGCTAGAGATAACGCTGGGAGACAGTAGTCCACAATCGAAACTGATATGAGCGGCGGGCATGAAGGAAGCTTTAAAGATGAAAGTAGTAGGTCGATCTCGGATGAACCAGGCCATGATGTTTCTATTTTAGAATTTGATTCCGGATAACCGACAGGGCCGTGAGCGCACACACACACACCACATATCGGGGAAATTGCGGTGGTGGGAAAAGAAACCATAGATTGGGTGAGTGGGGAGGGATAGGAAGGGAAGGGAAAGGATGATCGCAGCCAGACCATGCACGGACAGGGAATCGGCCACCAGGCACTCCAAGGCTAATTTTGGATCATTTGCACGATGCACTTCTGGCCATCAACTTGGCGCCCATGGCCGCCCTCCGCGCGACTGATTGGATCACACAGGATGGCAATCCTGCCATGGAGGCAATCTGTGGAACGCTGCTTTGCAAGGTTAATTTTATCCTGGCGGTTGGTTCATGTCCTACGAGCAGCTGTCTTCGTCCTACCATAGCCTATCAATCCAGAGAGTAAGGGTGTAACATGATCAGAGAATCACCCGGGGGCCGGAGGGAACACTCCCACTGAGTGATATAGCACGTTGTACTATGAGAGGCGCCAGTCTCCGCAGTTTCTCGAGGAGCAAGAAGAGCAAGAAACATGGCGAGCGACAACTATCAAGCGGTACGCCGCACAATCCCGAATGCGCTTCATCTACTTCCATACAATACAGCGCGATGCGCCAATGGCAAGGTCATCTGCGGGCCGGATTATACAATTTCACAATATTGATGAAGTGATTTTTACCCGATCGGGGAAATGCAATGAGCAGTATCAAAGGATACCCAGGTCCTCAACCGTTGATAGCGCGGGGATATCTCAATGCCAACCGGCTAATCGCCCCCTCTTCTCTTCTCGAGTCGCGAGGAAAAGCCACCCCAGCGACAGACCAGGAATCCAGTCCCTGTCTCTCTCACAAGGGTCTTATGCACCATGAGCCAATCAGGCTAGAGATTCTCAACTAAGTCTGGTGGTGTTGTTAGTAGGATTCTAGCAGGTATGCGGGGGGAGGGGGGGTTCGGATCAATTCATCAAGAGGCTGCCATGGAGTTTGAGCACCTACAGTAGTCGAAGCGCTATCCACCGAGCTAAATTAGCGGTACTGAGCCAAGCTTCCTGATTTGGGCCACGATTGGTGGACAACTTCCTGGGTCTTGGCCAAGCGGGACAGCCGCAACCAACCGTGCACTGGTGGGTCAAGGCTTTGATGCCCCGTGCGACCAAAGGAAGACCAAAGGAAGTCGGCGCCAAGGTGTGATAAGATGACGCTAGCCTTGCGATCCTGACCAAGTCCCTGACAGGGAGGGTGTGACGGCAACTGACATCCCCTTAATTAGTAACAATTAGCCGCCCGGCAATGACTTCGATTGTCCAGATATAGTGTATGCTACCTAGTACGGTACCTAAGGTATCTGGGTCTTCCATAATTAGTCTTCCTCTTAATCTTCAGCTCGAATCGATAGGCCCGCACACAAGCGCTCCCCATCCGCATTGACCGCTAACTGCCCATTCTCATGATCGCATCCTGAGGAAGATCGAGTCGTGGGAATTCTCAAGTGGGGAGACTTGACTGGGGAGGCTAAAGGCATTTGACTTTAGCGGTTCTGCAACCATGGTGTCCCAGTCACACCTCTCGCTTGTCACCTTCTGTTCGACATCCAGACGTGAATGGACCGGTTCCGAACCACCTCCTGGCGACTCGTTCATTGTGATTCATGTATCTCTAGTCCATGTTTCCAACTGCACCATCTTAAAAATGTCTATCCCATTGTCGCTTGAGACCGATGTCTCGGGATCATTCCAATTCATGGGCGGCGCGACGTTGGTTCGGAGTTGACAAAGTCGGTGGGCATTCAGCATGTTGGTCGGTGGTGAGTGTCACGACGCTTCTGCCGTTTCTTGTCACATTCCTGCAGCAATTAGCGTCTTTCCCTTCCCTGTCATTCTTCGCTTCAGCAAATCATCTCCGCCCAACATGAGGTCACTTTCCTGCCACTTTTTGTGACATGTACACGTCCTCTGCAGTCGCTATCCCACGGCTCTCTCGTAACTCCACCCTTGGATATACATGCTATTGAAGATGTCCCAATGCAAAATTCACGGCTGCAGATTACTGAATTATCACTCTTCACTGGATCATTGCTGACCCTTGTCGTCTCATGACAGAAAGCAATTACTGGCCAAGTTCGACCTTACCTAAATTTATCAATTTTCGCGTGCAATTTTCATCTCATGAAGCGGAACTCTGGAGCGATGGCCGACGAATTATCTTGCCCACGTCCCGACTATCTTATCCACGGCAAATTTGGATAGTATTGGTCGGCAGAGATCCTAATTATCTCCGAGAAGGGGGCATCTTGCCGAGACGTCACTCGTTCCTGTCACCTTGCATCTCTCTCCGTCAAGCGGGGTAGGACAAAAGGTTCCAAGTTGTATAACACCTGCCTCCAGCATCGATCAGAATCTCACATAACCAATGCACTCGATCCGGTCCTTGGAAAGATCCAGGAACGAATGGACATCAGATCAAAATAGAAACATGCTCACCTTAAGCGTAACGGCGTGCCTGAGCAAGTGTTAATTGCAGTGCTTCTAGCCGCCCTGATGTAGGTAGTGTCTTGCCGGGCGTCTACAAGATGAATCATATTGAGCAATGTTCTGACGAAAATAGAAAAGGTCTCTGACCCTTTCGTTGCTCATCGAGTGATCTATTCTGGGTAAATTCTGGCAACTAAACGCTCGATCTGATACCAACGTATCGCTTGGAGCACTTTAGCTGCATAATCTTCTCCGGTTACTGCATCAGCCTTGTCCTTCACCATACTATTCCCGGGGTGCTGGCGCTCTGCACGTAGCCGCCGAGCATTTTCTTGGAACTCGATCGATTGTAAGTGCAAGGCCACGCGGGTCGTGCTCTTGATAGTAGCACTCGCAGGTTGGCGGGTATACGCATCGTACCATTGGATCCTCGATTTATGCCAATAGCGATTCGATCGGTGGGTAGCTTCCTGCCTGAATGCTAGGACCTGACTCAGTGTATTCTGAGAATAGCATTTATGGCTCTTTGTCTCTCTTCGGTCCCGAGTCTATATTTGAGCTTTCCGGGAAAGGAAATGGTTTCATGATTTGGTGCGCAACTTAGTATACTACAATCGGCTACGGTTTACTTTTGGCGCTGCCTCTGGGTGCCGCTAAAATGTACGGAGACTAAGTGTATAGTGGTCTAGCATCAAGCATAGGGCAAGAGGATGGAATATTGACTGATCTGCTCTCTGAAGTGTGAAAAAGCTGATTTTAGTTCTTTCTATGTTATAGTTCTAGAAACGTCTTATTCCAAGTATAGAAACCAGATATTGAGATGGTAATAGATTGGTAGCGCTACGCTGGATATGATGGATTTCGAGGCTCAACTTATATGAATCCATTACAAGAGATCACTGCTTGGAGCTGAGTTGTAAATTCTTAGAAGTATTTGCGTTCATGCCATGAGAAAGCTTGATCGGGGAAGAATAATAAATCGCAATGATGCTTCTTTCACCTATCGGATGATCAACTTAGCCGGAACTTACATATATCATATTGCTTGTACTAGCAATACGCTTTGCGGTACTACGACAAGAACACGGTCCTCCAGAGATCCGCTACTGGCTTCGTCATATCTATCTGAGGAGAGGCATTGATTCAATAATGCGGTTGCTGGATGTTAGAACCTCGAAGTCGTGGTGGAAGCATACCGGGCACACAATACATCCACCTGGCAGACCGGGCTTATCAGCAATTCCGCTCCGACTTCCGCCCTTCACCTCCGCAACTCGCATCCCGCCATGCGAACAAGTCTCCTCTCTAGCTCAACGAGCGATTATGCTAGTTTCTAACCCAAAATGCTACGTCAAACGATGGAGCGGGTATTTCCCCGCGTATTTCCTCCTATAACTCGAACGCTTTCATCGCCAGTCTCTGCCTCTCCGCTCGCATCGCATAGCCGCATCACCTTAGTCCAAACATTTGCACGCGATGGCCCACGTTTCCGCTCTGCTCCTCGAGTCCCCCACCAACCACAGACCCGTACATTCTCAAGCTCTGGCCATAGGCGCAGCAATGGAGGCTATAACCGGTTTAATGATTCGGGTCCCCGAAACCCACGAATGGCGCCGCTTCATCAACTAATGATGCGGGCGAGAACCGAACATTTCGTTATACTTGGCCTCGGAACATGGGCATTCTATTACTATAATACCGAGGAAGTGGAGGTGCGTTACTCCCAATCTTTCCAGCAGGGATAAATCTTCTTGCGATTGCACTGTCCATGCCTGCGACTAACGGCTGCTCCCCAGATGACCGGCCGCCGGCGGCTCAACCTCATATCAGCCGAACGTGAGCGGGAGCTTGGAGAGAAGGCCTATCGAGAAATACTCCGGGAATTCAAGGGCCATATTCTGCCGAATTCTCACCCAACCTCTCAGGCCGTGCACCGCGTCCTCGAGCGACTCATTCCTCAGGCACATGTCGAAGGCGCCCAATGGAGGGCCCACGTCATCGCAGCGCCTGGTGAGCAGAACGCTTTTGTCCTCCCCGGGTAAGGTCTCCCTCCTGACGGCTTCTTTCGCTGTTGACTGAGCATCGTCTCTGACGGTCTGCAACAGTGGCAAAGTATTCGTTTTCACCGGCATTCTGCCTTTCTGCGCCGATGAGCAAGGTCTAGCTGCGGTGCTGGCTCATGAGATTGCGCATGTTGTTGCTCATCATGGCGCGGAGGGTATGACCCGAAACTACCTTCTGACAGCTCTCGTCACGGTCGTCTCGCTTCTTTTCGATGTTTCGGGCGTCATTCCTGCACAGCTGTCACACTTTTTGATCGACTTGCCTAATTCTCGGGTGCAAGAGGTAAGATCCACGATTCAGACTGTATGAGCGAAAGGACATAGAACAAGACTAAATCCCGTTTACTGTAGGCCGAGGCGGATGATATGGGTTTAAGTATGCCATCCTGAGGACTGCTGGTCTTCTCTACTGACATGATTCACTGACTTTGTTTGCCAGTCATGATGGCTCGAGCCTGTTACAACCCCGCGGCTGCCATTGCATTGTAAGTCATTCCGACGGGGAGACGCAAGTCGGGCCACCTTGCCCATCTCTGGGTTGCTTGTGCTTACTCTCTTTCTCTCTTAGCTGGCATCGCATGGCGCAGAACAAACAGGCGGGTGAAGTCCCTCAGTTGCTGTCAACGCACCCTTCGGTAAGACTTTCCGACCGCCTCATGATCAATCTTCTCAAATGAGGTACATGCTAACGCATTGGCTATAGAACGAGAACCGTCTCCTAGCTCTCAATGAAAAGTATGCAACTTCCACCGACTCGAGCTCTCACGATCGTCGGTGCTAACCCAGCGTCTAGACTCAGCGCAGCACAAGCAATCTACCACGATAGTGGTTGCGGTGAGGTAACCTCTTTCAGTACGTCTCCCCTCACTTGTGCTTAACTCTACGACACATGTCATTATTCTCTTCCGGTATTGGTTGCTGACATCTTGATGCAGTGCCGGGATTCAGGAAAGCTGTTGCAGACCACGAGATGTGGTGAGAGGCATGATCTTTGAGATTGACGGGCGACTTATCATACTTGTACATAATTGATCTAAACAATCTCCCAAATCTGTATTTATACATAATTGCATACCTCGAGCCAGGTGTTGGATTGAAGGCCGTACAGCAGCTTGCTTCTAACCTAGATATCCTCCCGTCTATAGAGCCATAGAGCATTCAGAAACTGTTGTCAAGTTTCTGGCCTCAATTAAAATATATAAAAACAGATACAACAAGCCTGTACTTGGAACTACGCCATGCTCATCTATTGGTAGCTAGCACCTTGAAGCCACACAAGCAGCAAGCCGACTACCCTCACCTTCGGGCCCGAAGCACCGGGAGGGCTCGGGCGGCAGGCATGTCGGGGCCGAACGTATAGTATGTATGCCCTCAGACGCCCGAAGCAAATCCATATATAGGCGTAGAACATCAGCTCTCACTTAATGCATCCCATAACCAAACATACACCTAGCCATCACAAGTCTTTCAAACCAGTCAAGATTCAATATTCTAGAGTTGCCCAATCTCGAGAACTCTCAGTCCAGCCCGAAACTCACCATAACCAATGTCCGGCCCCATCCTCATCATCGGCGCCGGCCTCGGCGGCCTCGCGCTCGCCCAAGGCCTGAAGAAGCACAACATCCCCGTCCAGATCTACGAGCGCGACGCACGGCAGGACTTCCGCGCCCAGGGCTACCGCCTCCGCATTGGCACGGAGGGCATCCTGGCGCTTCGGACGACTCTAAGCGCGGACCTGTTCGCCTTGTTCGAGAGCACCTGCGCGGCCAACGGCCTGCTCTCCGGCGGCGCCAGGCTCGATGCTTTGTCCGGCGAGCCGCTCGCCCCGCAGATTGGCGGCGGTGGTGCTACCGGAGGACGGCCTGCCCAAGCCCACGGCCCGGTGGAGCCCTACACCGTGGACCGCGGAGTCATGCGCGAGGTGCTTATGACAGGCCTCCAGGAGGAACTGCACTTCGGGAAACGGTTTACACACTACGAGGTACTTGACGGTAGTACGGACAGCGGCAGTAGTGGGGTCGTCGTCGCGTTCTTCGAGGACGGCACCTCGCAGCAGGGTGCGCTGCTGGTTGGCGCGGACGGACTACGATCGCAGGTGCGTGGACAGCTCCTGTCGCCTTCTTATCCCTTCCTGGATACCGGGATGCGGATCGTGTACGGGAAGACGTACATCACGCCCGGGTTTGAGGAGCGGTTCGCCCGTCAGGCGATAGGTGGCATGTCCTTGGTCACGGAGCGGGGCACGGACGCGCCCAAGACGCTGTTGCTGGAGGCCATTCGGTTCCCGCCCCGCCCGGCTGACGTGCTACGCGGCATCCGGTTGCCAAGGGATTATGTGTACTGGGTCTTGCTGGCGCACAGGGATGATGTTCCACTGCGGGATGAGGAGACGTTGGCGTTGGATGAGGAGGGGTCGGCGCGATTGTCGCTGGAGCTGACGGCAGAGTGGGATCCGGCTGTGAGGGTCTTGTTCGAAAAGCAGGATCGCACGCAGGCGTCCACACTGCGGATGTGCTCGGTGCGGCCGGATGTGCCCGCTTGGGAGGCGAATGCGAGAGTCACGCTTCTGGGAGATGCTATCCATGCGATGCCTCCGACTGGCGGGATGGGCGTGAACACTGCTTTGCGCGATGCAGAGGACTTGGTGCGGAGGATTGCTGAGGTGGGTGGGTCGGATGGGGTAGGTGTCGAGACAGTGGCGCAATATGAAGAGAGCTTGAGGCAGTTCGCGCGGGAGTCAGTTAGGCTCAGCTGGGAAGGAGGCCGAAGGCGGTTCGACTTGAGACCCATTGAGGCATGCGAGGAGATAGTTTTGTAGGAGGGCTGTTTTAGTGACATAAATAATCGACGACTGCTAGCTGGAAGCTGTGGCAGGTTAGCTGTCTGTAGATGCATTGATCTCTTCTATTCCAATATAAAGTGTATTTCATCAGCTTCTCTCATTCTTCATCTTCTTATAAGTATGGGCTCGGCGACCGTTGGTGTAAATAGCGTCGTCCAGTGTTGAGAGGATGAGAGGGAGATGACGATCGGATGCCCAAGGCTCCGAGCCCCTCCGCGTGCAAACCAAACAAACAGCCGCCGCCAGACCGTCTCGGAGCTCCGTCGAAAATTCCCAGAACAGCTTCAGGCCAGTGTTGAGGTAGTGTCCCCTTACTCTCTCCATTTGGATATTTCCCCGAACATCAGAGGAAGTATCCCCTCATCATGTCATTGTCTCTTCCCGGACCTTCCCAGGCGGGTCTCTTCAAGCCTGGGTATCAGAGGTAAGCCACGCCCACTCGTGGAATGTCCCGCCCCTCAGGCCGTCAACACCACCAGATTCAGCAGATCAGTTATCTCCCATGATGTGAAAATCAGGCACAATGATCGGACTGTGGTTAACATATTTTCTGCAATAGCCACGATGCCGAAGACGGTGCCGTTATTCGCAACATCGAAGCCTGCCAGGCTATCGCTCAGACTGTCTTGACGTCGCTGGGCCCGTACGGTCGGAACAAGATCGTCATCAACCACTTGCAGAAAATGATCCTTACCTCGGATGCGGCTACTATCCTGCGTGAACTGGAGGTTGTGCATCCTGCTGCTAAGCTGCTGGTGATGGCCAGTCAGCAGCAGGATCAGGAGATGGGAGATGGCACTAACTTGGTCATTGTTCTCGCCGGAGAGTTGCTGAAAAAGGCGGAGGAATTGTTGCGCATGGGCCTGAAGACGAGCGATATTGCTCAGGGTTACGAGAAGGCACAGAACTTTGCCCTCAAGACGCTAGAAGGTGAGTTGGTTCCTTCGACACGGAGAGCTCGGCGCTGTCAGGGGATGCCATAGAGCAATGGACTACGGGTGCAACAGATAGTTCAAATTACTGACGCTCGCTTGATACTAGACCTCGAGGTCGATCGCCTCCAGGAACTCCGCTCTCAGACCGAGCTTACCAAGGCTCTCCGCACAGTCGTCGCCAGCAAGCAGTCTGGAACCGAAGACCTCCTCGCATCTCTGGTCGCAGAGGCTGTTCTTGCTGTCCTCCCCAAGAACCCCGTCAACTTTAATGTCGACAACGTCCGTGTCGTCAAGATTATGGGTGGTAGCTTGGAGCAGTCTCGTGTGGTTAAGGGTATGGTTCTTGGCAGAGAACCTGACGGTGTGATCAAGAAGGCTAGCAAGGCCAAGGTTGGAGTCTTCAGCTGCCCCATCGACATTTCTCAGACCGAGACCAAGGGTACCGTGCTATTGAAGAATGCGCAGGAGATGCTGGACTTCACAAAGGGCGAGGAGGAGCGTCTGGAGGCGGCCATCAAGGAGCTGTACGACTCTGGTCTGCGTGTGGTCGTTTGCGGTTCTACCGTTGGTGACCTGGCCATGCACTTCCTTAACCGCTTCAACATTCTCGTGATCAAGATTCTTTCCAAGTTCGAGCTGCGCCGACTGTGCCGCGTTGTGGGTGCCACACCCCTCGCTCGTCTCGGTGCCCCCATGCCCGACGAGATGGGTAGCATCGATGTTGTCGAGACCACTGAGATCGGCGGTGACCGTGTGACCGTCTTCCGTCAAGAGGATGCCAACGCTGTCACTCGTACCTCCACCATTGTCCTGCGTGGAGCCACTCAGAACCATCTTGATGATGTCGAGCGTGCGATCGACGATGGTGTCAACGCTGTCAAGGCTATCACCAAGGATCCCCGTCTGGTTCCTGGTGCTGGTGCCACCGAAATTCAACTTGTGGAGAGAATCTCCGCCTTTGCTGACAAGACTCCTGGCTTGCCCCAGCATGCTATTCGCAAGTACGCTGAAGCCTTCGAGGTGGTCCCTCGTACTTTGGCCGAATCGGCCGGCTTGGATGCTACTGAGGTTCTGTCTCGTCTGTACACTGCACACCACCGGTCCTCTAACAATGACGAGTCTGCTGAGGAATCATCCGCTGAAGAGGGCAGCTCTGCGAAAGAGGAGCCTTTCTGGACCACGGGTGTGGACCTGGAGGCTAGCTCTGCGGCTGGAACCCTTGACGCTGTGGAGGAAGGCATTTTGGATCTACTGGCATCCAAGAGCTGGGCCATTCGTCTCGCGAGCGAGGCTGCACGGACGGTGCTCAGTGTTGACCAGATCATTGTTGCTCGACAGGCTGGTGGTCCTAAGCCACCAGGCCCCAACCCCAACTGGGATGAGGATTAAATGTAATATTTAGGAGAATATGATATCCTTTGGAGGCTCAAAGGCACGGAATGTGATAGAGACGCTAATCATGACCAAGTTCATTGGCCCTAATATTTGGTGTTTGTATGATGACGAATCGTAGAGAGTATAGAATGGATATATCTAGTCTCACAATATGAGATTGGCACCTACTAAATATAACTTTCGTCCAAATGTCTCTGTTTTTGGGATTCCTTGTATACTTGGAATCTTGATTGATAGAAGGCCGACTAGCGGGCGGTTTCGTCACGTGACGTGACTGGATTTTCCGGGCCGACACTCGACTTTCTTTTCCCGCAAAGGCACTTTTCGAGCATCTGATCACCTCGAGCAGCTTGAATCCCCTTGGCCTAGCCACCCTCTGTCACCCGTCTGTCGACCTGTCCGGATCGCCTTCTTTCACGCCCATCATGTCTATGTCTACTCAGTTCGCGGCTCGCTGCTGCAGACAGATTGTCCGCCCCACCGCTTCCCTGCGCGTTTCCTCCGCTTCATACCTGTCCAGCAGCCGGAGATGGCAATCCACGGAGGCTGCTGCTCCTGCCAACCCCAAGATCACCCAGATCGTCGACCAGATCAGCCAATTGACCCTCTTGGAGACTGCCGACTTGGTTTCTAGCTTGAAGGTGGGTTGCTTTCCCTTGAGTCCGGCCCGTCGCAAATCCCATCCAGGACTTTGTTGATACAGGTTCTTGTGGATGCAATTGACGAGACTATTGCCCATGTAATGGCTTGAAATTGTCGCTGACAGAAGCTTTTCAACGATATAGTCCCGCCTCAACATCCCCGACCTCCCGGTTGGTGGCTTCGCCATGGCCGCTGCTCCCGCTGCCCCCGCCGCCGCTGAGGAGGAGGAGGCTCCTGTCCAGCAGGAGAAGACCCTCTTCAACCTCAAGCTCGAGTCCATTGAAGCCGCGTCCAAGGCCAAGGTCATCAAGGAGATCAAGAACATGCTGGGTCTGTCCCTGGTCGACAGCAAGAAGTTCGTCGAGTCGGCGCCCAAGGTTCTGAAGGAGTCCGTCCCCAAGGAGGAGGCTGAGAAGATCATCGAGACCCTCAAGGCCGTCGGTGCCAAGGTCACCATGGACTAAGCGGACTGTCGTCTGACTGCCCGGAGGGGATTTTTCTTTGTAATGCTACCCGGTCCATTTGGGTTACCCTGTGGCCATCAGTGTTGGATGAGTGATAGGACGACCTGGATGGCCTGGACGTTGTGATTGGGCTGCATCATCGAGCTGGAGTTTTTATCTCGCGCCACCTTTTGTATTTTGTGTTCTTTTATATCACCCTTTTCTTTATTATCTTTTTTCTCCGTCATATATCTCTGAAGATTGTTTCTGATATAACCGGAAAGCGGGAAAAAGGGCGGCGAATGTACATTATCACCTCTATCGAATGGACAATGTGGGATCAAGAGGAAGGAAATGACTGTTTTTGTTGTCTCTGTCAACCAAACCTGTGAGAGCTTGCAGTGTGTCAGGAACAGACGAGCAAATCGCTCATTCGGATTGAGTGAAGTAGTCAGTATAATGGTGGGGTAGATTGGATTAGAAGTCATGAATGTATTGTCAACAGGGCAGATGAGCTGAGCCATCTGCTGGGATTTTGGACGCGGCGGTTAAAGTAGACGGAGAGACACCGACTCCAGATTTCTTTCTCCGCTTTTGCAACAACTACAGACAGACTGACGCCTTTTTTTTTTCGCTCTCCTCCCCTCTTCTCATATATTTGTCGTTCACGATGTCCCTTGCTAGATCGTCGTGCAGTGTCAGACGAAGATGTCAGCAGTGTTTGCAGCCGAGCATATGCTCTCCAGCGAGCTCATTCCCCGGCTCAAATCAGAACCTCCGCTCCGTCCAGAATCGCATCCTTCTTCACTCCCAACCCGCACCTCAACCTTCGCCCAAGTCCTTCTTTCACACCACCTCATCGAAGCATGCTTCGCGCCCTGCGCCCCGTCGAACTCCCCCTCGAGCCCCCACTATCCGACGCGCCGAAAACAGACGCTCTCAAGGTGGTCCTCTCCGCGAACCAATCGTCGCCGACTCCGTCATCGACGGCAACCTCGCAACTCACCTGGCCTGGCTTCACAAGGAAGGCAAAGATCAATGGGCCAACGCGCGGGTTGAGAAACTCCTCACAGCTAAATTCACTTGGGAAATCTTCGAATCCGTCGGGAGACACTTGATAACAGCAGCTCACAATGGCCCTCCCTCCGCCACTGCTATCGAGAACAACCCGTCCAACCGTATCGACAGTGTGTTATATGCAACCCCTCCCCCCATCACACACTCTCTCTGCCCCTATCAAGCGCGATACCCAATTACCATTTTATCCGATCACTAACAACATCTCAATGGCATCATCATCCAGTGTCTCCGACCGAAGTATACGACTTCGGCAGAATGATACTTCCCGAAAACGAAGCCTTCCAACTGTGGCTCGAAACCTCCGGCGCCCTAGCCAATGTAACCCCCGCGGTCTGCAGCCAAGCGGCCCGCTATCTTAACGACCTAACCTCCCAAGGCCGCGGCAGCAGCAACAACAACAACAACAAACAACACCTTTCGCGCAACGTGCCCATCCTCCAAGCCGTGGAGGCCCTCGCGACGGGACCCGACCGGGACCCGCGCGCGATGCACCTCCACGCCCGCATCCTGGGCGCCCGCGAACAATACCGCGACGCCATGGCGCTGCTGGACGAGGTCCTGGAGTGTATCCGGCCGGGGGAGCGCAAAGAAGCCCGACCGGACACGGTGCTCACCGCCTCGCCCACCACCTTCTGGGATAGCTACCTGTGGATCCACGGCGAAATGGCCGATCTCAGATTCCAAACCAGGTACTCCCGCGACGAGATCCTACGTATCGCCGCCAAAGAATTCCAGGACCCGAAGTACCTGGAGGTCTACGCAGGCGGCACTCTGCGCGAGAGGCGCGACTGGGCGGAATACGAGGAGTGTATGCTCCAGGCCGCGATGGCCGGGAACCCCAAGGCGAGCCGCCGGCTGGCTACCTTCTACCACTTCACCGCGCAGGGCCGGTATCCCCGGCGCGGCGAGGAGGAGTCCGCCGCAGATTTCCAGCCCGAGGGCCGCCGGCTGCGGGAGGAGAAAGAGCGCAGCTTCTTGGTCTCGCTCTACCATGATATGGTCGGCACGTTACCGTCGCTGACGCAGTACCGGATATGGGCCAAGGAATGGTTCAGACATTCCATCGCTCATGGGAACCCCGAGTCGGTCGTCATCCTGGCCGTCTTGGAACGCGAGGACGGCAACGCGGCGGAAGGCGAGCAAATCCTTCGCGCCATGCTTCGCGACATGCAGCTAAAAGGCCCGGAGCGCGAGAAGCTCAAGGAGACGGCCGAGTCTTTCCTGGCTAACTGGTCGGATCCCAAGTTCCAGCCTCAGGTCCAGAAGAATTATTATATATTGTAAAATAGAATCTAGCATAACAAGCGGACTGCATCCCCAAGGGGTGGTATCGGATAAAAATTTCGATGGTACAGTTATGGGTGGCTCTTGAATGCCACTTTCGCTTACGTACAGTACATTCATACTCCTGTCATACCCTCGCGTAGACCAATTTGTAGTTCACCCGAGGGAGAGAAAAAGCCTCGCAGCAGTGGGAAGGGTTTCATCTTGGTAGTCCTGTGTTACCTTCCTGGCCCCAAGTGATATGCGACCGCGACTGATGCCCGTAGAGGGATTTATGGCCAGGCACCCAGGATCAAAGTATGACAAACAAGTCAATCGCGAAATTTAACCGCCGAAACGCCTCCCTGTGCTTCGTCGCCAGTGCGACTCCATGTCTATAGTCGATCTCTGCGTGTACTGTCACTGCCACTGGAATCATTCATCACAACATGGATAACAGAAGAAACGGATAGCCATGAGAAGAGAAGATCTGAGAGAACAACAGAAACCGAAGTCCAGAACGGTCAACCTTCGCAGACAAAACCTAGAATCACCTCCTTCGACCTTTCCCCTTCCCCTTGCCACGGGTCTTCAGCTCCACGAACCCGAGCTCCTTCAACCCTTCCGTGAGGAGGGACGAATCCCTCATCCCGGGGAAATCTTTGGCTGGGAATACGCGGAACGGATCCGTCCACGCCTCAGCCAAAATCGGCATCGACTTGCCCGTGTCTTCAACGTGACCCCAGTTCATCAGGCGAAACTGTAGGCGGTACAGTCCAGCTGTACGGACAGAAAGGTCGGAGAAGATGTAGAACGTGGCAGGCTGCTTCGGCGGGCTGCTCGGGTGACCCGGATGGTTGGCGGAGGTCGGGTATGTGCCCCTTTCGGGTGCATAATAGGCCGATGATGGATGGGCTGGCGCTGTGTTGGGGTCCGGGTCTTCATCAACATAGAACGGTGACACGAACGCTTTCCCTGATAGTAAGGGGGTTGACTGTCCCTGGGCCAATTCATCCGCTCTGTTCGCACCCAATCGCTCCTCTCGACTCACGCTGTCGGTATTCATGTCGGATTGGGAGCCCCCGGGCTCGGGGATTAGGAAGCAGCCCACTGTGAAGCGGGGATCTTGAAGAATATCGTTGTCATCGGATGATTTCGGATCAAAGTCTGTCAGAAGCATCTGAATGATGGGAGGTGGATCTATGGGCCGTCGATCTCGATCACCAGCGCCGCAAGCTCGTGCCGCTAGTGGCTGCTGTCGAATGTAGAGATGATATCGTGACGTCGATGATGGTCGGCGCGGGGGAGGGGATGGTGCCGGTGAATGATGGAGCAATCTCTCGAATCCAGAAGGCATGCTAGTCGTACTGTGCCTTTGAGGCGTTTGTATCTGAGGTTTCTCGGCTACTATAACGGTGGACGATGCACCGGTACAATCGTAACATGGGCCAGGACTCGGGCGGGCCGTGGAGGCTTCACTATTTCTGCCAGCAGGTATTAGCGCTGTGACTGGAAGGAATAACATGGCACGCATTCGGTAATTATGAGGGTCAGATATGGCAGCAGAGACCAGGGAGGTGACTTGCATGCGCGTGGTCATGATGGAATCTTTGAAGAGAAGAGCTTGTGCAGAAAGCAGTCAACCAACAACAACAGAACCACGATCGCGCATTCGAGGCCAGTCGAGCCACGACCATAAGTGGAATGGGAAACTAAGAGCTAGGAGGCTGAGGCATACTCGACATTTCTTAAAGCATTGGACCGTTGAGTCTCAAGCCGAGCCGGAGTCCCAGTAGTGTATGAAGACACCGAGGAAACGTCTTGCTTCTGATGTGCAACGCTACCCCAGAGTCTCTCCTGATAGGACGGTATAGCATTGGAAACGCTAGATGCCACAGTGGGATCATAGCCCTGACTGGCTGGGGCTGAAAATAAGAAGCGCGGGGGCTCGTCCGTGGGATAAGCTTGACTTGGAGCTCCTGTTAGCGCCTGCCGGTCGTCGCCAGCGGCTTGAGCCCGCCCGTCAGCATATTGCCCGCTGGGTGTGGCATGTCTCCATTGATGCAGCGGCGTCCTCGACATCTAGACAGTTCGCACTCGTGTTTCTCTTCCGTTCTTGCTCGTTTTGGGTTATCCCTTTGGGGTTTTCCTCTCTGTGTCTTTCCTTGTCGGCGGAATTTCCTTCGTATGGACAAATGCTAGTGACTGAACCTTGAGTATGTCTGCAGAGTGGGCATCCATATAAAGAGTCACAAATCGATTGGTCGAACTAAGAAGTTGGTCGATTTAAGTGGCACTTGGTGATGCCCAAATAAGGGAGACAATCAACAAAAGGCGGACACTGGACTGAGATAAAATGGTAGCGCGCGACGGCATAATAATAGGTCCTAGGCGGAAAGTAGCTTCGCAGAAATAAGGTAGCGAGGTAGAAGCACGGCTTTTTTCTTTTAGGTAAATTTCAAGGGTCCAAAGAACATGGTCCGCCGAGGGTGGACGTTCCTACGAGGAGAACTGGTAGAGTAACATGCATCTGTTAGTTCGTACTGACGACTGCCAGAAATTTACCACAAAGCGATTGTTGGGAAGGGGTATAGAGTGGGAGGGGGAATAGGGAGGGAAAATCAGAAAAAGAAAGAGTGCCGCCAACCTCCATCCAACCAGCTCATAGCACCACTTGTGCGGGCTGCAGGTAGTGATGATGGGGGTGCTGAGATTTGCAGTCAATCCGCTGTTTATAAGGCGTTCGACTGTCGGATGACGCAACAGGGCCAGAGACGATGGGAATTTTCAACTAACCCTAAATTAAGCAGTAATCTGCAACTTCGAATCCATGCCAATCTGTGGCCGTGCAAAATTAAGAAGCGGATCTGGGGAAACCGGCAGGCTGGGTGACTCTTTTGTGAGAGAGCCTGTGCGTGCCCACTATGTATGTGTGTGGCATTGCGAGGAATTCAAGACATGCAGCGACGCTGCGTCCCTGACAGGTTCCAGCATGTTTTATTCCCGGATCCTGGGATTCCTATCGACCAGTGATGTCCGGTTGGTTTCTGAATGCAGCCCCAAAGAGAATGACACTGAGACCGTCTCCGTTGGCAGTGTGACAACACATAGTCACTGTTTGGTAATAACCGAGGAAAGTCTCTGTAATCAACAAACGGACTCCAGGGGCAGCTCCGTGGATGTTTCTCCGGAAGAAAGCAAGTAGTAGGGGAAAGAACAATAAGCATCGTCTTTGTTTTGAATAACACGGACACCGATTCCTAAGTCGCCAAAAATTGATAGATAGAAGGGAAGCTCGGTAGTTAGGTTGGAGTATGAACCAGCAAGTATGGAGGAACGAGCAGTAAGCTATCCCACCGTACTTGCAATGAAGCACTCGGTGGTGGGTCATTTGCGGTGTCATTTTATCTCAAATCCTGTAATCTGCGTATTTTGCCATCCCGAGAAATTAGGTGACTGACAAGTGGTTTGATGCGCCCACTATTTGAGAACCACAATGCTAAAAAGCACATGTGTAAAGATGAAGATTCGACGGCGCGAAGGATAAGCCAATGCAGGTCGTCCCGCATGATAGAAATTCAGCAAAAGTTGTCATTGAGACCAATCAGTAATCTGAGCATGTATTCAAGTGTCAATTTAGGATAATCAAGGAGCACGCCCAATTGCCGCGGACTTGAGTTATCGCTTTTTGACAGCGACTCACACTGCTGCAGATCGACAAGCTACCAGGATTTACCTGGGCAGAAAACAATTGGGGACACCCTCATGGGAGTCTGGCAGCAGCATTTCTCAATACAAGAGTCACCTGCAGCCTCCTGAGATTGAGGGGAGCAGAAAGTGACGTTGTAGGATTCGTAGCGAACCCACTAGAAAGCTGTTTGGTGGAGCTTCGATCTGGGACTTTCCATCACTGTATCCGAGCTGCCGGTCTCGTACGGAACTCTGTCTCGAGACGAGAGCCTGCAGGCAAATACAGCCGCTCACATCTCACATCTAGAACAGGCATTAGTTGATCATTTTAGACCGCATAATCTCAACCTTGCTATCTTGTCATGCAGATTCGGACGGTTTTGCGAATCTGTCAACTTCAAGACTCGGGTTTCTTATGACTTCAAGGTGTGTCGGGCTTACAAACTTGCTGCCAAGGCGCTTGCTGTGACCCATCATATTGCGACGCCTCAGGAGCATATCATAGCCTAGCCGAAGAAGCCCGTGGAGATATCGAAGGACGGTATGGCCAGCACTTCTGGGTCTGGATGCTGCTAGTTGCTCGTCGGAGCTAGTGGGCCATTGCACGGGCCGCTTCGGTAGGTCATAGAGCTGAAAACCCATGATTAGTCTAGATGGTGTCGGAAGAAACTTTCCTCCACAAGCCTCTCAGGTTCAACGTCGCAAAAGCTTTGCCAACAGAAAGATGAGAAGAGCGATTGGCCAGGGTAAACGGAGATCATAGGCTGAGGCCGTCTTTGTTCCATGATGCTATCAACTGGTACTTCCGCTAAGCCATGAGTGCGTAGTTTCCAGAGTAAGCTTTCCATCCTTGCACTGCGATAGATGATCCCTTGACTATTCACCGCCACAGCTTGTTTCATAATAGCTGACTGGTATAACATAGTGCTCTAATCCGCCTCTGAGGATGCAGGGAAAAAAGGTTTCCTTAGCCGGCCAAGAGGGAGTTATCTTGCATTAGCATCGTAGCATCTGTTCGCCTTTTGATACTTAGCGAGCAGGCTACTGCATGTGAGTGGTTGCCTTACCGACAAGGACAAATGATGTGTCTCGACGGTTGGATGGCTTCCCTAGACTCCGTAGGATTGGCTGTATGCCGGCTGATTCAACAGCCAGTGAATCGACGGTCCTTCCTGTGATCCATGCAGTGGGTTCAAATCCCTGGAACTTATGTGTATTTGGTGCCCATCCCTGGGCTCATCCGGTGTGGCTGTTGGTCTGGCCAGCTGACCCTCAAGGCTGCCATACTGCAGCAGTGAGCAGCTCGATGACTACAGGAACGACTCTGCTTGTGCACATGGCCAACCATGAACGATGCGTGCCTTGTTTTCGGAGTCTGTATGCCGCTTCGCCTTCTTGTGCGGTCTTTTCATGTCTTGCGATGGCGGCCCTGCGTTTGCATTGCGGTAGGGAAAGGTCAGTCGCTGCCTCGACCGAGGCAGCTGAATCTCATTTAGCGCTGCGAATGATTTCAGCCCCACGCCGTGGACCTTGAGCAGGCAACTGAAGTGTTCCATGTCCGTGATACGAAGTACTCAGAGGGCGAGCGCAGCCCAAGGAGATCTAGATGACGAAGGAGTAGTCAATTCGGAGAAAGTCGGCTCGATACAGTAAATTCTGATGGAGCGCTTCGACCCGGGAAAAAGTTTGAGTTGTATCTCCTTGATTGATTCGCCCGACAAGACCAGTGAATTGGAACGTATCGAGCGAGCTGGGCGTAAGTCGCCGATGAGTCTCGACGACTTATCCACTGTGGAAGAGCATGGAAAGGGAAGAATTGAAGGTAGGGGAGAAGGAAGGAAGGGGGGATCAAGTGACCGGCACCCCAACAACACAATGCAGCTGTTCGGCCCCGTCACTGCACCTTCACCATCTACCAGCTGCTTGCTAGCAATCACTCTTTCGCATTGCCATATCTGAAGCTGAATGAAGTGTGGCTAGCACTGGACAGGGATATGGAGGTTCCAACTTCGGCTCTTGCGTTCCATTAGTGGCGGTTCGAGTCCACCGGAACCAGACTTCCACAACCAAACAATACCTACGTCTAGACACTGTTCCACCTTACGTCGGGCTCACCGGTTGATCTTGTCCTGGTATACATATGCCTTCGTCGTGATGAGCGTGACGTTTATCTCCAATGGGATACTACAACATACGGAAGCCAGCCCGAGCATGAGCATCATTCGCTCATGAAGTCTCCTCGGAGATGCACCACACAAATGGCAAAACAAAGAGGAAAAGTTCTCCATTCTCAAAAGGGCGAGAAGAACGGGAAAAAGCAAATCAGCGACTGTTCCGGGTGCATGACGCTATCAGCTCCGATCCTCTTGGACGCTGATCCTCGAGAAGCTCTTTCAATCCTTTCGCAACCATGTTACCCGTTTCGAAGAAGGAAGCGCTACCAATTCATAGAGGGAAAGGGAACAAGGATGACCTGGCATCCGGGCCGATAAGCTTTGTTGTGCCTGCACCGCTGTTGCATGTACCAAGTCAGGAGATCCACGAACTTGCATTGGCCTCTCAGGCGAGATGAGTCAGTCTCACAGCAACCGAAGACGAAAAGGAAAGTTGCTCGTATGGTCATACTTACCCGTTATTGATTGAAATCTACAATCATTTGTCTTGCGTATGTGTGCGTTGTGTCGCCATTGTTTGTCCACAGAAAGAGAAATTGCAAAAGTAGAAAGATTAACTACACAGTCTATCCCTCGCTGCATAACTTGCGATGCATATATCTGGCTGGTCATTGCATGTCTACGGCTATCAGTATTCTCGATAATACTGCGGCCCGAGAAAGGATTATATGCACCATGAAGTACTTCGCCACCTCTGTTCGATAAGGGTACAACGCGTAATGCATATTACAACATTTCACATCATATACCCGCATTTAGGTATCATATTTCGCAGGTTAAAGAGACGTGGGTGCATGCTTCAATTGCAGGGCTCCTGTGTACAAAAGAAGCCCAACCCATGATAAGCCCCGTCATGACAACAGATCTGGACTTTTATCAACATGAAGGTGATATGTCGTCGCGCCACTACCAATTGCAGTCACGCGATCGCTAGACCAGTGTGAATCGAGTCCAATCAAAGAGTTAACCGCTATGATGGAGCTTAATCCATGGCGCAGCTTTGACTGCCCCGGCTCTATGCAATGGTCGGCTGCGCCGTGAGTTTGTCCTACGAAGACGGCGACAAATCGCCCGTGGAAACGGTCCCAAGCAAAGATGTGCCCCGTTTGTTCCCAATTAGTGGCATCTGGTGAGCCTTGCTCTTGATAGGCTTTCGGTCTTGCGACTAGGGTCCCGAGCTGCATCAAATGTAGGGACCGCTTTTCCGCGGAAGACTGACCATTACTGTCAACACTAACGCGGAGTAGGCCTAGTGTGGATGGTGTCCAGGGCCTAGAAAAGTCGGTTCCAGCTGGCGATAAGGACTCTGGGAATTCAACCGGGGAAACCTGGGGACACCAAGCATACTCCAGGTCTATATCTACATCAGAGATAACCGAGATATAGATCAAGCTTCCATCATGTTCGTGGAGGCTCTCAGCAATTTGACCAAGATCCGCGTTTGATTTCGAACATCCAAGGTTTTGGATCTGTGCAAGAAGCCGTTCAACGCTATCATAGCCAGTGCTATCTCCATCTATGGTCAATAGGGGTTGCTCGCTAGCAGCCATGAGCGGGTTAGAAGCACTTGAATGGAGTAGCATGTCAGACTGCCAGCGAATCCCCAACTGGTCCTCCATATCTGCGAGACGCTGATTCAAAATTTCAGTATGTTCTTTCTCGCCAACCAGGGAGGGTTGAAGTTCATCGGCAGAGAGAGAGTCGCAAAGTGATTTTGCCTTCGAAATGTATGGCAGAGTACAGTTGGCGCGCTCTGAAATCTGTCTCAAGTATGCAACGGCTCTCTGTGTAGCCCCGACGTCTATCAAGGCCTCCACACATGTATACGCAGCGCGGAATTGGTTCTCATGTGACTTAGGCGACAGGCCCTGTATGAGATGGGCCCAGAGAGCCTCTTGTAGTTGCTTATTCCCGAGCTTGACAAGCAACGTGAAGTAAGATCCGGACCATATGTCTAAGGGGTCAGGCCCTGCCCAGTATAATATATCGTGCAGGCGAATTTGTTTAGTCGTGTCTTCTCCAGCGACCAAGCTGGTTATCGCACCTATATCGTGGGCCCCGTCGCAGAAGTCTAGATATTTCAAGGCATCGAGGAGAGCATGGACTAGAAGTCTGCTTTCATTCGGACCTAAGCGTTGCGAGCTAACAGCTAAGTAGCCTTGCAAGTAGCGCTGAAGGGCTGGCGCTGAGAATGCGAGCGCTGCGTAGTACATACCCAGTACATACAGACGCTGTGAGCATTGCCCGTCAATTCTCTCTATCCGCGTCACAATCCCATTGATCGCAGAGAGAATCTCTGCGAATTGATCATGCCGTTGGCAGCGCTCTAACGCTCTGAACAGGGGAACGCAATGCTGTGACTGCAGACGCCTACAGCCTTTCTTGTTTGTCACATTGTTCTCGATAAAGATTTGGAAATCGGGAAGACTTTTGATTTGTCTGGTATCGAGGCGCGAGGGCATAGAAGCGGGGGCTTCTGGGGTTCGCTGAAGGCTGACCCAGAACGGGGAAGGCAACTTGTTGTTAAATGCCTCCGAAAGATGCAGATCCAGACTTGGGTCGAACACATTATACTGAGGACGTTTGGTCGTACCTGTCAAAGCGAATCGAAGTAATTGGGACGGAGTGGATTCGGGATATGGAGACCTCTGCTTGGCGCTTAGCTCAACATAGCGACGAGGTGGGATTTGGCATGGCGACGATCTCAGATTTAACCTCTGCTTTGATACCAGCAAGTAGCGGTGAATCTGTGATTTTAGCATGGATAACTTTGAGGTGGTTGAGGCCGGGTGTCGCTCAACCAAAGTACTATTGTGTTGTATGACATGTCAACTGGGAATCTGGGGTGAGCGGGTGAGCGGGTCGGGAGGAGGAGATAAGGACAATCAGACAATCAGGGGAAAGTCAAAGGCGGTCGGGAGGGCGGCGAGCGATGCAGATCCGGGTCACAGTTCACCTCCGTCACAACCTTAATTCTTTCATCATCCACGCTGCTTATACAAATCCCAACTTTGACTCCTTCCACGCATAAACCACCTTCTATTACCACGTCACTTGAGTTACTGCGTTTAAATTATCATATAATACCTTGATACCAGTGCAGACTGACTGATATGCCCACTGAACACGAAATCGCACAGCCTGCCGCAAGCAGTGCTGAAACCAAGGAGGAGCATACATCTGAACAGCCAAGCGACGTCCCCCAGGAGCCCGCTGTTAGTGATGCCTCAGAGAGTGCTCCGAAAGGAGCAGATAAGAAAGATGATGATGCTGCTTCCAAGGCTCGTCTGCGCCAAGAAAGATTCAAGGCTCTCAAGGCTCGCGCGGTAAGCACTTGACGGCTCGCCAGGTCGAATATGCGTTTTTACTGAAGGTCTCGCAGAAAACGGCCACAGAGCGCAACTTGAAAGAAACCGCCGCCGAAACACAACGGCTAGCGACCGACCCAGCACTACTTTCATCGATATCGCGCAAGCACGCCTTCGCATCGCACAACTTACTCAAAGCTGATACAGAAGCCGCGGGTGAAGATTTCGAGCGCAAACGCGCCTGGGACTGGACTGTCGATGAGTCAGAGAAATGGGATAAGCGGATGGACAAAAAACAGCGTCACCGTGATGACGTTGCCTTCCAGGACTACACGCAAGACGCGCGCAAAGTGTACAAGAGGCAGTTGCGCGAAATGCAACCCAATCTGGAGAGTTATGAGCGAGATAAGATGGCAGCCATTGAGAAAGCTGCAGCTAACGGCGACCTTGAAATTGTGGAAACGAACGACGGTGAGATGATTGCCGTCGATAAGAACGGCACCTTCTATTCTACTGCAGATACTGTGGGATTCACAGAGAACAAGCCGGACCGAGCCGCTGTGGACAAGTTAGTCTCAGATTTGAGGAAGGCTGAAGAGGTTCGACTCAAGAAGCGGAGAGACCGCCGTGGAGATGATGATGGTGACGTCACCTACATCAATGAGAAGAACAAGCAGTTCAACCAGAAACTGGCTCGCTTCTATAACAAGGTAAGGTACTATGGGTACCTCTCACTGGAATGCAAGCTAATCATGCCGCAGTATACTACGGAAATTCGCGACAGCTTTGAGCGCGGTACCATGATCTGATCGAGCCCGGCAACTTTCAACCACAAAATGCAATTCTTGCGCGCTTTCCCAGCAGCGATATTCGAACATCCTTTGGTCGTCTCTCGCTCCTTACTTGCGGACTTCCTTGCTGGAGGTCATCTCCAGGTCGCTGCGATTCGCTTAAACAGTCCAGTCGCCCTGAATGAGCCCTGTTGAGTTGATCACGATGCTACGATGCCAGTGATCGTCGATTCTACCTGGATATTGCGAGAGCACACTTCGCTTGTGACATCGACGGAACTAGTGCAGAAGAGAAAGATAGGGGGTATCGATTGGCAGCATTTTCTGTATAATACACTAGAACAGCATCACGTCGCTGCTCGCTTTCCAGCATCGGAGTAGTGTTTCTTTGCAACCCTTCCAAGAGCTGCCTACACGCTTGGAATATCTATGCTTGTCTCCATCACAGGCAACAATCGGCCAGTGGCCAGCCCTCTTGGACTTGAGAAGGGCTTATTGCACACAGTGCGGTTTTGTCATCCTGTGATGTCGTTAGCACTCCGATTCCAGAAGTTAAACTCTGAGACATATACCAATTTACCAAATTAATGCTCAAAGCATGCTTTTCCTCCAAGCCTTCGTGGCTAGGGCCTCAATCTTTTGTACCCCCAAAGCTCCGCGGACTGACTCATCGTCGAGTGCCTCTGCTACGGCTTCGCCCACGTCGTCCACCTTGAGTGGTTTAGTTACCATAGAGCCGAGGAAGTCAAGCTTGTTGCCCAGAAGCGCATTGACCTGGGATCCGACAAAGCCACCGAGGGCAATCGGCAGCGTAAACTTCCTGCTCTCATCGTACATAAAGGGCGCCTGCACGAAGACGTTGCGGAGCTCCGGTAACTGAGCCGCTATGATCGATTCCGCCTCCCTCTTGGTTGTAATGTACCGGCTCGGAAGGACGGGTGCTCCTGACGCAGCGGAGATGTATACAAACGTGGGGACATGTTCATGGTGGGTCTCTTGGGCGAGGGCGATAGCTATACGTAAGAGATCCCCAACATCAGCACTCTTCAAGACCATCTTTGGCGGCAGAAACCAGGCAACGGCACACATACCGGAATCCCTATTCATGAGCTCGTACGTAAACTGTCCACTGCGCTCCCTGACTTCAAGCGGCTCGCCCTCCCGCCTCTCGCTGAGATTCTGACTGCCCGGCCTCGCGGCGCTGAAGGCCTTCTGCAGGCCACTGAGAATAGGCTCCCTTCCCTGCACCACACCCTTGTAGTCTGCCTCGAGCAGGATTCCCATGCTGTGGACGACGGCCGTGGCCCCACTCAGAAAAGGCTTGTATGTCTCGGGTTTCAGGATATCGGCCTTGGCCCATTCAACGGAGCTTGCCCAGCTGGGACGGCCGGCAGAGCCTGTGACCACCTCCCACCGCGGTTCTCCCGAGCGACTATTCATGTCGATGAGGTCAGTACTGCGCGGACATAACTATTCGGTCGCATTCGAGAAGTCGTGTACCTGAGAGACGTGACCGACCAGCCCCTAGCGACAGCGGACTTGCAGATTCTCGAACCTAAAAAAGGCGTCGCTGGTCAGTTCTCTTCTTCTCGAGTGCGTCCTGCGAAGTATACCTACCCAGAAACCCATTACCACCCGCGACAACTACCCGTTTCGCAGCCATTTTTTCGGAAAGTCAGAGAAATATCATACAGTGGGCGTAGAAGAGATATGGTGGGGCGAAAAAGAGCGGCGAGCGACTTCAATATAACATGGTCATGCAATGTAGTCCGGAGCAGAAGAGCTTCGATCGCCGGAGCAAGAAGACTAGCTGCGGAAAGCTCAGGAATACCATACCCCCCGAGCTTCCGAGGAATCCTTATCGTATCACCCACCGCCGTCACGTGCCGTTGCAGACTTCCGCGGCGAGGCTCGCGACAGTGGGACAATTACTTGGATTCTACCGTCCTTCATCAACGCGACTGGATTTTCTACACTGAATTGCCCTCCGCTGCGAGAACGACGTATTATCGAGTGAAGCATGCCTTCCGCTACGGGTACAAAGCGCGTGAGGGTGAGTATTTCCCCTCCCGACTGCATGACAAGGAAGCCAGGGCAAGTAGTTGACCATTTAATCGTTCTAGGGAGTCTCTGTATTCCGCCCATTCGGTACGCCCTTTCCTACCCATTTCTTCCAGAGAGTAAAACAGATCGCTAACACTGGTCCAACCCGCAGTTTTCGGCAGCGAAGCGCAACCGTTCGATCCAGCGAAGAAACCGGCGCAGGTGCCAGCGGACCACACGCACCAATGGCGGGTGTTCGTGAAGGGGGTCAACGGCGAAGACATCTCGTACTGGCTCAAGAAGGTCCAATTCAAGCTGCACGAGACGTACGCGCAGAACGTGCGGACGATCGAGCAGCCCCCGTTCGAGGTCACGGAGACCGGGTGGGGTGAGTTCGAGATCCAGATCAAGCTGTACTTCGTGCCCGAATCCAACGAAAAGCCTCAGACGCTCTGGCACAGCTTGAAGCTCCACCCCTACGGCGATGACGCGGAGGGCAAGAAGGAACGGCGCGAGATGGTGACCAGCCAGAACTACGAGGAGGTCGTCTTCAATGAGCCGGTGGAGCAGTTCTATGAGCTCCTGACCGGCGGGCCGGCGGCGGCGCAGCCGCAGAAAGGGAAGGGCGGGAAAAATACCAAGCAGGCTCAGCAGCAGAAGAATGGACGGACGGCTGAGATTCCGCTCAACAAAACCCCGGGCAACGAATACAGCAAAGTGGGCGAGGCGAGTGAAATGGACCGTCTGGCGGAGGCGAATAAGACGGTCGAGCAGATGATCAAGCAGGAAAAGGAGAGGCTTATTGAGCGCGAGAAGAGACTCGCCGAGTTGCGCGCCAGCGAAGGCGTTCCGGCGATCACTAAGAAACGCTAATTGGTTCCGGTAGTTAGATCTTAATGGCGTTGGGGCCTGTGGATCGCTTTTGACCATCAACTAAGTGGTTGCTCTCACTCCTCGCTTCCAGCACATGACTAGCATCATCGACCGCCACCATAGGATGCAACCTATCGTTCCTAGCACACGGTACGCGGCATGCGCTATCCCAAGGGAACGACTGCTTCCGGGTCCGTCCCATGGTGGAATATCAGGGCAAGGAAGCCTCCGTTGAGGACTCACTTCTTGCCATGCTTTTCAAACCCCCGGGGGAACTGTCATCTCCGCCAGGCCTGCGTGCATGTTCACAGCTCATCGATATCGACTCATTATCCCGTCCTTGCACGTGTTATCACCACTCTGCTTGAGAACAGAGTACGCAGCCTATGATTGGTATCGAACACCCATGGAGGGATTCAGTTCCGTCTGATCGCGATTTCCCAGTCGAACATTCCATAAAGCCACTTGGGTTCCGTCCTCCCACAATCAACGAAGTCATTCCACTTCAGCAAAAGAATACAGTGGCGGAAAGTCGGCAAATGGTCCTTTCCCTTCTAATTTGTTTAATAAAATGTATCTACACCCAAATAGAAACAGCTTCGCATTCCATGCGCTCAAATTTCTCCTCCAAGTTTAATCCTCAATCCTAAATGACCGCATGCTGTTGCCGCCGGGCCACTCAACAAGCCACCTGCGATACCGAGAACGATGACCGAGCTTTTTCAAACTGCTCGAGGGACAAAATGTATTTCTCTGGTACAGGCTTCTTTTTCTCTTCCGCGGCAGGTTTCACACGAGACAACAGACACGGGAAGGGAGGTAGTCCTGTGTGATTCGATCTACATGCGATGATTCATACATCTGTGGTCTCACTTGCAAGCGTTGTCGGCCTGCTCATAACAGATTGAGAAGTGGAAGAGTCCGCCCCGATCGAGCCGGTTGGTTTTCCAGTCCCCCACGCCGTAATGAGGGGGCGACGATAGATTCGATGAGGTCATCCATGTGGAGTGGGGTACTGTGAGCTTGGCCATGTGCTCAAAGAGTCAGTTCTCTGGCGTGATGCACCATTGCTGCGAACAGGTTCTAAGGACATCAAGCCATCGACAACCGAGTTTTGCTTCATGGTGTAAACCATGCTCATGTGAAGTCAAGGTCTGGCATCGTGTGCAAAAGCAGTGGCTCACTGCACGTGGGATCAATGTAAGCCGAGAGTAGCCCGGGTGAAAAGAGTCCTTGAACGTCCGCGTCCGCCGAGCGCAGAGCACCTGGAATTCCAGGAGCAACAATCCAAGAACTGCTGTCTATGGTCGAGGAATTGCTTGAAGCCTCGTTGCGAGAAATGGACGTTGCACTGCTACTGGCCTGCGGATAACGGGACTCGATCCAAGCCGTGAACGTTTCTGCCGCTGCATTCCTCAGGTAATGATGAGCCCTGTTCGCGACAGGCCACTTATTCTTCAACGTCTTCAGGCAGCCGAGCACAAGTATGATGCGGTTACAGTGGTGATCTGAACACTCGGGTGGATGAATTCGACTGGTCGCAAGCTGCACCATGCCGCATAGTACAAGTCCGAACACGACAAACGGACTATATCTCTGAACGCTTGGCCGCACGGAAAGAAGGTTAGACAGCTGCTTGGATGCCTCCGTGGCTTTGATGTCGTGAACATGTCGGGTGAAAGACGGCGAAAGGCGAGATGGGATTACAGGGCTGATCGGGACCCCTGTATCTGGCAAAGCAGGTCGCAGATTGCTTCTGGGCAGATGCAGAAGCATTGCAGCGTAATGAATTGTTGTATGAGCCTGAAAAAGCATCTCATCAACACTGCCGTACATATCCACAATATCCACTTTGCTTGGTGGGAGGTGGTTTGTCCAGCTGACAAGCGCATTTTCCACGGCTTGCAGGTGGTCTCTATGCGTCTCGGGGAGACTATTAAGCACGATAACACGAGCTAGAATGCACACAGCTTCAATCCGGTAGCTGAAGGAGGAATAGCGAGACTGGTCAGCCTCTCCGTCATCATCAGTAGCAGTGAATATGCGTTTGTTGAACCGAGCGAGCGTTGGTGGAGTCGGTATATTCGAGTGATTGGCGTAAACGGATTCCTCACAAGGCAGGGCAACATCATAGGGAACGCTACTGCATCGCAGCACGACTTTCTTCTGCAAGGCTGCCATATAGACGTCCACCGTGAAGAGTTCCCACCAAGTCCGGCGCAAACTTTCTGCTTCAACGTCTCTTTCGTTGCACGATGTTGTCGCAAAGTCTCGCCGGTACATCCCCAGCTCCAGGGCGATGTCAACCGCAGCTGAGAACATGGTGTGGGATTGCGCGCATTCCTCACGAGCGCAGAGCAAGATGGAGTAAAGCAACAGGGCCTGAACTTTGCATGGAGTCCTCTCACCGCTGGCGCTCAATTCTGCCGACGTTGACTCAGATAGCGAAGCACTCGACTGCGGCAAAAAATGGCTTCCGATGTAGACGACAACTTCGTGTAAATATCTCGGATATCTGCGCTCGTCATACAGAGGCGCGGGGACCAGAATTGGGTGCGCAGAGTGAAAATTCTCATAATACAAACGGACCAGCCGGGCGTCGGACTCGGCTGGATCTTGCACAACCTCCGGTATCTGAATAGCCAGATCCTGCTGTTCCGAGGAAGAAGGTGATACTTCTGTCATGTTGACACTAGAAGGGTGGTGAGTAATGATCGTGTCTGGAGTAGGTAAATGCGAAGTCATCGGCTGTTGCAAAATACGAGGATAATTAGGTGTAGTTGCTGCAGGCTGCGGTCGAGTCGCATCTCGAGTCTTTCGCCTTCCCCCACGTCGCGAGGGAAGATACAGGCAATTCAAGCGATTCTCAAGACAACGGGAGCAGGAGGGCGTCTTTGCGTCGCACTTAAGGTGTTGCTTGCGACACTCCGTGCAGGCAAGTGGTGCTGGGCGGACCATGATGCGTGCGAGCCACGAGATGGAAAAGGGACCCTACACAGAATTCACTGCTATGAAACTACAGCGTCTGAAGAAAACAGAGAGGGACAGAAAAAGAGTCACATGTTCGGAGATGCGGCATATTTTCGGTTGCAATAAAGAAACAGAAGCATATTTTAGGACCAAAGGCCGGCCGAAGTTGAGCGGCGATTGACGCAAAAACACATTGCTACGGTATGACTCAGCAATAGTTATGCATGACGCTCTGTCACCTGACTGCATGCACTACTTCCGCTAGTCATCCTACTTTGTCTACCATTATTGCATCGATGATGAGCTAAAGTTTATTTCATTAATCTAGTTCATTATTCATTATTTGCACCGCTCCATAAGCCAGATGAAGACAATTCCTACGCCTGGTAGACATGACTTTTACGCCCCGACTCTCGATCATAGATATTGTAGCCGAAATCCGCTGCATTGGGGGGCGTATACACTGTTCAAGGTCAGCCAACGCTCGTGAGGCATCTGTTTTGTGAAGTATATACATACAGTGAAGGGAGACTGCAACCTGGTCACTGCGAGGATTCATGACCCGGTGCAAACCAATCTGATCACAAATATAGGCCACTTCATCGGTTCTATATGTTGTATCCTTCTTCACTTTCAAGGGGGCGTCATGGCCCTGTTCAGGATCCGGGGTGTAATAGACTGCTTCATTCAGCTCGCCAGCGAGGATTTTCATGATGCAATGCGCGTTTGCATGATCGTGAATCGGAGATCCCTTTTGTGGGTTCCAGACTAAGACTAACTGTCTCGATGGTCAGCCGGGAACAAATGGCCTAACGTGGCATGAGCATGACTTACCAGATTTGCCTGGCCGTTGATATTGGCGACTAGGTTGCGTGTATAATTCTTGCTTGGGTCGTTCTTGGTGAAACGAGACCAGTCTGTCGGGTTGGAGGCATATTTGGACATGAATGCCATAAGGACACGGTGGTCGACTTGATCGGTACCAATGCCCCTCGAGCTACCCAGGTACACTTTCAGATCCTGGACTAGCTGGTCAAAGGTATACTCTTCATTCTGCGGCGACGTAAGGCTGTCTTTCGTGGTCGGAGGGGATGTGAGGTTGGAAGCGAGCAAGGTTGAAGACATGATTGGCAGTCGATAGCGATGAACAGGCAGAAGTGGTAAGTGGGTAGATTGAATACGAGATTGTAAGCTCTAGGCTAGTCAATTTTGTCTTAATTCTTTTAACTTATGGTTGTAACCAACTGGGAGTTTTTATAAAGCTGCTTGACATGATCTTTTTTGAGTCTACATATGTCAGTCGCCGACCGGACTGTTCGGTCGGCGATTGACGATTAATTCAGTGGAACCGTTAAGTCACCAGCCAATGATGTGCTCTCTCTGCACTGGCACGACGATAACCGACGATAACCCGAGCAATGGACATCTCAACTCTTGAATATGAGTTACGCAGCTTCATGTGGCATGACGAAAACTGTTCTTTCACCAATGCCATCTACTACAATTTCTCCGAGGATCTCAAGCCCCTTGTCACAAACGGAACAGCGACAATCCAGCTAAGACCCGCGGCAACCATGACTCCATATGCTATAGTTACCTAATGGGAATAAGGCCTGCTCTGTCCGAACAGGTCTAGATGATAGACTCGACCCCTGAGCGGAGGATTGAGTAGAGCGCATTGCCATTGCTAGAGATTCGCATTGATCCCGCAAGGGCTACATGCATAGCACTGTCAACGAACCGATATTCTACCTTTCGAAGCGAATGTGCCAAATTCTGTCTCATTGGAGTGGACACTGGTCTTGGAGTTGCTATCCATGCAGCAGCATCTGACACGTTGAATCCGCCGGACTGAGTTGCGTGAGATAGTCATGAGCGTCAGAAAACATTAACACAATGTGCTCATTCGGTCTTCGGCCGGATTCTCGTGAGCGAGTACAAAACCTAGTTGTCGACAGTATTATGACGGCGTGTAAGTGCCCAATGCGCCGGCAAGCTAAAGGCCAGAGAATGCTTTTCTTTTTTCAGATTATATAGAATCGCCAGTGTCTGATTTCCGTGCGATTGCGCTTGTTCCTTTTGTCTATAGCATGTTCACAACAAAAGACAGCGCATCGCATTGATGAGCCAGGAATGATAGATATTGCTGTCCGTTGCGGTTGCCTGTGTTGTCCACACCAGTTCTAGCTGATCTCATATTGCGATGGCCATGCCTACAGATAAGATCAGCACCTAACCTATATTGACCCAGACGAGGCACTGGCAATCATCCCTGCCAACCCTCCTCGCTATATCGCACGGGACTTATAAATCCACTTCCCAGACAACAGCATTATCAACGCGCCCAGAAGACCAATGTCTTTGCAACACTTGTCTGTTTCCCATGGCTCAATAACCGAGAATTGCGGTGAAAATCGTCATATCACCCTCGATGATGCGATAATGGGTCGCCGAGTGAGTATTAGGCTCCAATCGCCGACCGTGACCCCCCTTACCCAGGATGAATTCCAATGCTGCATGCATGCTTCAGGCTTCCGGGCATTCTGGCCGGTCAAACGACATCCTCATGTGCGTGGTTGGGAAGTCAACTGATGTATCTCGAAGAGAGTTGGTAGTCATAAGCCCTTTGAAATCGTGAGAGCATCAAGTAGCTTGTGGATGGGTATTCAGTATAACTTGATAGTGCTGGTTCGGAAGTATAGTCGCACTGGGGTAGCTTGAGCTTACCCCACAAAATATATTTTAAGTTTCTGGAGTGATGATCATAAAGCTTCTCGGCACATCCAGGGTGAACCATCGCGCGACGACCGGATACTTGGATGGATTATAGACTGCCAGTGTGTCCATGAATTACTCTTGTGGCCCGGGGACGGTTGTTCAAATTATCGTTGCCTTATTTCAACCCGGAAGAAGGACATGACATATCAAAACATTCACTCTACCTCAAAATACTGTCCCATGTTCTCTTTCTCCAGGCGATCCACTTATCAGCTCTTTCAAGAAGAAGAAGAAGAAGAAGAATCTCCCGAATAAAAGCTTCCAGGCAAGAGGACAGAATCCATGCCACAATATCGCCTATACTCCCCCCTTCCAACCAAGTCTCTTGAAAGCGTGATTTCCTTGGAAGACACCACGATACACCCATACTTCATTCTAGTTTATCGATAACGGCCAGCCACAGCTCCATCCACAGAGAATACTAGCTTCTTCAACCTTCCGACTTACTACGCCACTCAAGCCCCATAATAAATAACAATCAACAAATCAAACCACAAGCGACAACGTCACTTCATATGAGCAACGTCATCAACAGAGAGAAAAAAAAAAAAAAAAAAAAAAAAAAAAAAGGAAAGAGATAAGTAATACCGCGGGCCGGGGTCCAACCCCCTTCCTCCGTATCTGCCCCCATCTCCGGTCACCGACGGTTCCCGCCGTTGTAAGAACCCGCGGTCCGGATCCGCTTCCGCCTCCGGATCCGTCTCGCTTCGAGAAACAAAAAAAACTGCTGACTCGTGGTGCAGGTCCGAGTCGGGAGCTTATCGCCATATGCACGACGCGACAGGGAATGCCGATCAAGGATGTCATCGTACATGGTGGATCTAGGACCCCGATCCTGCGTTACATGATTCATAGGGGTACTGATTCGTTCGAGGCACTTCCTTTTCGTATTTGTGCGCCTTTTTTGCGACACGAGTAAGGCTTTTTCTGCTGGGGTGGTATTTGACTGTTGATATGTTATGTCCCTCGGGGAGGGATGCTGTAGCTTTTTGGCTTGGTTGCTGAGAATTATATGGTGATCTTCAAGTATTATAGGGTTGTGGAGCATGGGTGTCCTTGTTGTCCATCTCACGATAACGTTGGGGCAAAGGGGGTGCAACGTGTCTCGGGGCTGAAGACTCGTAGTAGTGTGTGTAGGTAGAATACGAAGTCGGTGCTTAGTATCACCTAGCAAAATCTTGAAGAAGAGATGGTTGTTTATCGTGTCATGCGGTTCTCATGCTTTCAAAAAGCGAGTCACACCTTGAATACAGGAGGTCATAGTTCTCGTTTCGCCGCCGCCGCCGCCGCCACGTTTCAATCCGAATAGCAAGCTGCAGCTTTTGTGGTATCTCGTGTCTGCTTCAGGAAGGGAATCAAATCAGTTCCTCCAGTGCCGTGGACTCCATCGGTGACCCCCTGCCCATTCCAGCTTTCCATGCGCGTGGACGTCGTGGTCGCCAGGTTGAGCTGCGAAGAAGTCTCACTTGGGGGCGTCGCACGCGCAGGCCTAATGATGTATCGTGTCACCATCCTGACATGCTTGTCTCGGAACCTTCCCAGTGACATCACGGCTTCGTTGTATGCATCCCGCACAGGTGAGCCAGCCTTGTAGCTGAGAGCGTAAGAGCGAATATTAGCCGTGCGGACCATCATCTCGAGGAAGCGACGGTGGGGGCCTGGCATATAGTTGCGCATTTGCTGGATCCCAGAAGTTAACACCACTAAGCAGTCGATTTCGGAGACTGGCACATACCTCAATGAATCCACCCTTAGAAACAACTGGGGGCTTCCCGTCCGAGCCTTTTGCTTCTCCCGTGGCATGATGCACCACACCAAGGAATATATCAAATGTCTGTATCAGAGAGCTCTGAGCGTTGCTGCCGCCGCTGTGCTGACGCCATTCCCCCTCGCCCTCTCCCATATCGTAGTACACACCCCTGGGCAGTCCAGCTGCCGCCATGTTCTTGCTACCTGCCAGGAAAGGTCGTAGTTGATGGTAGAACGCCGCTGGCTGACAGTGCTCATACATACGCTCCAGAAGCTCTCCAAGCTCGACAAGTCCATCGCTCAGTTGGTCAAGGTGGGATTTCACCAGCGCTGCATCGTCCGCACTGGCGGCCTGAATAGCATTGGTCATCAGTGAAATAAGCTGTGCGCCCTTGGCCTCGAGAGCAACTGAAAGTACGAAAAACCATTCCTCGTCTTTAGTGGCAGTAAACGAGTTGATGACAAATAGGTTATCGGGGTCGGTGAGATCAGTATCGTCTTGTGAGACCTTGAAGTTCCAGAGATTGAGAGCTGCATATGTTGCACACGGCGGGAGCTCTAGATGTTTCGATACCTCAAGAAAAGGCCGTGAGATGGGGGGTGGTAGCACCTGAAATTGAACAAGTCAGATCAGCAACAACACCAACAATAAATGACTAATACAAATCCACAAGGAAGCTCTCTTACTTCGCTAGGTACGTCTCCGCCCCAGATGTAAGCATGAGTAAGATAGGCAAGCACAGAGTATGCTCTTCTCCATTCCGGTTCAGATCCAAGCTTGGAGGTGTTCAGAATTGGCATCTCATTGACAGCCTGTCTTATCGCTCGATTCTTGATACGAGCCGGCAGATCAGAGACGATGCTTTCCCATGGCAAGTAGTATGGGTCGGATAGTTGCTGTAGAGGAGGGCTTTCTGGGAGGAAACCATTCTGAAGGGAAAGAGCGTACTGCTCAAAGGAGACGCCTGGTGTGTTCAACATTTTGAAGGATGTGAAGAAAGTTGAGAGACTGTAATACTCAGATGGATATTCTCATCAACATGAGGGGCACCGGCAACGGTAATTATATAGTATCTCAACAAGTGCATGAATCGGGGCAATCCCGGATCCGGAGCGGGCTATAGTAGAGGTCGTGAGGATGTTGTGACAATGTATCGTACCACCAGTCAGTAAGTGCCGATGATAATCTGCAGAGAAATGCAAGGACTGTGTCAATCACTGAGTTTAAGTTCCAGAATAATATCCGGAACTTTATGTTATAGCTAGATGGGTCATTATCGCGAATCACGGATCTTGAGGCGGAAACGGAACGGCATCCGGTCCGGGTCAACCAGAGACACATCCATCGTCATTCCTTAGTTGACTAGTTATAAATATATGATAATCAAGGGATGTCGCTAGAGACCACTCTGGGTAGAATTTCACTCCAAGTCTCTAAACTCACCGTTCTTCACTACCTATACCTCAACCACCACCACCATGTCGAAGCCTACCTTCACCGAGGAGGCCGCAACGCCTGAGTATGCAGCCCAACTTGACGCACAAGATCATCTAGCTGCATTCAGGGACAAATTCATCATCCCATCAAAGGCCGACATTGCTTCCAAGAAACTCACCAAGCCCGGTAAGTGTCAAAGCAACTGACCCGGCTGTTCCAGATGGTTACTGATGATGTTGGCAGGGCTCTCCTCGGAGCCGTGTATCTACTTCTGCGGTAATTCGCTTGGGATCCAACCGAAAGCTACGGTCAAGTTTGTCGAAGCACAGCTCGACACTTGGGCGTCGATCGGAGTCGGCGGCCATTTCACGGATCTGGAGGGTTCTCCATTGAGACAATGGCAATTGCTTTCAGAGCAAGCTGCTGCTTCCATGAGCAAGATTGTCGGAGCCAAGCCCGAGGAAGTGGCAGCCATGGGAACCCTGACGACGAACCTCCACCTGCTTTTGGCCAGCTTCTACAAACCCACTGCCACCAAGCATAAGATCATCCTGGACTGGAAAGCATTCCCCAGTGATCACGTACGCAGAGACCCTTTCGCGAAACACCTCGGGTCAATTCGCGCTAACTGTGGCATAGTACGCTATCGAATCGCAGATTGCCTGGCATGATCTGGACCCCAAACAGTCCATGGTGCTGATCGGCCCTGAGGAGGGCGAGTACGAGATCTCGACAGAAAGAATTCTGTCCCTCATCGACGAGCATGCTGATGAATCAGCTGTTCTTCTTCTTCCGGGCATCCAATACTATACGGGACAGTTCTTTGACATCAAGAAGATTACCCACTATGCACACTCGCGAAATCTCATTGTCGGATGGGATCTAGCTCACGCATACGCTAATCTGGATTTGAAGCTGCACGACTGGAACGTTGACTTTGCGGCGTGGTGCACATACAAATATGGCAATGCGGGCCCGGGGGCGATGGGCGGACTTTTCGTCCACGAGAAGCATGGCCAGGTCGACTACCGCGAAGGAGAAGACTCCCTAAAGTTCCGTCATCGTTTGACTGGATGGTACGGCGGCGACCGGTCAGTCAGATTCAAGATGGATAACAGTAAGTCTCACCCCTCTGGAGAGGAACGAATTTCTCTTCATACTATGGTGAGCTGACAATCGATCCGTCACAGATTTCAAGCCCATCCGTGGTGCTGGTGGCTTCCAGATCTCGAACCCGTCGGCCATCGATCTCGCAGCTCTGTGTGCTGCCTTATCTGTCTTTGATGGCACGTCAATGGCGGAACTTCGCCGGAAGTCGATTCAGATGACCGCATACCTTGAGTATCTGCTGCTGAAGGACTATGATGAAGAGTCGAGACCGTTCCGCATCATTACTCCGACGAATCATGAAGCAAGAGGAGCCCAGCTTAGTCTGTTGCTCAAGCCTGGACTGCTGCAGAATGTAGCCCAAAAGCTGCAGGAAGCCGGGATCGTCTGCGATAAACGGGAACCAGGCGTAGTGCGTGTGGCACCCGTTCCGCTGTACAACACTTTTAGTGAGGTTTGGACCTTTGTCCGGATTTTCAGGGAGGCACTAAAAGGTTGAGCCCGACCAGTAGCGGAAAGGGACCAAGTCGATATAGACGAGTGTACAAACTTCATGATAATGTATATAAAATTCAATTCCAAGCCTCTCAGAGCGTGCGCCCCATGTCTTGCATGCTCAACGGTTCGTAGACCCCAAGCATTGGAATTTCGACTTTCTACAGATAGCTAGCGGGCAATATTAAGCGCACCTTTCTCCTTGCCATCATCCACGAATGCAACTAATATCCTTGGTGTGGAACTAGGTATCAGAGATGGCCGAAAGTATCTCTGCAATCACCCCTCGGCAAGAAGTCTTGGGCTTGGGAAAAAAAATTCGCTGCCAAGATTGAGAACTCATCATCCAATGGATCCGGGGCCTGGGGCGAGCCCATAGACCCCATTGAATACTGTCCACCTGCCAGGAGCGGTGTATGAAGATTGAGCTGCGAGCCTGGTGATGAGGCTGAGGTGTGATGGGAATGTAGACGGAAAGGTTCAGGCAAGGGCGATGTTTGCGATACTTCAGCCGCGATCGTAGGAGGTTCGGAGTACAAAGAGTCGCCAAACATACGGCGAGCCGAGTCGGTGTCACTATTGGAGGAGTATTCAAGGATCTCCCAGAACCGGGACAGATCAATGAGTAGATACTTATTCTGTGATCCCGACGCTGGTTGGTAGGATGCAGACACCGCATATTCCAGCTTATGTAGCCTGTCCGCCTAGAGACACAATTTCAATTAGCTGCCGGATTGTGAAGGAGACATATGTATCAGCTCACCAATCGCGCCATGTGAGGCCATTTCTGACCTAGACTTTGCACAAATCTAACACACCTGTAGAACCGTTCCCGCTTTTCATCACGAATGGCAGCATTCTCGGTGAAGCTAAGCTGCAGTTCAATTGTTGCTACCACCGCGGCGCTATACCCAAGGAACGGATCCGAGATTGTAAAGCCTTTCTCTTCGAAGAAGTTGATGAAGTGTATGATCCAAGTTGTATGTGATGAAATGAGGTCCGAGCTATGCTGGAGAAATATCTCGGGAATGGTACTTCGGAAATTTCTGAGACTGAGTGAAAGAAGAAGCGGGTGGTTGACCAGACACAGAATTGTGTGGTACAAGAATTGGTTCAATAGCCAGGGGCCCCAGTAGTCTCTTCTAGCTTGAAGTTCTTCAAGTGTTCTTTCACTGAGACTAGCTGGTTTGAATCTGTGGCTGTAAGGCATCTGAGTCTCGAGGTCCATTTGAGCAGCCAAGATTTCAGAATAATCTGATTCTGACGACCAAGGAGGCAGCTTCCCAGGCTTTCCATGACGCCGGACATACTTCGCAGTCTTTGCAAACACGCCACTGAGCATGATCATGTATGCGAGAATACCCTGGTCCTGCATTCCTGATGATCTGGTTTCATCGACCGCATCACTTAGTGAGTTAGGTGGCGGAGGCCTATTTGGGCTTGCGGGGAAATGGGGAAAGCTTCCCTCTGGAAAGTCCAAATTGTCGACATCAACACCATGGAGACGTTTTAGCAAACATATGCTCCAGAAGCAACGCCTGCGTTCTTCCCGAGCTAGAGAGGATTGTAATGATTGCGATTCGGAGCCCAAGTTAGCACACTGTGCCAGGTTCATTGCCAAGCTGCAATGAATACTAGAGCGATGTGTATTGCCATCTGTTTTAATTGGTCAATAAGCGTGTGTGCCAGCCATTGACGGAATACCTACTGGTAAAGTCAACTAAACTGAGTAGGCACAGGCTCTGAAGGGTCGAGAGCTCAACCGGGCCTTCAGAAACCCTTTTCATCACCAGGCCTCGTGCAACTTCAGTATAGCCGTTGATGAGAGTTGGGAGTTCTTCGGGGCGTGCGGCCTCGTCATCCGAAAACCGTACACTCAAGGCCATTATGGCATAGATGATTTCTGGATCACGAGTTGGCAGGCTTCTTAAGAAACTCTCCCTCTGAAAAAGTGGGAGAGGTTGAGAGTCGCAGTAAAGCAGATACAGTTCTGCTATAGATAATACCTTTTCCCATCGAGGTAACGGTGTGAGTGAATTCAGCGGCGATGTATTCGAGGCATTGGCCAGACCAAGTGGCCTAGTTAGTGGTACTGTCTGTTGAGTGCGACTCGGTGCATCTCGCCTGGCGAGAGATTCATCAGACACTTGTGTAGAAACATCGGGAATGTGACTTCTTACCCAAGGGCATCGAGAAACTCGCTCATCTTGGCTTCCCAGCTTCCAAGGCGATCTTCCTATAAGTACACGAGGTAAGCCCGCGCTTGAGTGGAAGTAAAATGTGACTGAGCATACTAATATCTGAGAAATCCTAGTCTCCGAGGAGGATATGCCAGAGACCGGTCCTCCTGGAGGATGAGAGCCATTTGTCAATGACCTTCGTTGCTCTCCAGCATAGGTACATGTTTGATTCAATCGCGCACACAGAGAGCAGCTAGGTTGTTCCCCTGGACATTTTGCCTTTTTCCGTCTGCAATAAATTATCGTCACTAAGTCATAAAGCACGATTCGGGTCAGCTAGTCCGGCTTACCTGCATGGTTCACAGGCTTGTCGCACTCGCTTAGCGGGCCGCTCAGGGGTAGAGGACTCAAATTCCATGCCAGCACAATGTTTTTATAATATCCACACTCTTTGAGTTATGTGCAACCCAGTAATAGAATATTTGATGTGGCTTGCTTCTATTGATGATCCTGAAAGTGTTGGTCTACCACAGGAGTTTTAGTCTGCTGCAGTAGCGTTGTCAAGAACATGAATATTGAGGGATGGGTGCATTATACATCAGCCAGAGGAGCGAGTCATTGGTGATGGGGATAGCCCGAGGATTGAGAATTAAATGTAACAAGGTCACCCTCAGTCAAAGACATCAAAAACAACATGGCTAGGGAGTAACTAGCGCATGCTTGTGCTTGTGTATGGAAAGATCGCTCTGGTCGGGATGAACCGCAATTAATGGATGACTAATCCAATGACCAGTGCAGCAATAACTAGCTACTGATAGAGGACTTTTGGTAAGTCGATGTCGGTAATAAGCGAGCGAATTGACGATTAGGTAGTAAGTGGTGCATTCACGTAGATGATATCATGAGGCATGCTAATTCTATCCAATAACATTGACTTAAGTTTGGCAGCCCTTCCTCCGAATTCGATATGGCATGATCAAAGATCCTTCGAGGGAGAACACCACTACGGCACGCAAGCTCACACCCACCAACCCATGTGAGATGCCATAAGAGTCCTGCGAGTTCACCAAGCAGTAATTGTACGCTGAAAGCGTGACACAAGCCCATGTCTAAGGTATCAGTACATTTCGAAACCAGCTCCTCGCGCCCTGCAAGCACATTAAGCTCTCCGTAGCCGCACGGATTGAATGTGGTGTAGAACTTCAAGCTGAGACAGGAAATTCGAGGAAAGATTTCACACATTGACGCCCTAGCTTAACGTATGTACAACGTCGATAATCCCAGTCTTCCTCTCAGGCAACCCGTTACAGAACCCAATCGCACCGCCAAGTCGAGCCAAGGAATGTCATCGCGAGACGCTGCGGGATGATAGTTGGTGTAGTATTAGGCGTTTACTCCTTGCCGAAGAAGGTCTTGTGGCCCTATAGTACAGATCAGTATTGAGTCCCTCCAGCAAGAACGATCGAGGGCGATATGTTCGCGGGCAGCACTTACGAAAACCATGCGGACCATGGCGTAGGTGGTAGCTGAAGACATGTTAGTATGGGTACGTCGGAAGCGCGAGGACGAAAATTGCTCACCAATGCCGAGGCCGTAGACGGAGACGAGGTAGGGGTACATGATGTAGTTGCTGCGCTCGGTCTGTGTTGAATGACGATGATGGTGAGATCTTCCATGCTACCATATCGCCTTGCCAGACCGACTAACCTTGTACCACTGACGCTTGCCGTCGTGCTTCTGGAAAAGACGCTGGTAGTAGGGGACGCGGTTCTCACGGAACACGAATCTATAGAGATTTACAGCCTATATCAGCGATCTGGAAGCCAATTGGGGCAGAAACAGTGGTCATGGCCCGATCAATGGTGCGTGAACCGAGCTGACGAACGAGTCATGAATCGGGAGCGCAGACGCCGTGCGAGAAGGTAAAAGACTAGAACAAGCAGTAGGGACTTACCCAGCCATGCGAGGAGCGGTGCGGAACATTGTGGCGGTTGCGCAAATGCGACAATAACGAGGTTATCTAGAGAATAGAGACGAGAATGGCAGCTTGAAGATTAGCAGTAACAATGATCAGTCGATGTCGTGAAGTGTGGACCCGACCATGGTCTAGTCACGTGATGTTATTCCTCCCACTTCCGCCTTTGAGATTCAAGGCTTATTAATTCTCACGTGATAAGATGCTAGAGCTAACTCAACAGGGTATGGCTGACAGACAGCCTGGTCAGGTCCTGCAGTGCCGCTGGCCCCAGAAAAGTAGATTCCGCGGCATTCTCCAGGGTGTGCAAACACATGAGCTCAATTACCACCGATTTTCACATGTGGAAGAGATTTTACATACCCTTAGGGAGCGAATGAGGACGATGGTCAGATTTATCGTTGTTCTCTTTCCTTCTCCGTCTCAAGACTCATGCGCCCGGCTCTTCTTCGATTACTGAGGAGACCGTCAGCTCTTTCGGTTCTCGACTCCCTGATCTCAGCGCCTGTCGGAGTTGAACAATTCGAGCTTAGACGCGATTCAAGATGCTTGCGCTGTCTTACAAAGAGTACTCAACAGGAGCAACACGTATCAACTGCCAATTCAGAACACCCCGCTCCTCAGGAATGCTCCTCTCCATCAACAAAGCGAACATTGAGCTTTCAGGTCCATAATATCAAGGCACCAAAGAGGCAAGCAGAGGACAACGCTGAACCTGGAGAAGCCTCCACCAATAGGGCACCCTCTCGCCTATCACGATTCCGATTACAACCGGACAAGCTAGAATTTGAGTCGGATATTGGACATACACGCGACATCGGGACTCGTCTAGTGGATAATCCACTCCACCGGAATGATTTCAATTTATGGGTAGAGCTCTTACGCTACCGTCAACGGCATCATGGAGATCAAGGAACAATGGCCATTTGGGAGGCTCTGACAGATCGCGTGGACGGCGTGCAACTTCCAGTGGACGGGGAACTGGCGGATTTTCTCTGGCAAAGCTTTGTCAACGTCGGTTTCAAGCGGGAAATTGTGATCACCGAGGTGGTTGAATATGCGCGAGAGCTGTGGGATTCGACCGGAAAACGATGGCCCAAACTCTACGAAAGTGTTGTCGGCGGGTTCATTGAACGCGGCATGAACCATCAGGCTGAAGAATGGCACCAAAGACTTCAGGATCCACATCTGGCATGTCCGAATGACGTTTTGCATGTTCTCAGACCAGATGTCGCCGTTCAACACTCTGTCAGTACCGTTGCGAGTCTGTCCAAAACCGAACACAAGGGCTTCCTGCCAAGCTTATCGGCTTTTCGCAACATTTGCCGGTCAGTGGAAGGTCACCAGATATATGTCCCTGTCATGTCTGCGCTTCTTAAAAATCATCTTTCTGCTCAGGAATTGGTCCTCATGCATTTATTCTTAGTCGGTAAGGGCGATCACCCCCGCTCTTACAGAGACATAGAGCCGGTGATGCATGGTGCGGAAAAGCGCGGCCTACGAATATTCCGGCAGAAACTGCGAGCTTATGTCAACTCTCGGTTCCTCAGTGAGATCAAAGCCTCTGAGGTTGAAGACTCTGGGCAGCCTCATGCATTGCCAGTGAACCTCAACGAAGGAGAGCTTTCGCGTCAACTGAAGCCCGTCCCGGATGAATTCGGCGCGCGCATATTCGCTACCGACGCTCTCAAATTCGAGCTCATTCTTTCTGGCCTCAAGATGTTTGGCGCGACATCCATCGGACCACAGTCATTACGGGAAATGGCATTGAGAGCGCATGGGACACAAGATATTTTAGAGAAAATTCGACTGCTGCGGGAAGCAGGTATTTCCATTGGTGACTCAATCTTTTCCCGCCTTGTCCGCAAGCTAGCTGCCGAAAATCGTGGCATTGTTCTGGCAGATCTACTTCGAAGTGACCAGCATCCGGACGTGCTGGAGGATGCGGGTATACAAGAATCCCTCTTGCTGTCTTATTACATCAGCCACGATTTGCGTCTCTACAACCTGACTCTGGCAATCCTCAGCGAAGTCGCCGATGAAGGGCCATATCTGTTCAACATTCATTTTCGAAAACACCTGGCAGCCGGCGAGTGGGAGTTGGCATCAAAAGTGGTTGACGAACTGACTTTGCGCGGAGAGGTCCTGGACGAAAAAAGCATCGACTTCATGATAAGGCATGTCTTGACACCTCGACGGCCTGGGTCTGGACCAGTACGAAGCCAGAACCGGCCACCAACATCTGAAGTGGCATTCGTCTTTCGTGTGCTACAACGCGTCATTCCTCTGGGGGCAACTGTGTCCGCTGGGCTCTGGATCGAGTTGATCAAACGACTAGGTCAAACAAATTCCTGGACCGAGCTTCGGAACTGCTGCCTTTGGCTGGCTCGTCAATATTCTCCGACCGTACAGCAGAAGGATATTCCGTTGGAAATAATTTCAACTTCCAGTAGAGTGTGGCCTAGTCGTACTCCATCTTCGGCAGAGGAGAATGCTGACATCCTCCGCACCATATTTAGCCAACAACTTCAGGGAGCTCTCGTGCATTGGGGGTTTAGGATGCGAGTCTCCTCGAACGCCAACCGCTACAACCCGGTCACAGACCAGGTTCCATGGGTACGAGGCCTCATCCTTCTGCGGGAGTTGGAGCGTAACGGAGTCGATCTGAAGGTAAGCAGCATCAGCCGTGCGTGCCGGCAGCGCCTTGCTATTCTTTTTGGAAAACGCCGGTGGTCTAGCCGTCGTATGAACCGTATGTTGCGGCGCGAGAATCCTTATACTCTTCAGAAGGTACTTGGTGATATTAGCAATGTTTGGGGAGAGCCATCCTTGTTTGCAGGTCGGGAGCACATTGACGTGTTTCGACTGATTAATCCACCGAGCTCGAAGATGTCGTACCGCAGGACACGAAAAACCCTCTGGAGGAGGAGAACATTGCTGGAAATGACTCTGGCCCAACGCCGGTCATGATGTACTATACAATAAGCAAATATATAAAACTATAAAATACAGGATGGTCAACTAAGTTAGTTTGGAATGGGTGTCTTACGAATACCAAGGTTACTAGTAGGAGAGCACACAAGGAGGGAGCCTGAAACCAGAATGCCTATAGAGAAACACTGACAGATAAGCGACAAGGCTGGAACGGGACCATTCCGTGGGAGCAGCAAAGAGTCGAGCTGGATCCAGTCAACATCTTCTTTGGCAATCAGTGTATTTGATAATAATCTTCTCACCTGCTTTAATTTTGACCTTGAGGGCGCAAGACTTGCCTGGTTTGGGAATAATCAGGAATAGCGGAGTCATAATCTGCTCACCTCCACCGCCCGTGTGTCCGCTGCTTTCGGCCTGGCTGGACGGTGTCGAGGCCTCTCATTGGTTGCGGCCACCCAAAATGTGCTCAAAGCAATCTATTCAGGTTCTCAAATGCCAATGCCCTCGTGTCTGGTCTGGTCTGGTCTCCAGAATTTATGGAGTTGTCAATAATCCAGATTGAATTGCTGCTCGGCCATGGCTAAGATATCGTCGCGGGTCGGCCCTCTCTCTCTTTCTACTCTTTCTCTCATTTCGTCTGTTTCTTCTCTCAACTGTCCTTCGCGCAATCGTGGTCTTCCTCCATACAACAAATAAACACACTGTTCCGAGTCAACTTGGCATACAGTACTTGATATCCGATCTCGAGTCAATACCACTCTATCAGACCATCGAAGACCGGATATTCGATCCAACCCGCCAGCCACAATGGACATGAGCAGCATGGACCACAGCTCCTCGTCATCCTCATCAATGTCCTCCTCGATGACGATGGCCATGGTCTTCACGAACAGCCACGACACGGCACTCTTCTCCTCGCAATGGACGCCCTCCAGCAGCGGCACCTACGCCGGCACATGCATCTTCCTGATCGTGCTGGCGATCATCGGCCGCCTGCTCGTCGCCTTCAAGGCCCTGATGGAGCAGCGCTGGCTCAGCGCCCACCTCCGCCGCCGCTACATCGTCGTGGCCGGCCAATCCACCGAAGCGGGCCGCATCGCTGCCGACCCGGACGCCAAGGGTGCCACGCTCATCACCGCCCAGGGCGTCGAGGAGAACGTCCGCGTCGTCCGCCGCACCACCCGCGAGCCTCTCCCCTGGCGCTTCAGCGTCGATCTGCCCCGTGCCCTGATCTACCTCGTCATAACGGGAGTCTCTTATCTTCTGTACGTTTTTCTTTCCCCCCAGCGCCGCAACCCGATCTCCGCGAATCTTTTGCTGATTTTACCTTCCCCCTCTTGCAGCATGTTGGCCGTCATGACCATGAACATCGGCTACTTCTGCTCTGTTCTTGCTGGGGCGTTCCTCGGTGAGCTGGCGGTTGGGCGGTATATTCAGGGGAGTGAGCATGATCATTGAAACTTGGTTGATTTATGATTTGCATTCCGGAGTTTGGGGTCACTGTGGTATGCCCCGCATGGTGTACTTGTCATTTTTTTTTTCATATTGGGATGGATGGCGTTTTGCTCTATGCATTGATAGCGCTTAGCATGCATTGTTGAAGATACCTTTGAGACCAAACACACCACTTACGAACTGTTACGACTTTTACTGCTCTGCTGGGCGACAGCTGGTGTCTATGCCCTTTGGGGGTGTGGTATGCTGTACATACATAGACACGGATGCAGAAAGATACTGGTACATATTTTGGCTTTGATGGGCTATGGGCGCGAACTAGATAAATAGATAACTAAGCCTCATTGAAGAATGCTATTCAACGACAGAATCCCACATGCAGGAAGGAGTTCGTTTGCGTCTCGGCTGGAGAACCGAGGAGGTATAATCACCCCGCCGATCCACCGCATGCCATTGGCGCGGAAAGGGGTATCTGCCAAGAGCACTCACTCATTGCTCCATTGCGGTTTAGGAAGATCACAAAGAATTAAGCGTGCAACAACAACAACACCTCCTAATTTGCTCTCGATAAGCAATGTAGCACAACGTCAGACAAAAAATGCGTCTCGACTCTCAACCCTCAAACGCCCTCGTCGGCCGCACCTTCAACCCAGCGCGCCGATACGTCTGATCCACCGCCTCCATCTGGCGAATACTCTCCGCCGCATCGATCCACACGCCGGACCCTTTCCTTTTCCTGATGCGATTCACAAACTCCTCCAGCTGACACCGCCAGGTGGTCCACCAGTCGCGATATGTCTCCGCCCGTGCATCGGGCCAGTTATACGCCTTGAGGTACTGCACCTCCGTCCACGCCTTCGAGAGCGCGCCGTTGCGGTAGAGCGTGTGTCGGTCCTGCACGTCGATCCGGTGGTACACCGTCGGCAGGATCATGTTCCAGATCGTGACGGTCCGCTGCACGAAATGCTGCGTCTCGGTGCCGCCCTGCGACGCCACCAGGATCTCCGCCAGGATGGCTTCGGTCTCTGGCCATGCGAGCCCTGGGAGGGAGAGCGATCGCACCCATTTTGGCAGCGCCCGGATCGCGTTCCAGCTGCCTGTGTGCGCGAGGTCGCCGGCGATGTGTGCCCGTTTGGGCGCGTGGTTTGGTGCGGAGGTGGTTTGGTATGTTGCTGAGATGGCGGTGTCGATTTGTGGCTCTTCGTCTTGTTCTTCTGCTTCGCAGGCTGGGGATTTCGTGGTGGTGGCGGTGGTGGTGCGGGTTGATGAGGGGAAAGGTGTGTATTGCACGTCTGTGACGAGGAGGGCTGACTCTCGGCCCAGGACTTGTCGTACGCAGGACAGCGGGTACGTCGCTACGTCCATGAGGCATCCACCGGAAAGACCGTACTTGAACCGGATGTCATGTGGCCGGATGTAGCCCTTCGGGAGGTGAAATTGTGAGCTCGTGTCCACCACTGTGCCGGCGCCCCATGGGGTTTCGCGGGTCAGCGTCAGGAAGGTCTGCCAGGCTGGGTGGAATTGGTGGTGAAAGGCTTCGAGAAGGACGGGAGCGTTGGGCCCGGTGGCTAGGGGGTGGGTGAAGAGCGCGCGGGCTTCGGCTGCATTGGAGCATGACGGTTTCTCCAGGAGGACGTGCTTGCCTACTTCCAGGGAGCGGAGGGCCCATTCGTAGTGGTGTGAGTTGGGGAGGGCGATGTAGACGGCGTCAATGCTGGGGTCGTTGAGGAGGTCTAAGGGTGCGTTAAGTTCCTTGTTCAAAGTGCAACGTGCATGGTGGATATAAAGGTGCGATGGAGGTTTGGATGATGGCTTATACCTTGGTATGAGCGATGCACGATTGGAATGTTGTGTTTCTTCGCATACTGGCGTGCGCGGGCTGAGTCGCGGGCAGCCACTGCTGCAACAATGACCTCTGGATGGGACTCTGCCGGCGCGATCACGGAGTATGGGCTATCTCAGGTCAACAGGATGCAGTTCGGTAGATATCAGGCTGTGTGCCTCACGCTATGTTGGATGCTCCGAGTAGACCGATTCGTATGGCGTCATCTTTCTTCGCTGGAGTAGGCGGATTGAGGATGTAATAAATGCGTTGAAGGAAGCCCAAGAGCGCCATGGCCAGTTGAATATATCCACCTTTCTGCGTGCGATGATCGTCTGATGCGAGATGGAGATGTCATATTTGGTGTTGAGTGCTGACTGGGACGTGGTTACTCCGCACATGAATCTTGGTTCCACCACGTACAAAGGCAACGAAGGAGGGGTCCGGAACATTATTCAGATACTTCTTTGGTATGTACATCGTGCGCTTTATGATATACGTGGAAAGATAAGTAGCCAGTATGATAATTGAAGTAGAGTACCAAGTTCAATGGCAATGACAATGACTTGTGACTCGGACGGGATGCTTGCCTGATGGCTTATACTACCGCAACCAGTCAATCAGCGATATTCTCAGTTCGGGTCCGATAGTTAATCAACTTATATAGCTAACTAACTGGTTCTCTCGTGGACAAGACAATTTAGGCAAGATTCCCACCCCGAGTCAGTTCAATAGCTACTAGCTCTATGTAAACTACTATCTGATAAGCCTGACGCTGCCATGCAGTGCCAGGTGGATTCGGAACTGGTTCGGATTTGGCCGCGCCCTGAGAAGAAATGAGCACATTTCTTAACCCCATGCGGATTAGTGTCAGCGGAGGCCCGTTCCAGCCTGGACTTGCCAATACCTTCCAGATACCAATGCGGGTGCCACTGCCCACTGCCCAGTCCTGCATAGAGTCTGTGAAAGACACAAAGAAAGAAAGAAGCCTTCGAGCTAATCTAGGACCCAATTGATGCTGGGTCCTCTTACTTGTAGACTAAGTGATTTCGGTCATAGCAGTTAATCCATATGGCGGAACCGACCTGGCAGAGCTACTCCCCCATTCATGATGCCTCCGCCAAAGCCGCCGTACAATTCCTCTCACATCGGCCCCATTCCTCTATAAAGTTCTCACAGTCTCCTCTTCCCTCATAGCATAATCCTTTTTCTTCAGTATCTCTTCCACTATCCAGTTCCCCCAAAGCGGTACCACATCATCATGAAGCTCTCCATCCTTCCCTTGGCGGCTCTCGCCCCTCTGGTGGCTGCGCATTTCAAGCTCGAGTACCCTACGAGCCGCGTACGCAACACCGACACCATGCCGAACTTCCCTTGCGGAGACTCAGCCCAGACCTCCAACCGCACTCAAATCTCCATGTCTGCCGGCTCTTTCCCTGTGGCACTGTCCATGGGCCACTCCCAGACCGCCGTGACGGTCCTCCTCGCCCTGGGAACCGACCCCGGCACCAACTACAACATCACCCTGCACAAGACCTTCGAGATTGAGGGCCTGGGCGCATTCTGCCTTCCCCACGTCACCTTCGATGAGTCCATCCTCGGCACCAACATCACCGATGGTATGAACGCCACCCTGCAGGTGCAGAGCAACGGCGATCCCAGCGGCGGTCTCTATGCTGTATGCCATCCCTTCCATATCCCTGAAACTTTGGTGATGTATATAAGCAAGCGTTTCGCTAACAAACCGACCAACAGTGCGCCGACATCCAATTCTCCTCGACCGTATCCTACGATGAGCCTTCGACCTGCTCGAACAACACCGGCGTCAAGGCTATCGAGTTTACCGGCGCCGCCGCCGAGCGGACCGCCAACGAGTCCACCCCCACCGGTGGTGCGCAGGATGGCTCGTCCAGCAGCAGCAGCGGCAGCAGCTCTTCTTCCTCCTCCAGCGGCTCGAGCAGCACCGCTACTTCTACCGGTGCCGCTGTCCCTCTTCAGACCGCTGCTTGGGGCATGCTCGGCGCCGCAGTCGTCGGTGGTCTTGCTGTCCTGTGAACCTAACGACGGTTCCTAGTTTGATTCATGGGAGGTATTTCCCATGGTGGTGAGGAGGCGGAGGTGAAAAAGAAAAAGCGGAGACGATAAAAAGCAACAATGACATTTTCGAAGGATGATCATGATTGATGAATGATTCCCACCCTTGACTTCGCCTGTTTATACTGCGAATGTATTGCACTTGTACATACTTAATAGCTGTGCGTTGATTCGAGCGCCTTCAATATGCAGACGTGGATATATTTGACTTTTCTCGGGGTTTTTATGCTGGAGTAGATACTAGTATCGATTCCCTTGCTTTTGGTACTCAGCCTTATGTACGTCTCGACTCGAGGGCGCGCTGCCGTCTGACAAAACTGATCCCGAGCACTGATAATTCTGCTACAGTGGACGGGAATTTCCTATTGAGCCACGAAATATACAACTAACAGCACTGTGTTTTTAAAAGCCTCCATGGTCCGAATGTGCATTGACTGCAAAAACCCCGCCCGACGAATCGGCTACACATACCTTTAGAGGCTATTAGTTCGTGACTTTCCTTTCCCAAACAATGCCTGCATCATGCGTGCATGCTTACAAAACAAACAAACACCCCTTAGTTACCTTAAAACTAGCCAGTCAACTTATATATCTCCATACTCCATCAACCATACATTCAAAGGATTTTTCTCGTTTTAGCAAATAATACCCAGGTAATTTGATTTAGATGGGATAGGCAGCAATCGCAAAGGTTTCCTATTCGGGAATTCACCGCGTGTTGAGCCGAGCTGATATAAAGAGCCCTGGGCCCAGTTGTGGCTCACTCCGAGCCGTTACTTATCTTATCGCTGAGCGCTTCCGCGGGCCGTTTGCGTGGTTGAGTCGTTCCTTGGTAGGGGAACAATCTCGGATTTCTCGAAGGGTTCGTCCTATTGTTCTTTGGCGTCACGTGGTTTACGGGGTCCCTCTGTTGATGTTTGCTGGCTTGCAAGGTATCTGGTGGCTATACTACTCTTTCCACCTTGGTGGCTTTTGAGAGGAAAGATGGAGAACCTCGAGAAGCTACGTCCGGCTGGTAGGTTCCACATCCATTCCATGTTATGTTGTGACTCGGGGAATCTAGGCGAAGTGCTGCGAAACTGACATGCCCAGGACAATTGGAGAAGTACTCCATCGCCCGCCATCCGCTCGGGTTCTACTACAATGTCGGCGTCACCGTCACCTACACGCTTCCTGAGACCTACACGCTGCCGCTCCAGGACTATGTGTACAAGGCCTGCGAGACGCTGATCGGCCGGCACCCCGTGCTATCAGCGATCCCCGTGAACGAAGAATCCGACGACGCCTACTTCGCGCGTCTCCCGGAGATCGATCTCGACCAGGTGGTGAGTTTCCGAGAGCGCACCCAGGCGTTCCCTGAGGGCGACGCGCCGGATTCCGAGCTGGATGAGTTCCTGCAGGTGCAGCATAGCACGGGATTCACGGCGGGGGCGCCGTATTGGAGATTGGTCATTTTCACGACAGATCAAGGGGAGGACGAGCGCCGACGACGACGGTTCACGGCTGCGTATATCTTCCACCACGCTTTGGGCGACGGCACGTCGGGTAAAGTCTTCCAGGAGACGTTTCTCGAGGCGTTGGCTGCCGCTGGAGAGGCATTGACGGTCGCGGGGGAAGCGAAGCAGATCGTGCGGACCCCAGCGGGCACGCCTCTCCTGCCGAACCTGGAGGCGGCGCATCCGTGTGGGCTGTCCATCCCGTTCATCCTGAGTGCGCTGTTCAAGATCAAGTTCGGCTCGCGCGACCGAGGGCTCTGGACTGGTGCGCCGATCTCCACGCCACTGGAGGCCCAGGCGCGCCATGTGGTCATCCCGGCGGCGGTGTCCACGGCGTTCCGTCAGAGCTGCCGCCGGAACAACACCACCGTCACGGCAGCCGTGCAGGCGGCCATGGCGCATGGCTTGTTTGCGCACCTGTCGCAGGACTACACGAAGCTCCGTCTCACGGGCGCCATCTCCGTCCGGAAGTGGCTCACGCAAGAGGTCCCGGACCAGTCGCTCGGCGTCTGGGTCATGGACTTTATGGAAACCTATGCCCGCAAGGACTTGCCCGCCGACGCGGATTCCTTCCCCTGGAAAGAGGCGGAGCGGTCGCGGCAGACGATCGAGAAGGTCGTAAGCATGAAAGGGAAGAATACGGGCGTGAATCTCTTGAAGTTCGTGTCGGGGTTCACCGACTTCTTCCGGTCGAAGCTCGAAAAGCCTAGAGGGGAGAGCATAGAGCTTTCCAATATTGGGGTTCTGGGGGCGGGTGCGGCACAAGACCCTTCGAAGCCTCAAATGGGACGCGTGATCTTCTCACAAAGCCCTAATGTTGCGGGTGCAGCGATTGTTGTGTCGGCTATCTCGGGTGGTGATGGCTGTTTGGTACTGTCGTTCGTATGGCAAAAGGGCATTGTGGAACCGGAGTTGGTTTCGAGTATGATTAACTTTGTGGAAAAATTGGTGCATCTTGCGGCAAAGTAGTTGGACACCGAGGAGTTGAATTGATTTTCATCTCTTTGTGTTAAAATGGGCTATTTGCAGAGAATCTGCACGTACAATCGGGTAGATCTCAATAATCATAATGATACCAATTTCGTCACTACTTAGAGAGTGGATTCAGGCACGGATCTTTCCAGGGGCGGGAATCATTTGGGTGGGACAGCGGAGGCGGTGAGTCGGCGATGATGGCGGCAGAATTGCGGGGGATGGGACAAAGTCACGGACGGACATCCTTTTGCATTCGTCGCCATTCAATTGCCACTTCTCTTGTGCCTTTTGCGCTTCTCGATAGAATAGATCAAGATGTCTGCCCGCGCTCCTTTCGTCGTTCCTGCCCTTACGAAGCACACCGCCACGGTGATCATGGCCCATGGTTTGGGTGATAGGTAATGACCCTGTACAACGAAATTCAGACTCCGCCTTGACTGACTATGGATGAATGTAGTGGTGCCGGATGGTATGTCCCTTGCCTTCCGATGCGGAAATAACGTTGGCGACGCAATTACAGTCATGAAATGGTGCTGAACGTGAAATCTCGACAGGATGGCGCTCGCTCAGAATTGGCGGCGCCGTGGCGTTTTTGACGAAGTGGCCTTCATTTTCCCGAATGCGCCGATGATTCCCATCTCGGTGGTATGAGATTGCGCGATTGGTTCTTGAGTGAGAAGGACGTTGACTGATTGGAGATATATCATTTCTGGACTAGAACTTCGGAATGACCATGCCCGGTTGGTACGATATCACCAAACTCGGACGCGATGTGAGTAGCTGCGATATGACCTTCCCGGAGAATATGCCGCGAGCCTAACGATGGGATATAGTTGGATTTCGAGGAAGCCATCCGCAACCAGGATGAGCGCGGTATCCTTCGCTCCCGCGAGTACTTCAACACCCTCATCAAGGAACAAATGGACAAGGGCATCAGTGCTTCGCGCATTGTCCTCGGAGGATTCTCGCAGGGTGGAGCCATGTCGCTCTTCACGGGTCTGACCAGCAAGGAGAAGCTGGGCGGTGTCTTCGGTCTGTCTTGCTATCTGCTCCTCAGCGATCGGATCAAGAACTTCATCCCCGAGGACTTCCCGAACAAGGAAACTCCCTTCTTCCTCGCTCACGGCCAGGAGGATGAAGTCGTCAGATTTGACTTCGGCAAGCAGTCCTGCGAAAAGTTGAAGGAGCTTGACCTGAAGAAGGTCGACTTCCACTCTTACCCGTATGTTGATTTTCCATCCTTCTCGCGCCGTCTGAGAATTTCCCGCTCATGCTCCCTTCTAGTTACCTTGGCCACTCTGCCGATCCGGACGAGATTGAAGACCTTGAGAAGTTCTTGCACAGTGTCATCCCCGCCGAAGGCGAGAGTCACTGACTCCATGATCATACATCTGTACAGACTCGGAACCCTTTGGGGACCTCGATCACGTTTAGCGCTGTTTTAGCCATCGTTATTTTGCTGATTGTGGTTTTGCTCTCGCGGTTCGGTTCCAAGGGGAACCGAGACGTTGCTGCCAGGAAACAGGACTGAAGCTGCGTTTGGTGTACTTCTGGACGCCTCAGCTGTCGCTTCTAGACAGAAGGCTTAATTTTGCACGAACCGATGGGAAAGCAGTTAGCTTATTTATATAGTCATGTGATTCTTTTCCCCTTATGTAAAGCGGACGTATCTATCATCCTAACATTACCCTCCGAATCGACGCTTCAACCGCCGCGATCATAGCCTCCGTATTTTTCACATCAAAGGGCACCAAGTGCCTCGAGCCATGGTCGTACAACTCTGCCTTTGCCGGATCGCACACCCCGTACAGTCGCATGCTGTACGGATACAGCGAATCCTGCTTCCCGACGATGTGCGTCGTGGGGATCGTGATGGGATACTCCCCGCCCGCGGCGGGTGGCTCGATCAGCTCCATCCCAGACTGATCGAAGGGGCTTGCGCCGCAGATGAACACCGCCAGCTTGAACAGCGGCTCCTGGTGATTTTGTGCGTGCTGAATGATCATGGCGCTGGCGAGTGCGCATCCCTGTGAGAAGCCCATGACGCCATCGAATGGCCCCTCTCGCGCGATGATCTGGTTCACATACTCGATTGCCCGCGCCAGGTCTTCCCCTGGCTGCTTGTCCCGAGGATAATGGCTGTAGAAGGGACCATCGAAGACGTCCTTGATCTCTAATGGATTGGGTTGGGCTTATTAGGGTTTCTGCGGGAGGGTTCGTGGAGAGACAGGATTGAAAAGAGACATTATTTACCGGTTTCACCCTCGGTTTCCATTCGCCCATTGATGAACTTGAAAGTATGGCCCTTCTTCTCTAGGGCGTAGGTGATTCCACCTGGTAATTTATAAAGATGGTTAGAATGGTCGTCGGGATTGTGATGTTGTCAATGATGATCCAGCTCGGTTTCTGTCCCGGCTTGGTCGACCATCATGGAGGCAATTGGGTCAATTACCAGCCTGGATCTCGAAGATCTAGATGCCGCTCGTCAACAACCTGTTGTGCCCCGCCAAACTTTTTTTGGGGAATATGGTGGGTATTAGGTAGATTCTGAACGTACTTCTCCGCTGGTCCCAGCGCCGTGAAGACAGAGGAATCGCATTTTGGAATTCTGGAGGTCAGGTTGTAGTGCTCGAGGGCTGAGTCAAGAATGGGAATCGGAGTTGGGAAACAAGCACAGGCTTATCAATAATAATGGAGGAGCGATCAACAAAACCCACGGCTGACAGAGTGGCATGCCGGGTTGACTCCGATAGCGGTCGGAGCCTACAGGGGTCGGTGTCAGCGCGCTCCCTACCAATCTACGCTAGCATTCTTCGTTCGTCGTTCGCAACCTCTGTCTGATTTGAGCTCCATGTCGCTCAGGTAGTTTCTCCCACCTTCAAAGGAGCATATACCTAGTCAGCTACTTATGGGACATCGCCTGAGATATATCATGGCATATACTCCGGTCGGATATTTCGAGCCGGACCACAGTCCGGCCGCGCCCGTGCTTGCCGGAGGCGACTTTTTGAGTGTCTCCTGAACTTGTGCGACTAGGAGAAACTCGCAATTCGTGCTTGCTTCCTCTCCTAACTACGGTCACTCTGAATCTCAAGATGTCATCAGTATCCTCGTCGTCTCGTGGCGGCGCTGCCTGGGGAGCACTACAGCGCCCCTCGGAGTACTATCATCACTTCGGTCCTACCTTGAACGAACTCTCGTTCGGTCTCCTGGGGTGGTCATTCCAGCCCCAGCGTGACATTATCGACCTTTCAGAGAAGGTGATTCTGGTCACAGGAGGTACATCCATTTGCATCTGACTCATGATTTCCAGTGGCTCTTGCTAATGTTACCCCCTGGAGACAGGCAACACCGGCCTCGGAAAGGAAACTATCGTCCAGCTCGCCCAGCACAACCCAGCCCGCATATACCTTGCCGCGCGCAATGAGATCAAAGCCCGAGATGCCATCGTCTCAATTCGGGAGCAGATCCCATCCGCCGTAGACATCAGATACCTGCCTCTAGACCTGGGGTCGTTAGAATCTGTCCGTGCCGCCGCCGAGCTCTTCCGCGCGGATTGCGACCGTCTGGACACCCTGATTCTCAACGCGGGCACCATGAACAACCCGACCAAATTCACAGAGGATGGGTTTGAGCTACATATGGGCACGAATCATGTTGGACACTTCTTGCTGACGACCCTGCTGCTTTCGAGCATGCAGAAGACTGTTGCGCTGTCGCCGGACGTCCGCGTGGTGTCGCTGAGCTCTGCTGCCAACGTCGGCTCTCCCCCATTGGAGATCATGACCTCTGCTTCCGCTCTAGCAGAGCACCACGGCTTGGTCCGGTATAGTGCATCTAAGGCGGCGAATATTCTCTTTGCTTCGGAATTGGCCCGACGCTATCCGGAGATCCTCTCCGTCTCGGTGCACCCCGGTGCAGTGGCCAGTGAGCTCTATGAGCATACAATGAAGCTGAACCCCGTGGTCCGGCTTGGTCTTGGTGTAATCAAGGGTGCCTTCTGTAGGTCTCTGCGCACTGGAGCCCTCAACCAGCTCTGGGCGGCGGGAGTGAAGCGGGAGTCTCTAGTCAATGGCGCCTACTACGTTCCCATTGGCGTTCATGCCAGCGGTAATCCGTATGCCAATGATGCGGACATGGGACGACGTCTATGGGAGTGGACTGAACAGCAGATTGCTGAGCGGTCTTGACTGCTCCCGGGGCCTCCTTCGTGACTTTCTTGGCATTTTTTGTATTTGATTTCGAGATTAGCGAGTTTCCATGGGCAAAGGAGTTCTTAATCATGTTACCAACAGTCTACTTATCGAGGCTCTTACAACAGTTGAGGTGGCATTGTGTCTGGACCTCAGGCAGTGGATGAATATCAGATTACCCGAATAGGTATGGGATGCCGGGGCGCGGGAGGTGAATATCCAGGGTCCGTCATGACGGGCGGCTGATGATAGTCTCATTTGCCAAAACTCAGGTAAAGAATGCTCTCAGGCGATCGCAGTGATATCTGAACATCTCGCCAGTATGCTAGTTAATGATAGCTCTCTTTAATGACTTTATTCCCCCACTAACTACTGCCATTCTTGGTGACATCGTATCTATCTCTTTCTCTTGATCGCCAAATATGCTGGTCAGCAGCGGGCGATCGTTAGGGTTTAGCCGAGGAGCCTCTCTGAACTCCCTTCGAGTTTTTTCGCCCACAACCACCAGATGGAAGATCCTCGATCAATGATGACGGTAGCAGATCTGAACCATAGAGGTAGTAACTTGTAGGCTTAATGACCATGTAGAAGCTTGAGGAGCTGTAGGAGGTGTAGACGCCATGCGACTCTTAGCGAGCGCAGCGTTGGACTCGCCGTGTCGGCGCTGCTCCCCACACAAACCCGGGCGGCGCATCATCGACGACGGTTGCTGCTGCTTGCGTTCACATCCCGTTCCTCCCACTTCCACTCCTTCTCCTCTTCTCTACCAGCACCATTCATCATCATCTTCTTCGGTACGTGCCCCCTTGGTTTGCCAGTCTCAACACTGGAATTCTCGTTCTTCGTCCATTTGGTCCGTCCTTTCAGCGAAGAAATACCCCAATTTTGCCCTTTTCTTCCAGCCCCGACCGAGAAAGTGTCACCTCGCTCTCACCTGACCTCTCCACCCACTACCATCACCCACCATAACCACCAACTATTCAAACCTCCACCACACATTTTCGCGCGACTATTGCCGGATTTACATTTCTGACAACTCCCTCTTTCTTTCCCTTCTAGGTTCAGGTTCGAACGACCACTCAACTACCGTCACAATGGATCAGGCAAAGTTGGCTCGGATGCAGGCTAGCGTGCGGATTGGTATGTGCCTTTTGAATCTTCTGTCATAATTTTCCCCGTCCAGCGCTTGATGCCCCTCGTCATTCAAGCGGCATGACAGCTTCCAAGCTGTGTCAGCTCGTATGCCAATTCAGGGCCTCCTCATTTGTCATAGTCGCATCTCATCTGCGTGACACGAGTCTGCGAATTGGCGTTGTTCTCATCCTTTTTCCGATACTCGAATTACCTAATGTTTGAAAACTGCTTGCTGACATATGCGTTCTGCGCTTCATAGGGTATGTATCTTCAACTCCAACACCATCACCAACACCATCACGAGCGGATTGATGTTCCCCCTACATCACCCAGCATTCTCCTCGCCTTTGGACTCGATTCACGCAGGATGAAGCCCAGCCCCTCTCTAATTAACCCCCGCTCCCGCTCGATAATCCCCCACTACCTAACCCAACCCAAACCCATAATACCATGGCCGCGTCAAACCTGAAAACACATCGCTAACCTCCATTCCCCCCGAAACAGAGGCAAGGGTACTCCCCGCCGCAAGGTCAAGAAGGTCCACAAGTCCTCCGGTGCCGATGACAAGAAGCTCCAGGCCACCCTGAAGAAGATGAACGTCCAGCCTATCCAGGGCATCGAGGAGGTCAACATGTTCAAGGAGGACGGCAACGTCATTCACTTCGGTGCTCCCAAGGGTGAGACCTGTGCCCGTCCCATCCACTTTCAAAAATCACTGACTCCATATGCTCAAACAAAATAGTCCACGCCTCCGTCCCCTCCAACACCTTCGCCCTCTACGGTAACGGCGAGGAGAAGGAGCTCACCGAGCTCGTCCCCGGTATCCTGAACCAGCTCGGCCCCGACAGCCTGGCCTCCCTCCGCAAGCTCGCCGAGAGCTACCAGAACATGCAGAAGGCCCAGGGCGGTGACAAGAAGGACGACGAGGAGGATGATATCCCCGACCTCGTTGAGGGCGAGAACTTCGAGAGCAACGTCGAGTAAAATTTGAGATCTTCTTCTTAATATAACGAATATTACTTTGTTGTTACTGTCGTGCGCGTGTGTGTCCTCATTGTGTGGGTTACGTGAAGGTTAGACCCTTCACACCACACAGTCTACACCTACTTCTTCTCCAACTTCTACTTTTTACTACCCTCTTCGCAAAGCTGGAGTTTCTCTCTTCTGTTTCGGTTGGCGGGGGTTCCAGATATCTTTGTTTCCGTTTCTCAAGGGAATTTAGGTTTGGTGGTTTGAATGTATGGAGATATCTTGATCTGGAAAGGCAGAATGGGACCAAATACTGAGATTACAAGGGCTTTCCTCTTTGGGTCTCTGCTGCAGTAGACATTTCTTTATGGCTCTCTGGAAACCTTGTGTCCAGCTTCGGGATAGGTACTACTGGTATTGGACTCTGGCTCAAGCCCAACCCCGATAGGGCAGACGATGCTGGAGACCTGTTACGTCCCGGAGTACTATACATAGTTCCTGTAGCGTTAGCCGTACTCTGCTTATCAGCTCAAGCTTCTCGACTACATGTTTAAGGCTGATACGCGTGAACAGCTTGTCTGTTTTCAATGCAAATAGATAGACAAAGGGTTCCTTCCCTTCATTAAGTCTATACGAGTCATCGCCTCCATGCAAGTCGAAACCGTAGCGCCTTGAAACATTAGAATGCAAGGTAAAAAAAGAAAAAAAATAAGAAAAGTCGTAAGACACAGGAAGCTGATGCGGACATGCCAAAAGGGACAGACCCAGAAAAAAAAGAACAGGAAGTCGGATGCAGACTTTTCATAAGAGAATCAAATTTGTCCGCAGGACACAACAAGGTAAGTTAGAAACAGACAGACCGCGAAGGTTTTAATTCCTGCGTATCTGGCTCGTGTGCATGTGTGTATCTATGTGCGTGCATGTAATAGAAAAACCACCCAGTAAGTATTCATCAATCCCACGCGAACGGCCGGGTTCTCTCCGACGAATTGCCCAGCGCCCCCGACATTAACGCGCCGGAGTACTGGATCGCGCTGGTCTCTCTGCTATCTCTCTCGAACAGGGGCCCGGGCGCCGGTAACCGGCTGGGACCTTGGCCTTGCCCGCCCGCGCTCCCACTCCCGCTCAGATACGGGGGGCTGTGTGATTGACGGGGAGAGTCCGTGGTTGACGCTGCACTTGCACTTGCGATCTCGGCGGCCGTCTCCGCGGCTTTCACCTCGGAGGATTCTTCCTTCAGACCGCAGATATCCGTGCCGATGATACGGTCGATCATGTACCAGAATCGCCAGTAGGTGTTGGACTTGTCGTAGTCGAAGGCGCCGTCGTCGCCGAGTTGGGGCCCGTCGCCTACGATGTCGCCTGTGAACCAGCTGAGGATGGGGATCGAGCGTAGCACGCGTTCTGTTACGGTGGGTTGCGGCGGGAGCGCTTCGGCTAGGGGGCGCAGTTTCGTGCGGCGCACCGTCGGGATATGGGTCATGTAATCTGAGTCGGGTTTGGGCTGCTGCTGTTGCTCGCGAGGGAGTAGGGGGCTTGTTGTTGTGGTAGTGATGCTTGGGACTGAGCGCTGCTGCAGAGTCATGTTGCTGCTGCTGCTGCTGGCTGCGGTGGAGGGCTCGAAGCCCGTGGCGGTGGTCGAGCTGGCCGTGGGCGTGGAATCCAGCGACTCGCCCTCGTCGAAGGAATCCGTCGCCGGGACCGTCGACAGATTGTTGAACGCAAATGAGCGGGGCAGCGTATGGCGCTCTTTCTCCGAGGCAGGCAAGAAGGCCGTGGAATGCGAGGTCGACAGCGTGCGCGGCGCTTTGCTCTGCACTCGCCTGGCCTCCGCCGACCCGGCCACGATCGGCACATCCTCCGCGGGCCCACGACCATGGTACAGCTCGCAGAACACCAGATGCCCATCGATCTCCTGGGGCGAGAAGAAGCACGCGCGGTCGGCCGCTGTCGTCGAGTCGAACGTCACCTTGATCCAGTGGTAGCCGCCGGCGTAGCGCTTCGACTTCCGGTTCGCGTCCGCCGACAGGCCCGCGCGGATCACCACATCGCCGCCGCTCAGCAGCTGCGAGAACCCCGTCGCCGCGGTGGGATCCGTCCGCGGGTAGTCCTCGCAGATGAACCCCTGCGAGATCCGCTCGTACTTGTCCAGCACCTTCCACTCGCCGTCTTTACTCCTGTAGCCGTACAGGATGCATTCCGTCGCCACCTTTTCCGTCTCCTGCGACTGTCCGGGCTGTTGTTGTGATGATGACGAGGAAGACGATTGTTGTTGCTGTTGCTGCTGCTGCTTGCGCACGCTCTCGATGTTCGACGCCGACGCCGACTTGGGCATGGTGTTGCTGCGGGTTTTCTCCTCGTCCTGCTGCGCGGCAAACAGGCGCCCGAATTCCGCCACGTTGGGGTTCTCGCGCTTCGTGGCCGGCGTGCCGGTTCGGGTGCGAGAGCGCGTGTGTTCGTAGCGGGCGTTCCTGCGCTTGCCGAATGGGCCTGATTCTTCGGGGGCGCGGCGTGGGTTGCGGGATTCGCTGATAGGGGAGCAAAAGGAATACATGTTAGTTGGTATTTTACAAGTGAGCAAAGAGAAAAGATGGACTATGGGGTGTGGTGCATCGAAGCAAAAATGAGAAGGCTGCGCTCTCACTTACTCCTTGTAGACGTATCCCCAGGGTAGCATCTCGCCCTTCTCGTTTCTCGCCCGCTCCTCTGGGGGAACAAAGTGGTATTCCATGGTGGAAAGTGGTTTGCGAAGCTTGGCTTGGTAGCTGTGCGATCAACAAGAGTATATATCAAGTGTAGCGCGAGTACAAGAATGTTAAAAGAGAGATGTGAGAAACTGTGAACGGACGGAATTGATGGAGTTGAAGCTGGATATCAGCCAAAAGTTTTGGGCCCGCCCATAAACATTTGTGTTAGCCCGGAGACGGTCACGTGCTTCAGTCTTGATATGCACATACTATTTACAGTGAATGGATGTGAACAACGACTTATTGCTAAGGTATAAAGTACATTTTTTAAACTAGGTTGAATCCAATAATAGAATCTCTGCAATGCATTCTGTCAGAATTGTATGATGAAGCCTGGGGGTCAATGCATAACTGCTGTTGAACAACGTATTTTTAGTTCAAGCTCTGGTCTTCTACCAGAGCCGAGGAAAGACATCCCTGAAACTCGACTTTACTGTTATTTTCCCTCTTGGACACATATTACCATCGATCAGAAGTACTAGTAAATATCGACGAGACGAGTCTTACCAGGCCACCCCCATGCTTTAGCTTCTTTCAATATTATCACAGTTACACTGATGCTGCAAACACCACAACGCTGCAATCATCTATTGATTATTCAAGCATGAGAAGATCTATAACCAATTCCATAAGCTCAGACATCTCTCTGCTCCTGTCGCAGGAAAGTAATTTTCCCAGGATCACCCTCGAGACCACACACAGCGCCGAAGTCTCCAACATCCAACCGTTTCCTGTCCACATGACCGATAAAATCCACCAAAGGACACGACAAGCCAGGGCCAGATTTGCAGTATGGCAACGGCGCTACTTTATCATTGATAGAAACCCGAAGATAACTCTCAGCAGTACCATCGGCACCCGCCACCTCCGACAGGCAGGTCATTCGCTCCAAAACGATCCGACCTCCCATGGGCATTACCGACGAGGTACGCCAGACACGATCCCGCGCCACATGGGTGACCGGCAATGCCGGATCATACTTCGGATCTTTCATGACATCCAAAGCCGTCAAGAAGGGGGCGATATCGCCATCATGAACACTAATAGCAACGAGAAGTCAGCAAGCCCGCCCACGCAGCAGCCCACCACCTCCAGCAACTCACAAGCTAAAGAACAGAGTCCCAGCTCCTGGGCCGGCCCTCAGCAGACTCGTCGTCGCATCTAACCAAAGCCACCCCATAGCCCCAGCGTAGGGATTCCCCGGCCCCGCACGATAGTAATGAAGCAAGTCGCGCGCGTACTCGAAGTTCTCCCAGTCGTCGCGCCCGAACACCTCGCACCAGGGACTCGATCCGCGAACCAGCGTCTCGAACCCGCACATCTCCTGCATACTGTAGACCTCTGCGTTGCTGAACGCACCCAGCGCCTGGTTCCCTTCCGCCTCGATCAGTCGCGCCGCGATAGCGGGGATGTAGGCCTGCTGGAACCGCGCGAGCATCTTGATTCCGTAGTCGTGTCCGTGCTCGGTGTCGTCAATGTACCGGAGGCAGGTGTCGCCCGGGGTGAGGGTGTCCGCTCCTCGATCGGAGGTCTCTGGGATGATTTCCAGAGCCGCTTTTCTGGATGCGTCCCAGCTGGACCCGGACATCCCTGCTGCGAAGTGGCGGGCGGTCTGGATGACGCGGGTGCAGTCGCTGGCCCAGAGGTTGGTGCAGACTTGGTTGCTTGCTAGAGCCTCGTATCGGGCTGCGAATTGCTTCCCGGTGCTGTAGGACTGGGTGGTGCCTGCGTAGGGTCCCGTTGTGGTCAATTGCTCGAAGTCCCTGGATGGGTCATCGGTGAAGTATGTCCAGTTGTTCAGGAATGAGAGCGTGCCGTTTAGCTTCACGTTGGCTCTATGGATGCGGTCAAGGAGGGCAAGGTGGCCTTGCGTTGCGTCGAAGCGCTGTTGTCAGCACCTGGTTCGGTTAGCTATGATCGGGATGAACGTACGGCCACCAGCGGATTTGGTCGGGTACCGTGCCCCATGGCGCGACATCTGAATTGGAATTAACGGGCATTCCTATGGAAGTGGAAACGATCTGTCTGGGCTGAGTATCTCATACCATGTGCACTTGATCAATAACGCATCCATCGAGATCGGACCCAGATATTTGCGAGTCGTCAGGTCCGTCAAGCTTCTCAATCCAGGGACCGTTGCCTCCCAAATGATAGAGAAGATTCCAGTCATCATTCTGAATTCGTGTATTGCCGCTCAGACCAGGGATAAAACCCAATGCCTGGGCCCAGCTGTTCCAGCTGGAAGATGGTGGTGAAGCCAAGGTGTGAGGGCCGCGACTCGGGCCGAGCCATCTTTTCGATGTAAACAAACCATAATCGTAATAGACAATGCTGATGACTGCAATGAGCAGGGAGACTACCACTTTTAACAAAGGCAAACCGCGAGACATGTTTATAGCAAGACCAGTCTCCCAGTGTGAAGTCGCACTTGAGACTGAAGTACAACAAGTGAAACCGGCGCATGTGAGGCCCGCTTGATTCTCGAAAGATCGACAGCGGTCCCGCCAAGGAAGCCCGCTCTATACCCGCAGGGACCGATTCTTCAGATCATGCTACTAGTAGTTATATCTTGATCTCTATCAAAGTAAAATGTTTATGAACAATCTTCATGAGATATGTTGTGATCACCAAAAACAAAACTCAGGTACTATAAACGAATCGAGGACTATAGTCCCCAAGCTCCTCAATTGCTTCGTCTGTCATGCCCGCGATCTTTTCATCTTCCAGGCCCTGTTGTCTTCGCTTATTCTTGTAGTGGTAGTACCACCACATGAGCCCATAGACCACCCCTGCAAAGCCAACTAGTGACAGCGTTACAGCATTGCCCCGAACATAGCGCGGTGCTTCCTGTGTTTTGTACAGGAACGGGGACATGACGCCACTGATGTTGCCAAAGGTCAGCTGCAGACCAGTTGCAAACGTCCGCTTCCCATATCGAGGCAGCGTGGTCGGTAGCCATGCGAGCGGAAGTCCCACCGTCACATATAGGCCCAGGGCGATGAGGAGTGCACCGAAGTAATGCACCCCGGACGACGAATCCGAGATCAGAACTCCATAACCAACGACAGAGATCACGGCGAAGATACAGATGAATATTCCACGCCGTTGGGTCCGATCACTCAGCCATGCGACCGCCAGATACACAATTGCCCCGAGCGCATAACACGGGATAGTCAGCGCTTGGACCTCGGCGGTTGACCAATTTCCCATGCCCTTGATGATTGTCGGCAGAAAGGTGCTGTAGCCATAGAGCATTGTATCGACTCCGAATTGAGCAATGCAGAACGCATATATCCTCCAGTCCAAGGCGCCTTCTTTCACATCCGCCCAGTGAAACTTCTGAGCAGACGGAGTCTGGCCTACATGGCGTCGGCGTAGTCGGACTACCATGGCTTTCTCGTCGTCGTTGAGGTAGTAAGCGGTGTCAGGTTCATCGGCGAGGAAGAACCAAGTCAATACACCCAGACCAACCGTCGGAATTCCTTCGATGATCATAATCCACCTCCAGCCTCGCAGCCCAGCGACGCCATCCATGAAGCCAATGCCGTACGCGAGAAGACCTCCAAAAGCGCCAGCGGCCGCTGCACTACTGAACAGATACCCTGTTCGGAGTGCGATCTCGCGCTTGCTGTAGAACAGCGTGAGATAAGTCATTAGCCCAGGAAAGAGCCCGGCTTCCACGACACCTATTGACGTGAGCATGAGAATCAGAGGCTAGAGAAATGCGCAGACTGACCTAGAAGCACACGGCAAGCGATCAACCCACCATAGCTCTGTGTGATACCAGTCAAAGTAGCTATGATACCCCAGATAATGGATATCGAGGCAATGTACCGCGAGGGCTTGAGTTTCTTGATCATCAAATTTGATGGAACTTCAAATAACTGTCTCTGGAGGTTAGAAACATCCTCGGGAAATTCTCGTTTGGGTGTGAGCGTACGCAGTAGGTGACAAACAGAATAGACACTGCAACTTGATACTGATTGTTCACAAGACCCAGGTCTTCTTCCAAGCCATACAAGCGGGCATTGCCAATATTTACTGCGAGATCAAGTTAGTAAACGCTGAAAGAGTATGATCGTCTAGAAAATGGAGCATATGTATAGGAGAGACCCACCTCTATCCAGGAAGCTGAACAAGTACAGAAGAACGACGAAGGGGATGATGTGGATATCGATCTTCCAGATCAAGTGTCGTGCCCCTTTTTCATCCGACAATGAGATATCCGATTGATCATCGCCATCCACACCCAGCGGGTTGCGCGTGGGAGGTTGCGACTCGGCATCTGCCTTTGCCTCTGGGTAGTAAGCCATGGCGGACAGTCTCGGCTGCTTTCCCGCACTGGTGTCTGGGCGCTCAGATGGACTTCCCCGTGGGGTGATCTACAGCAACACCATGAATCAATCTCTGGTCAAGAATAAGGCAAACTCAAGATTCAGAAAAGGGGAGGCCTCGTACTCTGATACCCGTCACACCTACCACACTGCAAGTGAGGGGAGGCAAAAAGTGCGCTCGAGAAAATTGTGGGATTTCTAATCGCCGTGGCCAAGGATCGCCAAGGACCTAGACCCGATATCTTCTTCTTTTTCTCTGCGGTTCAGGTGAGCGAATCGAGAAGATGTTCAGTCAGAGGTGTATGAAGGTGTCATCTTGCGTTGATATTGTCGCAGGAACCGCATTTATGGACAATTTGAAGTGAGTGTTGCTGTTAATTTGCCTCAAGAGACCTTGAGCTGGATCGTCCTTCAAACTTTAAATTGGTGGCCACTCCACCAGCTCCATGGGTCACGACGCGGGCCAACGTTCTTGGCGATGCAAGGATACAATACAGGCTGCATTAGAATGATGCAAAACCCACAAGGAGTGCAAGCAGTACGATCAGATCTGCAATATATGCAGAACGTCACCATGATGCGCTTAGGGTGCTTTCTACTTAGAGAGCCGGGTGATCATATCTCGCTGCAACAACTTCGAGCTCTTGTCACGAAGATGATCGTATTGTGACTCTTGTTCATCTGGTCGGTATTGTCCGTGATGTATATCATGCGCCCTGACGCTCTTATCGTTGAGGGCACTGGATTCGCATTGGTTGCGTCTATCTCACAAGTCCGAACCAGCAGACGATGATGCACAAACCCATACCAGTACGTCGGCTGGCTGGCCGAATATCGCACGGAAGTTACTCCCACTATCGGTTCTGACTCATGGCTAATCAATGCGGATGAGAGAATCAGGTAGAGGATGCGTCATGCACCAAGTAAGGAGGGCCCTTGACTGTCATGGTCCTCAGCCTGGTATATGTTTCTGGAGATGATCTCAATCCCATTGCTGTGAATGAGCCTTGACGCTCACACTTCAGGGCCCTCTGTGTTCACCTCGACTGTGCCTAAAATCATTGTCCATTTGACTTGGTATGACACTGGCATCATGCAGAATGTACAGCTATCACCTGTAGCCAGATACAGGCTGCTCGGATCTCATGATATCCGACAATCAAATCGAGATTAATCACTGACCGTGGCTTTCCGGAGCTCAAACTTATTTGAGACCAGTCATTGATATGGTCGGTGTCTGTTATCGTCACCCTGTGGAAAGTGCAGTGATCGGGTTCGTGGCAGCCGAGAACGAAGGTCATCGTATCTCTGATAATGCACGCTCAAATCTAGCCACAGTTTCCGAACGTTCGGTAAAGCTTTTTTACACCAGGCTGGATGACTCTCGACGTGATTGAGTTAGTAATCCGTGCATGCCGTGATATCTAAGTTGCTGTGACGTCAAGGAAGATATGGCATCTACCAGGTATATAAAACCATGCCTGCATTCCTGACATTTATTGCGAACACCGGAGAAGTCGGGAACCTCAAGTCAAAACGAAATCAACGACTCCACTGGCATAACTCTTGTCCAACATGTCTCAAACTTATGGCAACTACCGGTCTGAGATCTGTTCTCAAGGAGCCACGTCAGGCGTCACTCCTGCCGTCACCACAGACCCTCGTCGATTGGAAGATCAGGCGAAGACGGCATTAGGAATCCGTAGCTTCAACTATATCGCTGGTGGAGCGGGAGAAAAGGCTACAATGGACAGAAATCGGCTGGCATTTCGTCAGTGGAAGATGTTAGTTTTACCCGCAACGAAAATGCAGCCTGAAGAACAAATCGCTAAACTATCAATCTAGAGTTCCTCGAATGTTAAAGCAGGTTAGCTGAGGACCAATTTGGCTTGTCAGCATTTGCAGGTTACTCATTGATCTCAGATGGAGAATCAGGATATATCTGTGAATCTGTTTGGAGAAAAATACCCTAACCCAAGCCTCGTGGCACCTGTCCGTGTTCAATCTATCTTCCACGAAGACAAGGAGACAGGACTCGCAGAGGTCTGTGGACAAACTGGGGTTCCGTATATCCTCAGTACAGCAAGCAGCAGCTCGATTGAAGACGTGGCGAAGGCGAATGGCGACGGGAAGAGATGGTTCCAGCTGTATTGGCCGATGGATGACGACATCACACTCTCCTTGCTAAAACGCGCAAAGGAAAACGGGTTCGGCGTCTTGATGATCACTCTGGATACATGGTCGCTCGCCTGGCGACCAGCAGATCTGGACAACGCCTACATTCCATTTATCAAAGGAATAGGAAACGAAATCGGCTTCACAGATCCAGTTTTCCGCGCCAAATACGAGAAGGAATCCGGCTCGAAAGTTGAAGACGACATTCTAGGGGCATCAAAATCATGGAGCTCCCAGGTATTTTCCGGCGTGCCACATACTTGGGACCAGGTTGCTTTTCTACGGAAGAACTGGGACGATCCGTTGCTTCTCAAGGGAATTCAGCACCTAGAGGACGCGAAACTTGCCTTAGAAGCGGGCTGTGATGGTATCGTTGTGTCCAATCATGGAGGTAGGTTTTTTGAGCCATCAGCTCATAAGGTACATGCACTGACCCGTGCTGCATAGGCCGACAAGTTGATGGCGCAATTGGCTCCCTGGAGGTTCTCCCGGAGATCGTTGACGCAGTTGGGGTTAAGATGACGATTCTTTTCGATTCTGGTATCCGAACGGGTGCGGATGTTATCAAAGCACTTTGTCTAGGCGCCAAAGCAGTCTTAATAGGCAGACCAATCATTTACGGTTTGGCAATTGACGGAAAGAAAGGAGCAGAGCTCGTGATGAGAGGACTGCTGGCAGATGTTTGGCAAAACATGGGATTATCGGGGATTCGTTCCGTGGCCGAATGTTACCGCGACAAGCTCCGAAAGGTAGTGTATCCTGGAGACGGGATAGCTATGATGTAAGGGCGTCAATCTCAATCATCTTCGAAGAGTTTGTAAGACAGTAACAGAGTTTAGGAAGACTGGATAGATCAAGATTGATGGTACTTTTGAGCTAAGTGTTCTTGTACAAGGCACATGGCAGGTACCGTGGTCTGCGCTAAGAGGAAGAGTCGAACGATCACATGTCAACCCCGGCATAACCCCTTATCAATGATTGGTTCTGTCGATCTTCAGTCGCCACCTGCTCCCAAAATCCAATTTACTTTTCCATAGTTAACCAGGAACTGCTCTCACAGCGTAACGTTGGAACCTGGTTTCAGCAGGGAAAAGTTATCATTTTACTTTTTAGTTCCTGCCAAAACGGCTGTACAGCTTTCTCTTTCCTTGGAAGTATTCGACTTCATGCTCATGGCTGGAAAGAGATATACCTCTTACCGGTCCAAGCGGGTCATTTCCACCACGATTCTGACGATCTGAAATGTCAAGACTCTTCAGCATCCGAAAAACATGGAAACGGGATGACATTGAGCATGCAAACGAGCAAGTTGGCCGTGAGAATGACACCCGTCATGTTCCAGCAACGTCCGGCTTGCCTCTCCTCCCACGACCGCTTGCGTCCATGGTATCGTTCATGACTCAGTCGACTTCTCTATCTCTCCGAATAGGGACGCTTGTCGGGGGTGTTGCACTAGATGGTGCTAGAGCCACAACCTTAACTGGCTTGGAGCTCAGTCGGGCAATGATAGAGGGAATAATAACGCGAGCTGGGCGCGACGTTGCTATTCGGAGTAGCGGAGAGTTTGGCAGGGCAGAAGCAGAGTCATTGCTTGAAAGGAGTGTATGTCACTTTAGTTGTGTTTGCCTTGACTGAGCTGACATTAGGGGTTAGCTGGCTACTTTGCATACCACAATTACCTCGGCATCCTTCTTCGCCGCTGCGTCGTTTCACCTTTCCTCAGCCACACTCTCATCCGCAGCCAACGTGTCTCAGTCCCTTCTGTCCACACTTGATGCAACTCTCGGCTCCACGGAGTCGTCTAGAGCCATTGCGGCAATAGTAACCCTCTTTCGAAGCGAGCTCAGGGACCTGAACAATACTGAATTCGGGCACGAACTACGAGCTGAAAGAATTGGTGTAGCCGATCTATTAGTTGGTTGTGTTGGGTTTGCACTGCTCCAGCGCTGGGGTAGGAAGAACACAGAACGGCACGCACGAGGAATTGGTGGGGTCGAATCCATATGGGATGTTGTCATCTTGGATAATGGTGTAAGGGCAGATGTCGTCGGTACACGTCAGATTGAACAGCCGAAAGCTACTCTCGCCGATTTTTGTGAGGAGGCAAATCGCTCATCGTTCATGACTACTGGAGATAATGATGAAGTCTTTGACGCCGTCCAGCGGCCAGCAAGCATTGCTGATACCTCCGAAGAACCGCATTTGCCGATCTTTACCCAGAATTCGCATCAGGTATCTGACGAAGACATCCGCTCGTATATCATGAGACAGTTGCCTCAAGATTGTCGTGCTTCTATAAGAACCGATTTGGTCACTGCTAGGACTATCACGGTTGAAGTCTTCGATGATAATGTTGGAGAAATCACTGCTCCGCCCGGTACCATGATGATTGAGGAGAGACACCATGATGATATCACTTCCAGATCGACCAGTCGGGGACAATGTCCTAAACATATATTAGTATTTCGAACGGCCTTCACCAGGTCCAACAATACCGAATTGGGATCAGCAAATCAGCAGGCCAGCGTGGAATATCAGGCGGGCAATGAACAGGAGCTTTCTTGTTCGCACCACCAAGGAGTTGTGAATCAGCCATGTGCCACAGCAACAACCGATCCAATTGAATCAGCAAAAGATACACTTCTGGAATCTGAGCAATTTCAACCCGAGGAAAGCCCAGATTACTTCAGTACAATAAATGCTCGGATTGTTATTCCGAATCCAAGTAAGCTTGATCGTGGACACTCAACTCACCGGTATGTCGACAAGCGAGAATCACCATCGAAAGACAATTCTATGAAGCCCTCGATTTCAAAAGTGACGCAAAAGGTCAGATCGGTTCATAACGTTAAGAAGGATTCTGGCAAGAGCTCATCTACGAAGCCCTTCGCAGATAGGGGAAAGAGTTCGTCATCTTCTGCAAATGCTCCCCAACAAGGCAAATCACCCAAGGATACTGCAAACACACGCAAGACATCGTCACAACAGCGTGCTGCCAAGTATGATCGTGGTGGAGCTCACGAAGCAGCAACGGCATCGCCGAAACGTGGTGCTTCGTCGCCTGTAGCTAACCGAGGCCTGCCTAGAATCCCATTGCACGAGCATCGTCTGAAATCTGCGCCTATCCCGGAAGCACGCCATTCTGAGGCTCGCAGTGCTAGCAACGCAAGCAAATCTAGAACGGAGTATTACGCAATACATGAGAAGTCAGAGGAGACTCTCATTTCGCAGACGAACGCTTACGCTCCAGGATCGCCGAATACGCGGCCCGGCTCCCCTGCTGCAAGAAGGGCACATGTGCGTAGTAGCAGCTCTCTATCATTGACAAGGTCGGAAAGTGATGTGACTATTTACCTCACCACGGATGGTCGACCGAGCTCCTCTGTGTTGCAACACCAGCCTCGAACATTATCCCCGAGCTTATATTCCCTAGCCACTGCCGGGTCTGAAACGTCACTCATACTTGCTCACCGTCCTCGGAATAGTGCTTATGATGAATCCGAAGCGCTTCAAAGTTTGAACCGGGACGGAACCGTACCGGGAATTTTTCCTGCGAAGCACTTTGTGCAGAATATCAGACGGTTTTGCAGATTTTCCTCGGCTTCATATGGGTCACATGCTTTGAAGGTTATGGGCGTCCCGCGAATGACAAGTGTTCTACCATATGAAGAGGCTTCTCGCCCCGAGCATAGTGACTTCTCTGATCACACAGGCTTACCGGCTTCCACGATTCTACTGTCTTCTTTTGTCGATTCTGCCGGCGGCACCAATGCTGCAGGGGAGACTGAAAGCGGAATTCCCTTGGTTCACTACCTTTTCCTGGACCATGATTCGAAAGCTGTTGTCCTAACTTTGCGAGGAACATGGGGCTTTGAAGATATTTTGACAGATATGACCTGCGAATTCGATGACCTTGAATGGCAAGGTAGGAATTGGAAGGTCCATAAAGGGATGCACGCTTCAGCCAAGCGTCTTTTGATGGGAGGGGGCGGGCGGGTCATGCTGACGATCAGGGCTGCGCTAGAGGAGTTTCCAGAGTATGGGCTAGTACTTTGCGGACATTCGCTTGGAGGAGGAGTCGCTGCACTCCTTGCAACCATGATTTCTGAGCCCAGCAGTGATGCATATGGGGCCTCATTCACGACCACTTCCTATCAGTCCACGAGCTTGAGCCCTACTGCAACGAACAGCAATGACCAACCCGGTAACAATGCTTTCTTCGTCCCACCCGGGCGGCCTATACATGTCTATGCTTACGGGCCTCCTGCAACAATGTCGCCTTTCCTGCGTCGCGCAACGCGTGGGTTGATCACCACCATCGTCAATGGTCAAGATGTGGTCCCTTGCCTCTCTCTCGGCATTCTGCATGATATGCATAGTGTCGCTGTCGCATTCAAGGGTGATATCTCGGGCGCTCGATCCCACGTGGGATTTCGAGTCTGGGAAGGCTTTAGGCAAAGTATTGTGAAAAAGTTCTATGTTGATGAGCCACCTATACTTACACACGCTGGTCATGGTGTGGGAGAAGATGCCTGGGCATGGAATACATTGAAGATGCTCCGTGAGGAGATGAACGCACCCAAGTTGTTGCCACCAGGTGAGGTGTTCCTAGTGGAAACGATGAGGGTGCTGCAACGTAACGCTTTCACGTCTGAAGTGAGCGGTGATGGCTACCCATTACTTGGTCGGCCTGCTACTAGAGCACAGTTGACATTTGTTCGAGACGTCGAAGCGTCTTTTGGAGAACTCAGATTTGGTTCAGGAATGTTTAGTGATCATAACCCTGCAAGATATGAAGCAAGCCTTGCTGCGCTTGCCCGTGGTATTTTGGATGAGTGATATTTTTTTTGGCTATATATCTCAAACATAAATGACATCTATATTTGCAAGCATATCTTCGGGCCCCAAGATATCGGTTGGCTTTGGCCATTTTTATTTCGAGGCCCACTCCCAGCTTGCTCACAGCTCACTGGATAAGAACAATCATGTACAGATGAATCTTGGATAAAACTTGCAATCTCTCGTAAAGACGTGGTGATATAGAAGGCATCGTGCACAGTTTGAGTCTCTTATTGGAGCCAGTCGTGCTCTGTAAGTCATCTCACAAGATATTCGAGGCCCCTAGAGGGACCGTATGTCTCGATGCGCTTTCAATTGACAATGAAAGGTTCATTCAAGGTAGGTTTTCTAGCCCCGCCTCCGAGGTCTCACCGAGGGTGGTCGGACAACAATCCAAGCGCCCGTATATGAATCGCATTCAATTCGAGGCCGACGAATGTCGTCGTAAGATATTTGCAGCGCTATGGCCGCTTATGATGTAGCGACGGCGGCCAGGCTGACTCTCCTCGTCGCACCAACTCTGCCGCAAACCAGACGTGCAGCTCAGAGCCTTGCGCTACTGTTCGCAGTATGTAACTTTCGAAAGCTCAGGCATGCGCCGGCCAACGTCAGTTCCTCGTACGTGGCGAGACAAGGATTGAGCCATGGCACCAGAGCGCCGAAAATGTCCATCTAGCTCACATTCATTCAGACACCGTTGTCCATCATTTGTCATGGGGCGGCTCTCTCTTCGGCTCGCTGAGTTGGTTCTGAGATCTCTCTGCGATCCTTGCTTCCAGAGTATCAAGCTGCCTTTCCACGAGCTCCTTCTTGGCCATTAAATTTTGTCGCATGCCTCTGAGACCTTCAATTCGCTCATCGATCGTCGGCTCGAGTGCCTTTTGTTCCTGGATTTTCTGTAGATGAAAGGGACCCGTCAATAAAGAGACTCTCCCGACTGATAGGTGAAGCTTAGAGGTCATACCTGGCGATACTGCTGTTCGGTTTTCTGCGAGGCGCCGAAAAGCGTTCCTGATATGGTGATACAAATCACAGCACCTGCTAGAGTAGCTCGTGGAATGCTTTTTGGCATGCGAAACATCTTGCTGGTAATTGATAGATGGCTTTTCGTCCAGTAATTCTCTTCAAGTTTGCCCCTTAACTTGAAAACAAAGCTGTCGCAGGAAGAAAATTCGAGGGGGCGGAGAAAGCAAGTCGATAACAACAAAGAGAGCTCGCTCCGAAGCCTCCGACCGGAGGGGGGAGGGTGTCAAAAATGGACCTAAACCTAAAAGGGGTTAGATAGGCAGTTCCGGTTCTTTGTTCCCCCCGGCATCGCGTCGCGTCCGCCGCCCGCGTGGCTATCCATCCATATCTTTCTTTATCACCCTTCCCATATCAACTGGGCGGGGCTGGCAGCACAAGTTTCCTTTCTTCCCCCCCCTCTCCACTCCAAATGCGCCGGTGATAGGTCTTACGGCGCTTCTGCATCTTCAAGGATGTCTTCCGGACGGTCCATTCCTCGCCGTCGCACCCGCTCGGAGGAGGAGGACGACAGCGACGAAACATCCTCATCCGGCTCGGCTCCTGCAAATCCTACTCCACGAACAACATCCAACCCAAGCAAGCGCCCCAGACTCAGCACCAACAATGACGATCTGAACGATGAGGGATCGGAAGAATTGTCTTCCGGATCAGGCGATGATTCTGGAGGAGATGAGGCCCTGGCAAACGGAAATGCGGAGGACAGCAACGGGACATCGTCCTCCGGCTCAACCACCCAAAACTCTACGCCTCGAAACGCGAATCCCGACAAGCGCTCTAAATCAGGCACCAAGATCAATGGCCAGAGTATTGGGGGAACAGAAGACAATGCCAGCGAATCGGAGGAGGGCTCCGAGGAACTTGGGACACCGGGAGATGGCAACGAGGATGGCAGCGTTTCAGATCCCACGCAGGCTGACGGCGGGGATGGTACTCAGACGCCCGGGTTTAATGCGACAGGGCCGCAAGCGACGGATGTGAACGGAACAACACCCGAGGGTTACAAACCGGGGGCCATCGTTCGCATCAAAGTCACCGACTTTGTCACTTATACATCGGCGGAGTTCTTCCCTGGTCCGAAACTGAATATGGTGATTGGGCCCAATGGAACCGGAAAGAGTACTCTCGTTTGTGCGATCTGTCTAGGGCTTGGATGGGGACCGCAGGTATGAACTGCTATCTCGGTTTTGTCTCTTCGATGGTTCGGCATTGTTTACTAATTGAGCTCTCATATTGCAGCACCTTGGTCGCGCCAAAGACACTGGCGAATATGTTAAGCACGGTTGTCGAGAAGCCATCATCGAGATCGAGCTTGCGGGTGGACCGCGCTATCGTCGGAACCCCGTCGTGTCTAGGACAATCAAACGCGACGGTAACAAGAGCTCGTTCATGATCAACGGGAAGCAGGCTTCCCGTCAGCAAGTTTTGAGACTCGCCCAGTCCTTCGCCATCCAGATCGATAATCTCTGTCAATTCCTACCGCAAGATAAAGTCAGCGAGTTTGCTGCTCTCACGCCCATCGAACTCCTCAATTCGACCCAGCGAGCCGCAGCCGGGGATGAAATGGTCGAGTGGCACGCGAATCTTAAGAGCCTAAGAGCTGAACAGAAAAAGCTGCAGGCGGACAATCAGGGCGACAGAGACCTGTTGACGAATCTCGAGGAACGGCAAGAAATGCAGAGAGCTGACGTGGAACGGATGCGCCAGAGAGTCCAGATCAAGAGGAAGATTGAGATGCTGGAATCTGCTCGCCCTGTCACGCAGTACAAAGAGCTTCGTGAACAGTTCAATGAGATGAAAAGAGAGCGAGATGTGAAAAAGGAGGAGTTAACGGAGCTTGAGAGGGAGCTGGAACCTGCACTGAGGGCCGCGAATGAAAGGCAGGAGTACTGTCTTAAACTGGATGATGTGATCAAGCACAGAACTCAGACCTTCGAAGTTGCAGAGAAGAAGGCTTCCAATGCTGCTGCGAAGATCGAGCAGTTCGAGGAACAATTCAAGGATCTGGATAACCAGGCTGAATCCGAGAAGAAAAGTGGTCAGAGTCACCGGCAGAATTTCAGTAAAATTCAGCAAAACCTGAACAAACTCCGGCGTTCCTTAGAACAGGATCAGCCCGTAGCCTTCGAACTCGATTCCTATAATGAAAGAATTGTAAGTAGGTTGAGTCAATTTCAGGGCCATTTGCTAATTTCGGACAGCGGGAAAAACGGATGGAGCTCCGCGAGATTGAAGAACAGGCAGAGAAACTCAAAGTGGAAAGACGGCCTCTTCTAGAAGCCCACAAATCTACATCGGATCAAATAAAGCAGGCCGAAGAACAATTAAAGAATCTCGACTCTCAAGCTGGGCAGCAGGAATCAAAGCTGGGACGCTTCTCCCAAGATTCTGTCAAGGCTTACCAATGGGTTCGCGAAAATCAGGCCCGATTTGAGAAAGAAGTCTTTGGCCCTCCAACACTTACCTGCTCAGTCAAGGATCCTAAATTTGCCCACGCTCTCGAATCGTTACTTCAACGCACAGACTTCACCGCATTCACTACGCAAACGCGGAATGACTTCAGGACATTGCAGAAGGCTCTGGTGGAGCTCAGGCTTTCTGATGTTAGTATCCGCACCTGCTCGATTCCCCTGGATCGTCTACGACCAAGCATGTCCGATGCGCAGATTCGGGAGCTTGGATTCGATGGATGGGCCTCGGACTTTCTCAACGGTCCAGACCCCGTGGTTGCTATGCTTTGTAGCGAGAACCGCCTGCATCAGACGCCTATTCGCCTTCGTGATATCAGTGATGAAGAGTTCACAAGGATAGAGAATGGGCCCATAAGCACCTGGGTGGCAGGTAAGCAGACTTATGCGGTTACCCGACGACGGGAATATGGCCCTAGTGCAACTTCCACTCGAGTGAGACCGGTCAAACCCGCCAAAGTCTGGACCTCGCAGCCGGTGGATGCATCGGAGAAGGAAGCCATAATGCAGAGGATCCGATCACTCGAGGAAGAGACAAATGAGTTGCAGGCGAGGATGGATGGTGACAGAGCTAGACTCAGTCAGCTGGGTAAACGACATGAGGACATTGACAACGAGAGGGTATGCAAAATCTTAGAATCCATTTTCAGTCGTATGATTGCTGATCTTGAAACTCTCGCAGCGTGCAATTGAGCAGGAGAAGGGCGAGAAGCAAACGGCGCTTACGCACTGGAGAGCGATCCCAGAAAAGATACGTAAGTTGAAATTGATACGAGATCGGTGCTGTTCAGAATGCTAATGCCATGGAACAGGCCAGGAGGAAAAGAAATTGAGTGAAATGCAGAGATTCATAGACGAGGTGAAATCGACAGTCCTAGGCATTCGCAAACAACAAGTCCAAGTATCCATGAAGAAGGCCGAGGCAGTGATTGAATATGCGGTAAGTCTTTCGTCAGCTAAAGACAACGAACGACATCGCTGACGGGTCGCAGAATGCGGTCAATATCCTCAACAGACTGCACGACGAGCTCATCAAGATCAAGCTCCAACACATCGAAGGCATCTCCGACCTAGAGGCACTCAAGGCGCGAAACGTGCAGCACCAGCAGAGACTGACTGCAAAGCGTGATGAAGTCAAGAAGGCCCAACAGCTGATTAAAGACACCACGGAACGAGTGAAAAAACTGTACAAACAAGCGGAAAAGGTCATTTCAGGCTCTGCCTCACAACCCGATCTGGCCGAACTGATACCCACCCTGGCCAACCACACCATGGAACAGCTCGAGGCAGATATCGATTCCGAGAAAGCGCGCCTCGAGCTCACGCACGGCGGCAACAGCGGCGTGATCAAGGAGTTCGAAGAACGGGCCCGTCAGATCGACAAGCTGCGCAGCAAGCTCGCCGACTTCGAGACCAAGCTCGCCGATTACAACCACGCGATCAACGAGATCCGAGGCCAGTGGGAGCCGAAGCTGGATGGCATCATCAAGAACATCAGCGAGGCATTTTCGGACTCGTTTGCCCGCATCGGCTGCGCCGGCCAGGTCACCCTGGACAAGGCCGAGGAGGAAACCGGCCCCAACGGCGAGGTGACGGACACGCATTTTGACCAGTGGTCCATCCAGATCCACGTCAAATTCCGCGAGCACGAGAATCTGTCTTTGCTCGATGCCCACCGGCAATCCGGCGGTGAACGAGCCGTCAGCACGATCTTCTACCTCATGGCTCTCCAGTCGCTGTCCGCGTCGCCGTTCCGCGTCGTCGACGAGATCAACCAGGGTATGGACCCGCGCAACGAGCGCATGGTCCACGGCCGCCTGGTCGACATCGCCTGCGCCCCGTCCGACAGCGGCGGCGGCGGCCAGTACTTCCTGATCACGCCCAAGCTCCTCAGCGGCCTGACCTACAAGCCCGGCATGCGCGTTCTCTGCATCTACAGCGGAGAGCACATGCCCGAGGACTACAATATCGTCAACTTCGGCGATGCAGTCAAGAAGATGAGAGCGGTGGCCGAGAAGAACAATCGGGGCAAGGGCAAGGGACGAGCCATTGAGAGTGCGCGGAGGAGCAATGGGGACGTTGGAGTCTACGGTTGAGGCAAGTCACATGCATCACTTGGTCCGTTTCCGTTTCATAGGTATATGTAAGTATGCTTGGATTGAGGGAGTTTTTTTTTTTCTTTTTTTTCTTTTTTTTTGCTTTTCGGTTTCTTTGCGGGAGTTTCGACTCGCTTGTGATGATACCTTTGGATAGTTAAGTAAAACTTATGATGAGTTGGTTCAAAAGGGCTACGATGCTCTTTTCTTTTTTTTAGCAGGTTCGGTTATTCTTTTTCGATGTATGTACATGAGTTCGGGGCGGATGGGAAATAGGGAACAAAAGAACAATTGAGACAGATCTTAGTCGTGATCATATATGCATTGCATTATTCTTCCTTACCTTCTGGTGTTCTGTCCCTGTTCTGTTCATGGATGATGATCATCAGCTTACGAGCACCGACTCGGACCCTCTCACTTATCTGTAATCCTCAAGCGCAAGCTGAGAATCTACATGCATGCCTTCGGCCGACGCTATACGCCAATCACCTCCTCAACCCGCCCTCCGGCGGACCATATCTACAGTCACAGTCTAAGCGAGGCAACAGTACAGAGTAATCTTGATCTTGATCTTTTTTATTTTTATTGTAAATGATCTTGTTCACAGAGGTGGTCATGTCACGTCATAAACAAAGGAAATGAGATGACACAAGGAAAATAATAAGAAAAAAAAAATATAAAACAAAAAAAAAATAATCTCAAGAGAGAGAAGCTCCAGAGTCAAGACCAGAAATTCCGGACTCCAGTGCTTCCCTCTCCGCCCTTCCCCTGAAACAACCTCTAGCTGCCAGGAGAGGGCGAACCAGTTTCCCCCGCAACCATAACCCAAGCGACGCCGGCTCCCTTCGCACGATAATAGAAATAAGAATGGTTGGGGAATGGGTAGTAAAGAAAACAATCATTCCAAGTATACACAGGTTGAGAAGAGAAGAAAATGCATGGAGGACCTCTTTCGTGATACACCATAGCCCCTAGCTTCTTTTTTTTTTGCAGCAAACAAAGATAATTGGATGCAAGAAAAAAAAAAGCAGAGAGAAGGGATAAAATCAACACACGAAATGTATGTATGGAACACGCGATAAAAGGGTATCATCAGAAGAAGCAATCAGTGCAGAAGTGTCGCTGGGAAGTCTTGGGTACTGGAGTATTTGCGGGGAGAAGAAAAGAGCTTCCTTTCCCCATTGCTTTGTACTTTTCTTAGGTGTTTGGTGGTATGATTTCAGACTTTGATTCCGGGATGTCTTTCCAAATCGGAGCCCATTATACCATAGCGGTGGCAACGGGTCTGCCGGTGTGGCAGCCCCGTTCGTGGCGCTTCATGTTGCTCCGCACGCTGAAGGCCTTGCCGCAGCCGGCGTGGGTACAACGGAAGGGCTTCTCTCCAGTGTGGCTGTGCGAGTGGATGCGAAGACTTGAGGGTCGCGAGAAGGCCTTGTGGCACGTTCTGCAGATGTATCGGTCGTGGTTTTGCTGGTAGGGGGTCGTGCTGGAGGGGGGGAAATAGTGGTGGTGCTGCCAGGCAGGTGTAACAGGTGAGATAATCTGCTGATGCGCAGGCGCGGGCAGAGCAGCAGCGGTGGGAGACACATTGCTGGATGGTTGGTAGGTGGAGGAAGAGGATGCCGGTCTCTGATAGTAGACCGCGGAGGCGGCTGAAGGCTCGATGGGAGAGGAGTAAGAAGCGACGCTGGGGGCGGGCGATGCGTAAGGTGCGGCGGATACAGGAGCCACGGAGCCCTGGCTGGAGATGGACGATCGATCCGAATGGCTGGGGAATACCACCGGCGCCTGAGTGTATGGCTCTGCGCGACTCACAACGCCGCCCTCACTGATGGCGGAGATGGATGAGGCGGGGGAATGGCTGGCGCTGTTGAAGCCGGAACCCGGACGCAATGGAGGGGTAGGCGGCAAGCCGATCTGGGGGCCATTGGCCTTCATCGAGTCGAAGGGTTGCGACGGCGGGCGGGACTCAGGCTCGCGCTGCACTGGAGGGGTGACTCTTGCACGCTCTGCATTATTCTAGTCAGCACTGGCCAAGTAGATGGTCCAGGCAGGCCGTGTTGATAGCCATGGGAAATACATACTAGCTGCATGCATGGACGCAGCATCTGCGCCTTCCAGCAGGGTCGAGATGGAAGGTAGAGAGAACTTAGGAGGCGAATCCTCGACCGGCGGGGAGAGCGGTGGTTGCGCGGCGCGGGAGTAAGATATCGGCACGGAAGCGAAGTATGAGTTCGACGAGCGCTTATAGGAAGCCACACGAGGCGCAGGGGGGCTATAAGAGGCTCTGGACATAGACATTGAGAGGGGATCTGGTCCCGGGTGGGAGATAAGGCTGGCGAGATCCATGTTGAGTGAGGTGGTTACGACAGTAGGTGAGAGTCAGTGGTGGTAGTAGTAATAGTGATGGTATGGTGGTGATGAGATCAAGGCTGAAACGGGAAGGAGGAGGAAAGGTATCTTTTTTTTTTCTCTTGAGTTTCAGGAATGGCGGCTACCCAGAGCTCATATATGAAGTCTGGAGGGGAACTGATGGAACGGGGTATAAGAGACCCCGATCTAAGAAACAATCCAGGCACGGTAGTCGAGACAGGGTGGGGGTGGGTATGAGAACCAGGAGGAGGAACTGGTTTATAGACCCAGAGCGATGGTGGAGATGCAGGGTTGACAATCGTGGAATTATTTTTGAGAAAGAAAAGAAAATAAAAATAATAATAATAAAAAGTTATTTTAATTTTATGATTTATTTTATTTTATTTCTTATTTTTTATTTTTTGGGAGGAGGAGAGATGGAGATGGGGGGTGGAGAGGTGGGAGAGGTGGGAGAGGGAGGTGGAGGGGGGCGGCAAGATGGAATTGTACTGTACTATCCTGGACAGAAAGAAAAAAAAGAAAAGAATTTTAAATATTTTATTTAAAACCTGCACATCAAGCCAAATGTTAATTATAGCGCTGGTATACTCCGGCCGTAGCGTTAAACGACGAGTGGAACCTAGCGAGCGACAGAGTTGAAGATGGAGCCGAGAAACAGAAAGCAAAGAAAGAAACTTAACTGAATGATTGGAACTGCTGAAGGAGAAAGAAGCGGGAGAGGCCGCCGCGAACCTCCCCCATTGGGATTCATGGAATGCCAACTGAGGGAGGGAATAAGTGAGTGAGTGACAGTACTACACATTAACTTTACTTTTCTTTTTCCCCCCCCTTTCCGCGCTTTGCTGCTGCTGTACGGTTCAAAGCAAGCAGCCTTCAATGCGCAGCTTACACCTAAACCTACAGTAGGTACTACTAGAACTACCTAGTACCTACTTACTACTGTCCAAGAAGAAGCCCATCTTAACTGGAATTTCCCCGAACCCGCAGTGGCCACAAGCCCGGCTCATCATCGCTCTCTCTCGATTCGCTTCGACAAGGGCTGATACCTCCGTCTCAAAGCTTAATTAATGACCACTGGCCCGGTACACGCGAATGTCTTGCGCTGGTGTGGCTCTCCCGGCCTTCGTTTAATTATTTTGGTGGTTTCTCATTTGAGGAGAGATGGATCAAGTTCCGAAAGGAAGATCATACTGGTCGGTTTTCGGGTACTGCAAATGCGAGGATAGGTACTAGACTACTGAGGAAGTTACTCGGGGAGGTGTCCAAGTATCTCGCCTCCACAATCCCACACAATCCACCACTCCCCCTCTCTCCGTCGCGTACGCGACTAAAGAAAGATGGTTTGCCATTAGCTTATCGTTTTGGGTAGGCTCGACGAGAGCTAAAAAAACGTGCGCCTCTCCGCTGTCCACATCCGCAGCACAAACCCGTACCCTGGGTCGACTCAAGGCTATGGCTGGTTCCAGAGATCAAGAAGGCTAAAAGAACCGCATTTTGCCGGGAGAATGCCTATTCTGCCCGTGTGCTGAATCAGCAAAATACCTTGCGATAATTAGCTACTTACCCGATGGCGAAAATAAGAGAGGATCATGACATCAAGAGCCAGTTCGAAGGATTTCGCAGGTCGGAGACTTTTCGTCTTATTGTTCTTCCGTCAACTAATGGCTAGTAGTCTAGAAGTATAGAAGTAGGCAAGACCTCCGTTCGTAGAGGAGTGCGCCAAAACGCGATATAGATTTTAATATATTATTACGGGGTGAGTGAGAAAAAAATCATCCTGAAAAGACCGACACCCGCGGGCGTACGTAACTGCGTCGTACGGAGGCCGACAGATCGGCCGATGGAAACCAACGGTACTTTCGGGGCTCGGCTACAGTAAGTTCTGGCGCTAGTGCAGATCCACGGACACCTTTCCTTCTCCATCAGGCGCCCGCCAGGAATCATTCATCAATCATCGATCATCATCCATCATGGGGGGAGGGGGGGAAACGAGCCGGTGCCCTCCCCCTCTAATCCATGCCACTTTCCACCCGGTATCATCGCGGTAATGCCTAGAATCGACTAGATAACCCTCTCGGCAACCGATCGGGGAATCAGGAAATGAAGAAATAAAATAAAACAAAATCAGAAGACCAACGGAAAGTGAGAAAAAGCGGCTAGCCTCCGTCCAGGTTCTACCTGTCACAACGATCCCATGCCCCATAAACGGCTGATCGTTGCCGCACGATCATACACATTTTGCCTGAGAACCTGATCTGATGTTCCAAGACCAACTTCCCACCATGATTCATCATCATCATCATCATTATCCATCTGTAGATCGGTCGGTCCCTTTGTCTCGGAGGGGGCGGTCGTAGATCAGTGGAGGAACATTTGCCGCCCGAGAAATGTCAGGTACACAAGGGCTTCCCTCAGTGCGGTACAGATGTAGCCGACAGCCATGATGACTTCAGCAGAGCCAGCGGTACTTAACAATAGGCGAGATCTACCTGGCTACTGTGGTAGAGATCGCCAGTTTGTGGGATCCAGCGCGTGTCCTAGCTTCCACCCCAACCCTGGTTGTTCTTAATTTCGATCCGTTCTCTATGGCTTCTAGCGGGAACACCAATTCCCAGACAGCATCATCGAGCGCAGGAAGCCTACGGGGGGGGGCCCTTCATCCCTCGTTAAAGGGGGGAGGAACCTACCACCACCCCGAAAGAGGCGTGTCGGCGCCGAAATCAGGGCTGTAGATCAGGAGATGGATATCGAGCAGAGCAGCGTAGGATTATTGATCAAGGTGAACTGAATCGACACAACTCTAAAAGGGCAATGACTCCGTGATTTGCATCCATCCACAACCAAGCCCTTGGGGCCGGATGACGGAGTTGCGGCACGATGCGCGGATGGCAGGTCTTGGTTTGGAAGCCCTTCTAAACCCGAAATAGCTTAGACTGGGCCGCCTAGAAGGGAATTCCTGGACGATTAGTAGTCGCCTACTGTAGTGCCCCGGTCTGTAACCCTTGCCCTTTTCTCCCATCGCTTGCTTTGGGGGCCAAGGAAGGGATCGTCTTAGTGTGAGGGAGGCAGCCCGGAGATTATCGTGGCGTTGACAGCCAACGAGAAACACCAAGCAAACCTTAAAAACAGATAGAGCAAGAATTGGCGAGGAGGACCTACTCGGGACCTGAAAGCCTCACCACCACTGGCAGGCACCCAGAAACCTAGTTAACTAGCCCAGGAGGTGGCTGACTAACGAAGAGTTAGGGTTGAGTGTGATTGATGGACTGCTTGTTTGCTTATTTGCGAGTTGCGACTGATTTATCGCTTGACTTTTGGGCACTGGGTGGCCTGTGCAGCGAGCGGAAATGCGACCTGACCAACCGCAAGGCGAGGAATAGGAGGAATGAACACATGAATAGAGCTTATGCATAATGAAAGTGCATGTAATCCATGTCTAAGGCATCGACCGAAGGCCTGATTCAAGGCCAGAGAGCGCCCGCCCCTCTCTGCCACCCCTCCCGTGATTAATCACTGACCTGACTGTACTGGTGTCTGATCATGACGTCGACGAAGAAACCTGTCCAGGACCTGTTTCTCGTACTTTGAAGCGCCCAAACTTTTTTTTTTTTTTTTGGTTTGGCATGCGCGGCTTGTTGTCGTGTAGGTGGGCTGTACAAGTCCCGATCCAAATGTAAGTGCCGATGAGGAGACCGAATGCACACTAGCTGTCAATCGTCTATGCATTGGGATCGACCGTGGATTTGCTGGGTCGAACTCGTCGACAGTACGAGTTCGAGCCAGAAGGCGACAGCTGATGTAAACGCAGCCTTCGCACTGAAAGTCAAAAGGAAAGACCCAAATAAGAATAGACAAGAAACTGGCTTCGGGATGTCCCTTGGTTGCTAACTGGGCTACTGGTGGTTCGGTACCTGTGCACGAGACAAAATACCTCGGCCGGCCAGGGAACGCAAATCCGGAAAGGGTTACAGAGACGAGGTGGGACACTCGACTAATTGGTGATCATCAGTAGAGCTGCAGAGGTGAGAGGAGTTTCCCTTTTGGCTCTTTTCAAGATCAGTTCTGCCAGATGAATCGTCTCATGCTTGAGCATCTGACCCTTCTGGTGTTCGTTTCTTCGCTCTTCAACCCCTGGTTCACTCAGATACACAGACTAACTACCAATTCGAACTCAAGCAGGCAAGCAAGCATGCGTGGCACGTCCTAACTCCAATAGAAGCTGCGACCTCCTGTTGCATGTCCCTCTCCCTTCCCCTCTTCCCGAGGAAGATCATCAGATAGTGGCGGGTCACACCGCCCCAGCCGATTACTGCATACGTACTGTTCCTGAGCCGGTCGCTGAGGGGCGAAGACCGCCTCAGGCGTCAAATGAGGTAATGTTCCCGTCCGGGTAACTCATTTGCCAAGCTCCAGGTTGGAAACAGCTTGCATCACAATGGCACAGTCCAGTCCGTCCGAAGCAGGGGGATCCTCGACGGTGATAGACATGCCAACCATGCTCACCCGCCAAAACCCATGCCAACCGTCGGCGACGCCGGATTACATCATCATTATCAACCATGCACCCCGGTGCGAAGAACGAACAGGGCAGATGGTTGCTGCGAGATTTAATTTGATTCGGACGATCGTCTCCAATAGAAGGTCATTTTTGGATCTATTCTCCTTGCTGAAGACCACACTAACGACTCGCGTGGTGGTGACTATGACGATGCTGATGCTGATGCCGTTGCTGCTGCTGCTGCTGCTGCTGCTGCAGTGCTGAGGGAGGGAGCATTGTGGGAAGAATGGAGCCAGGTCTACGCGTAGGACCACTCAATATCGCCCACCCAGAGACCCGTTCCCATGTGTGATTCCCCAGTGGTCCCAAACTTTAATAAACGAGAGACGGCGTTTAATGGGATATGGTCTCGTGGAGTCGGCGAAGCGAAGCTTACCCGGTCACTTATTGCATCCGCACAAATCCGCGGGCCCCGTCGGCTCCTGCGCGACGCTCTGGAAAAAGTGCAGGAATTGCTATCACTCATAGAGCTTAGTCGCACCCGTCCGGTCTCCATTCTTTTCCCATGTGCTTTTCCAGCCTTATTCGATCGCGACGGGCCTGCCAATCGTCTTCCAGGCAGCTGGGTTCCAATCGAGTCTTGCCATTTCCCATGTCATCCCAGGGCCCAGCTGGTACGAGTAGTCACATCCCCGTCCCACGGCTTCGGAGCCTCCTTCGTCCCCTTCCCAATGCCCAATTCGACCTACGTTTTCGAGGCGCTGTAGTCATAGAGGTAACATTTGGTAAAAAATTAGATTGAGGCCAGTCTGCAGTTGGAGTCAGTGTTCCATCAAGCTGTTTGCTGTGACCTTCACTTAGCACTCACTCCCTTTAACGCTCGGTTCTCGGTTCCTCGGAATGGGAACTGCCTGGGAATGTCTTTGAGCTTGGGCTATACGCTCTTCTCACGCTCCCTCTCTTCCGGAACATGATGAAACCAAGGGGCACTTTAAAACGGTGCCGTGGATTGGAACCGCTCCCTCTTGATCTAGATGAAGCTCGGATGCGTGGGAATTGTGTATATGGTTCTGTATAGCGCAATTGCGACTGAAACCTGGAATGCTAGGGGAAAGATCCAGCTCCGAACCCAATTCCGCGTGGCATCGGCCGGCTCCGTGAGCAACGCAGAGGGAGAGCAATTCCAGAAGAAACGCCGAACGGCTTGAAGAGTGGGTGCGCGGACAGATGAATTGCTCCGAGTCCAACAACTCGGATACATAATTTGTGCTCGAAATTGCTCTTAGCTAGTTTGGACTCTCGCATATGCAGAGAAGGAAGAAAAACCCATAGATCCGGTGACTACTAGTATGCAGTTGCTTATGATCTAAACTGATACTTCTCTAAGAACATTTGAACGCTCGCGCAGCCATCGCATTGATGAATGAACCCACGGATGACTTGGAACATACATCACATGATGTGCTGTAAAGATAGATAGCCTTTGCGTAAGCGCGTGGAACGGGTCAATCATCTGAGCTTAAACTGAACATCTTGACCAAAATAAAACCAAGAAAAAAAAGGGGACTCGGGACCAACAGTCAGCTACCTGATCTGGGATATCTCGACGAACTGATGTTCTTCCATTCATTCAGCATTCGCGGGCGCGAGAGGCGCTTCCCTCAACCCAAAAAGGGGGGTTGGTTGGGGCTATTCGGCAAATTCCGCTTAGGCACCCCCCCGCCCGACCGCGTCAAAAATGCGGGACACCTTAGGCCAAGGAAACTCTGAGGGGAGAGGGGGGGTTGCCTGAAGTTTGAGGAACTGGCACACAGACACACAGGATCTCCTCACTCATGCGTATAATTGCTCTTTCGGGGTACATTCCACGACACTCTGTCTGTACAGTGCCTGCAACCATCCCATCCCTCCCCCTCAGCGTCGACCGAAAAATTGGGACTGCCGTGAAACGCGTATGTGCATAACAGCTCGTCCCGCGGTAACCTCACCGGAGTGACAGGCTTTGAACGAACACTGAATCAAATGTGATGCATTCGGCTTGTTTTTCTGGGGTGGTCTCGTTACTAGGTATGGACTCCTTACCTACGCCATACCCATAGTGCATCACTGCATTCCATTACCCCCCCTAGCGTTTCGTCGTGATGGATGTATGGGTCAGTGTTCGGCAGTGGCAGTCTTTTCGGGCAGCCGACGGAGAAATTCCGAGATCAGCTTGATAGAGATTGACAATGATACGCGCGCCGATCATCCCAACGCTCTCCAACGCTCCCAGCTTTGACCGCTTCAGCGCGAGCGAGATCACCACCCCGATTACATAGTCGCCGGGAATACTACTGCATGCCGCTTAGTGGCGGGTATCAACAGTAGCGCGTTCTCCCCTGATAACCAATGCTTTTAATAATAGTAACCATGATGGAATGATTCGCACTGGGTATCTACGATTCTGTTCGGGTCATCTTTGCCCGGAAGGCTCTGCTGTTCAACCACAGCCAGTATTACAACGCAGGTACGTATGGCCACGAGTCAGTTTGATCTTCTATCCCAGACATTCTGCTCCTGCGATGTCTTACCATTCGACCACCATCGATTCCCTCCGACCGGCGGTCGCCTGCTATAACAGCCGGAGTTATCGACAAAAACCATGACATCCGAAAGTCAAGTTGATTGCTCTGGAAAGTTTACTTAATAGCCAAGAGCAAACAGGGAACCAGCGACGAGCGGTCGCTTTCTCTCGCCTGTCTCGTTAAATCCGGGGCCCAGATCCCAGTTTCTAGGCCCCCATCCCCTTTGATCTCGACCCTACGTAGGAACCAAGGAGAGGCGGGCGGCAAGGTCGTCGATCAAACTCAGAAACCCAGAGTTGGCGCCGGTTTCAGGTTTGCGGCCACGAGTTTAAGGGAGGGAAACCTCGCTTCGCAGGTTCGCTTACGGGGCGGGTTGTGAATGCCTGAGGCACAAACAGAGCACGGTTCCCAAGGACTCGGCACGGCGTCTACCCTCTAACCCTCCACCCGGTACACCCTCGTCCCTTGTACTTTCTGCACCGTCGCACCAAAATCGAGTGTGCGATGGTTGTTGTTAGCTCTTCACTTTGCTTTTTTTCCACTGCTCAAGCATCGTTCCGATCTCGTATTCCTGCAACCTCACAGTCACAGCAGCTGATCGTTAACATCCGCAGGCGCCCTTCGTATGGACGCCGTCCGTATGCAGGAGCAAATCATCACCGCGCTTGGGGTGTGACGGCTTGAGCCGTCCCATTCCTTTCCCTTCCTTTCCCTGGATCCTCCCCTATCGTATAATTGCCTCAACTATAGATCGCACCTCATTGCTTGAACGGGGGAAGGATGGGAGGAGTGAAATCTAGAATTCGATGCCTGACAAGCCTGACAGATGTCACTGTAGAGTTTCGTGTGAGCTTGTGATCGATGGTTGGACGACTTATGATTGGAGGTATCGTCAACAAAAAGAGACGATCTACCGCTACTCTCAATCAGCCGGCAGGAATGACGGCTTTCAGCTTGTCTAGAACCAGCATCTCCCCCGAACGCCACGTTGGCCAGTCAAGGCGTCGAGCGCAGATCGTCATCAGGGAGCCCGACTAGGGACGCGGTGGGGTTCGTGGGGAACGAACAGGAACAGCCAGGCAGCCAGGCAGCCAGGCAGCCAGGGGCGTGGTTCGGGGGCTGTGTGTACTGTGTATCACTATCTGTGTGTCTGAAGTTCTGAAATGTGAAGAGAGATATGGATCCATTGAGGGAGGGGAAAGTGGGAATGGGTTGCGTCGTGGGTTTCAAACTCGACCTCCTCCCGATGCGGTGCAATCAACCTTTGGATGGATGGTGGTCTGTGTCTACGGCCAGTTACTAGTCAGTGTACTGTACCTCTTTAAATAGGACAGGGGCAATCACGATGATGACGATGAAGATGATGATGATAGTTTCAGACCTGGGAAGTCTCAGCCTGGTCTAGTTTAGTCATGACACAGTCACAGTGCAAGCTGCCGGGGGGCGGGGGGGGGGTAAGTCCCTCGTCTCTCCCCTGAACACCAAAGAAAAACAAAATGCCGACCGGCCGACAAGGGCCGGCCTCCTTTTTTTATTTTATTTTCTGTAAAATATTTATTTTCTTTTTCTTTTTTTTTTTCGCTAAGAACTGCTGGAGCGGGCGTCGGTCGATCCAAGCCGATTGTGGATTAGAAGCGGTCCTAGCGGACTTTCTGGAGTCTGGACCCTGGTCATTTCACGTGGCAGACGTCGGCTCCGCCTGCAGCATCGGCCGGCCCTTCCCGAGTTTGGCTACAAAGCCGATGCACCATCGAGACGCTTCCTTCTGACAAGCCTACAGTAGTGTGTTACTAGTCGTATGGTATTCTTTTTCTAGTCTCCAAGATCTCCAACCTGTGGCATGCCTACGGAGTAGACTAATATGAGTAGCGATTAGTCTAGTTAGGGCCTCGATTGGGAAGCAGACTATCTTGCTCGAATTTGCCCATTTACTCACTCTACACCCATGTCATATTATTGTACATAGCTTAGCAGAGTTAATTCTCCCCTGCTCTTGCACATGTCTCCGAGTACGCCACACGGTCGGATTAGGGCTGGGCGGCACTGACCCGTCACATTACTCCGGAATATTAATGTTTGTTATATGCAGCTGTCCCCCGGCCGGAGGAAGGGAGTCGATCATCTATACATAGTAATCCTAAACCCTTGTCTTGATCACTTGATGTGCCATTGCTTTGTTCATGAGTAAGCATGGATCCTGGGGGAGCGAAGTCAAACCACCACAACCAACCAACCCGCAAAAGGAAACATAGGGCAAATGATTTCAGTGGGTGACATTCAGCAATAGACCGCAGCTGCAAGGAAATAGAGACATGTGAACCAGAGTCCTTGGTTGCTTGCCGATGCTGTGGAATATCCTCGGTTCCGAGTCAGACTTCCAGCAGATTAAGTTTTTAATTTATTTGCTCTGGCTACTCGGCCACGGAGGAAGGTGGAAATGGCGTTGTAACGCAACTACTTACTACTAACCTTGGGCCGAGTCATGCTATGCCTACCGTAGCCGATGTCAGACGTTCAGGCAAAGAGACCAGAGCCTAGGATCGGGAGCCAATCTCGCCCACCATGGCCGGCGGCGGTCGATCCTCAACGACTCGACTCCACGGGCTGCGTGACTGCCGCACCACCCGTCGAACGTGTGATGAGAACGTCATTGGAGCTTGCTCAGTGTCGCTCCTGTCGCTCCTGCTACTCCTGCTGCTCCTGCATGGGCCCGCATGACCGTGACTTTACACTCCGGAGCAGACTTCTACAATTCTCCGGCAAACTAACTGCATTGGACAGACACGCGGACAGGCTTCGCAGCGATATTGACGAGGATGATGCTACTATGGTTGCTACACAGCGCTCTGGGACTGTCTATCCTAATCAATCTACGGGATACTCACCTGGGCGAGGCAGAACCTCGGTATCTACACCGCACTATCGGGGCCAGACAGGACTTCCGGAGATTGGGCGCCGAATCTCCACTTTGACCTGTGCGTGGTGGAGTCATCTTCCGATTGCATCGAATCTGGTTGCATCTCAGCTCGTTCGACCCGGATCGCGTCGGTCGGCTCGTGGTGCTCCAGGCTTCCATTGACTACGGACACTTACGTATGGGCGGTGGTGATCTTCCTGCAATCAGCTTGGAAACAGCCGTCTGGTCATTCCATTCCTGCTCGGCTGTCCACAATCTGCCCTGGCAATTCGTATCGAGCCAGGCGAGCAACACTCCATCCATTCCATCTCGCTTCAACGCTTGCGATCTCATATTCGGCCTAGTGCCGGTGGGTCAGGCGTAAGGCCACACACACTCTCTCTCTCCACGAGGCGGGGCGGCGGCGGCATTTGAAGCAATATGCCTGAGACTCCACGAGGAGGCTAGGCACCTCCCTTCATTCTTCAAGTGCAAGTGAGAAATGGGCTTTGAGGAACCCATATCACTGATGACTATCGGTGGTTTTGTTTTCCGCTGATCACTCTTCTCTCCGAGTCCGTCGTATTGGATTAACCCTGTCTGTCCACTGCACCTCCTTCTTTCCCCGTCGTTTCTCCACGGCCCCTCCCTTTCCTTCTGGACCTTTACATTTCGGAAGACTAGATGGGGAATCCTGCCAGATCAAGCATAGTGCCCTGGCTTGCCGTTGTACTGTATCACCATCGAGATTGCCATGTGCTTTGCGGGCCTCTATACTAACTGCTTTCTACTCCTCATTCCCGATTCAGGACCTTCCCCCCTCTCCAGTTCCAGCAACTTTCTACTTAGTGAAGAGACTTGTCACCATCTGATCCATGGTGTGACGAACCCAATGGCCACATGGCCGCCCACTCGCCCGCCCGCTTGTTGTTGCTTGCTTGCAATACCGTTGTCTGCACGGGGCGGAAATTGATGGATCTATCATCAACATGGAACCGGACCCGACGTCCGACTCCCGACCCTTTTCTCTGTGTGCCTTTCTCTCCGGTACTCCATGAGGGAAAGGCGTAGCCTAGTTCAACTGTTTACCTGGTCGTCCACCACATATCACGTCATGATACTCATGCACGTACCACTCATATCCGTCTCTATTGTCTCGAAGAGAAAGGGATCTTAACCCGAGCTAGACTAAGATCGATGAATGTGGCCAAACCGGGCATCCAGTCTCCAAGAACAGGTCTTCTGAGCTGGGCCATGGAGGGAGGGAGGGGGCACTCTTGCTTTGCCATCCAGTCTGGGCCTTTTCGGGCTCTATGGATGTGCGTTTCGATCGTCGCTCCTGCGTCTGATATGGTGGGTGTGTGGGTGATCCTACGCTTTAGTCAGATCTTTCAAAGCAACCAGGTTTTCGCCACAGGGTTCCATCAGAGGATTGTAAAGGAATGGTTGGCTTCGTTTGGCATGCGTATGGTGGCCCCTCGCCTGGGATCATCCTAGGCCTTGGGGACCGGTGTCATGCTACCAGGTTATTGTTTGAGATCAGGATGGGAGTCTCAAGCTGACTTGTCTGGCTGCAGCAATGAGGGTGGGAGACCCTACAAGAACATTGGCGAGCTAGGCTCGGACTCTCCGACGTCAAGCGCCTGTCGTTCGTCTCAGGTAAGCAGTTCCTTTATCGTTTGGGTCTGATGCGCGCAATCCTTACCGTTCCGAGCGACTTGCCCGCGACCTTGAGCATTGGTTCTGTCTGTAGTAGATTGGTTTACGCTGAGGGATACGGCAATTCCTACGAAGGGTCGTGTCTCAACGAAATATCGCTATAATCATGTGTGATACGAATGTGTGCACATTATATATAGAGAGAGAGACTTATTTGAATATACTAACAATCTAGACTGCATGGTTGAACGATAAAACATTCTATTCTGACGACATCGTCACTTGAATAAACTTCCGGATATATATCTCTCCTAATTTATGATACCGCCAACTTAACCGATCATGAGTACATGACCAAACTTAGCCATCCAAGCTCCAGCAAAGCAAAAACCTTGTGTCCTGCGTATACGAACCAAGCCAGAGAACTAACCGAGGTATCTCCATACGAACAACTGAATAGATACTCCGTCCCATGTTATATGCAAATGACAGCCTACCACCTAATCTGGTATACAAATGAAAGTGGACGGTCCTTTGCCCCTAGCACAGCTTCATACTACGATCGACTCCTTTCAGCTAACGCCTCCTCTCAAGCTCGCTCCATCCTGATACCCGCCCACGCCACAGGATGGCATCTTCGTATCTGTCGCGCTGACCTGCATACTTCCTCCTTCCCATCGTATTTCTTTCCTTAAACAAAAAAGGAAATAAACAGAACCACGAGTCTTCAACCTCCATAGAACCCAAACCCACATACCTCGTGCCGGAGGCATCTCAACAACACAACGAATGCGGGAAGAAAGGACACGGGCGCAACGACTACCAGCCAGAACGTGGGCATGACGGAACTTTGCCGACGGGACATGACTCGCATAGTCAGGTCAATCAACAACCCACAACCCACTTCTTGTGTACAGTATGCGCATCCTTGGCACGAGCTGAGCTCTTTTGCCCGATGTACTCCTGCCGGTAGTCGCACGGCCTTGATATGTAAGCTCTTTTCTCAGCATGGACTAGTTACTCGTAAATGAGAGGATTTAGTTCTAGGATACTGTCAGTAGTTTGAAACCTACGCCTAACCCATTAGATATGTTTTGGCCGAGTTATCGGGGGGTGGAGTTCACACTGGGCTTGACAGCGAGCATACTGTCTGTCTGTGCCACTGTGCGCTATGTGGGAGAGGAGAAAAGAGGAGGGAAGGACTAGTTCCATACAAGGTTCAGTTTGACACGTCAATAAAACTTAAACTCCCACCCGCGGGGCGGTAATGTTCTCCTGTTATTGGTGGAAGTGAAATTGGATTTTTGTGGTGGTTGTCGGAGTGGGTTTTGGTCGTCCCATCATAATTTAATGTCTTGGGTGCATTTTCAATGTTGTATGTTGTGAGGTTTTATTGGATTGATTAAGAATTGCTATTTGTTGGAGGCTTGTTCACATGTGGAGGCACTTTTTTTTTTGGTTTTGTTCGGTGGCTGTAGGATCAGGTTCCTGGAGGCTGAAGGTATAGATCGGGTGTTAAGGTGATCCTATTATTGGGAATGCTGTTGTTTATCCTAAATCTAGGGGAGAGGTATACTCAGTAGTGCCCCTGGATCAGAAGGGCTTATGTGCATAGCTTGATTTACTACTTCCTATAATGCCGCTGAAACATATTGAGTAGTGTACTCCGTCGCTATTGAAGTCGATCGGTCAGCAGGCGGTGACAACCGGTGTGATAAGCACAGCTGCATCATCCAAAAGTAAATCAGGATCGGAGGAAGGATCAATGGATCATCAGGATCAGGGACACAATCGCAAATCGTTCTGGCCGGCCCTGGGTAAAGTGTGTGTGTGTGTGTGTGTGTGTGTGTGTGTGTGTGCGTGTGTGTGGGTGGGTGGGTTGGCCATAGCTTCAGCCTCTTTCTCTTTCCCTTCTGCTTCTCTCCGGCCCACCGCGCCACCCACCACATCTGATCACGTATGGACAAGGATTATGCTGAAGGTAGATTGACGAGTAGAGGAACTCCCACTCCCAGTTGAACGGGTGCACGGAAATTGCATTCCTTTCGGGTACTAGGGTGCGACGGAGGGGAAGGGACGTAGTAGATCATCCTTCGCGCCGGGTATTATACACCACATGGAGTAATTTTACCGCGAACCATTGTGTGTGTGTGTGTGTGCATGTGTGTGTTCCGACTATCAGCTGTGTCAGCCGAATGATTTCATGCTGATTTTTGATTATCGGGATAGGAGAATGGTCTGGATGTTATGAGGTGCGTCTTTACTTTCCATACTAACAATCCAAGTCCATCCCACCCAAGAACTGTCATGTATGATCGACCCTGTTGAACAACTCAAAATACAGAAACGCAACCACCCCCCGGTCGTTTCCATTACCCTGTCAAGTATAGCGTCTCCCCAGTCGACGGTGCTACCAAACAATGACGAACAGATCTCCGGCGTGGCATGCCGGAGCCTTACCCAAAGGGGACTAGTTTTGCCCCGTAGAAGACCCAGAAACTTCTCCAGGAAAAGGTTAGTGACCGAGATGAGCGACATCACTAGCCCTTTTCAGCTTTGATCTTCCTCGGCTGAGGGCAAAATAATGATCCATCTGGGAGCAGGACTGGAAATGAACATTAATCAATAATGATCCCTGTTATTAACTACTGCACTTACTTCCTGGATTCCCTGCAATACGACCGACCTGTGTCCGTTTTGCCGAATCGTCGCTCCCCTCCCTCCCCTCTCTCTTTGTGGCCCCATCACAAAGACATCTTGTGGCTCTGAAAAGATCGACACGGGACTTTGCGGACCATTTTAGGACGTACATCATTTTCCAGCCACGTCCCTCTACTCTCCCGCGTCAAAACTCATGCAGCATGATGAGCCTTATGGGTTGTATCGTTTCTCGATCAGCCACCGTCGAACGGCCGGGAAGGGGCTGATTTCCGACTAAGCTATCCAGAGCGCCGCGCCTATCAATCTTTGGATACTTCGTCGCCTCCCTTTCTCGCCTCTTGTACTTACTTCAGTGGACGGCTGAAAATGCAGTTAGATATCGACTGTGTCGCCTCCCATCTGCGTTCCCAAAATATGAGGTGAAGATCGCTTCACGACGGCGCTGGTTCGCTCGGAAGACCACCGAGAAGCAAAAAAGCAGTGAGAGGGGGTGCGTCTCCGCATTAGGCAACATTTCAAGTGCAATGCAGCTGAGAAGGGGAGAGAGCTCTCCAGACATCCAGAACTGACTGCGCAGGCGACACACACAGTAGCGCCAGTCTCTTGTCCTATCGCAAAGTGGCAAGACAAATCAATCGATCCCCCACCCCGCCCTCCTCTCAGCTGTGGGCTGAGTGATTATGACCAGCATGATGGTACCTGGCCGGATTGACCATCTCCGTCACATGCGGGACTGCTAGGTTTTGCAGCGAGAAAGATGCACTCGATGCTTTGCGACTATGAGGTGTATACTCATCACAAGACAAATGTCAGATGATCATCAAGGCTTGAACAGGCCTGTTCCTCGGCGGCTGCGGCTGCGGCCTGGCCTACTTCCTGAACAACGAATCTCAGACAGCAGGCGCTGCAAATCCCCCCGGTCACCTCGCTTGCCGGTGCACCACAGAACACCGAGACACAGACGCAGGAAGGAGGGAGTACCTAGACGTTCTATCTCACCTGCAGAAGATCATCTCCACAGCGCAGAGCCATAGGATGATCTCGGGGAATTCTTAACGTTGTACG